TCTAAACTATTCAACAGCCTTGATTTGCAATATCCATAACAACAGATCCAAACTTGTTTCAGGTGTCGAAAAATGAAAAAATGGAATATCCTTGACCTTTTTAAGTAGACAATGAAAAAGTTTCAAAGAGACAAAGTTTATTGCGAATGTGATGAAGACCTAACTCTTCGTTTTCATAATGGTGGTGGAAATGCATCAAAAAAGACATCGTGTATTATTAAGGGTCTTTTGTGAGACCGATGCCCATGACTAAGCCTACGCCTCTATGTATGGTTAAAGTTTCATTACATTTTCATTGTTATAATGTGGACTGCAAAGATACTCAACACCGCCAACATTTTCATTGCATCCATAGGGAAAGGCCGTCTCTAGTTTTCTAATCCAATATTCTTCTTTTTATCTACAGGAAGATGTACTTACTAATCTGATCTAGTAAAAGATTCGAATAAGAAATTTAAAAGGAAATATGCAAACCATCTATTAAATTTGAATATCGGAGATAATCAATTAAATAGAAAGACTACATAAACAAAATGCTATGGCTTTGTAACAATATCGCACTTGTTTGCAAGATGCATAATTACATGTAAAAGTCTATTTTAGAAAAAAATAGTGTTTTAATTCTCACTTATACTCAAAAGCCCACTGTCTAAAGATTAAATTCTCCAAAATCACACTTAGTTGTTGAAACTTTCAACATTCCAGTCAACCAACGTGAATTCCATCTATCCTACCTATATTGGATTCCCAAATCTCTCAGAAATCTTTGCAGAGATACATTGCATTGTAGTGTCAAATAAGCATCTATCCTTACCCCCTTGCTTTCTTTATTATCTCTTACAAGTATCCAGGGCGAGAAGAAGAACCTTTCCATTTATGTTCATGTTTCTCGTGTCTTGTGAAAGTCTTGTTTCTCTTTATCAAAAAATCCTGTTTACACTAAGTCCAACGTATATGTCCTACGTACCGTTAATAATGTTTCTAATTCGCAATACCAAATGTTTTTAATGTGAGATACATGTCAAATCACCTTTAATACTTAATGTTTGGAGAAATTGGTGACAATGACGTACATGATTGTGTTGCCACTGCCATCTCTGTAATTTCCGAAGTGCATGCAGTACCAAAAATTTAATTCATAGAAATCTGGACATTTCATTACTGAGAAGAATTCTTTTACCTTTCTGAAATAAAAATAATTGCTGTTAATCAAAATATAGTAATTAATCATTACTATACCTAAAATATGTTTGTTCCCTGTTGCTCACGGGATTGAAATTGCTCTATCGTGGAAAATCGTTATTAGTTTGAAAAAGTAATTTGAATGATTTTGAGTTTTGAATTATAGAGACCGTTAACTTGCCATTTCTGAAAAGATGACTCAAATATTAATTCACAAAAATAGCATTTCTAGGTGTTGTTCAAATGTTTGATATCTTGTGTCCAAAATTGACCTTCTCCATGCAGGGAGTTCCTTCTAAGCGTGAATATATTGCCTATCCCGTCCAAATGGTTTACTGACGCCTAAATATTTTCTTTGTAACTGAGACGACAGAATTTAGAAATCTGATAGGATCACATATTTATTTTATGTCAAAATTCCACTAAAGTTTTACCGAAAGTTCACCTCTCGAGATTTATCCTTGAGTGACCTTTTATTAAACCTCCATGTCCTAAAACCAAAAAGTGAAATAACTCAATATTAGCGAAAAATATATGGAAAATAAACATCTTTGGGGATGTTACTTTTACAATACTATAAGATAAAACAGCACGCAGAGCAATTTGAATGCTTATTTTCAAATAACGAAATAACTCTTGTCGATAAAGAGTTCAAATATATTTACTATCTTCTATTGTTAAGGGTATATTCTCTTCCATTTTTTTCCTGGCATCTACAAAAAAAAAATCCGCATTGGAGAAAGCTGATTTCATAAAGTTTTATGCACCATTTTTCTTTTCTATAAACATGATAAAGGTACATCCATTAATCTTACACTTCGTATCTAGATTGTGTACATTTATTTACTCTTGAGTGGTTCGGACGTTAATGTGTCGAGGGGACCGTTAACGGTAGTGTAAATACAAAGTTAATGGTCATTACTTAGCACGGGGCTAATGATGGTGTTAAGATGTCCAGCCAAACGCGATGATGAATGAATTGTGCCTTTTTTTGTCATTTATCCCATCCCAGGAAATTTCAATGCAATTTTTTTAAGGTTTTGAATTTAAAAAGTGGTAAAGCAAACAGCTCATGCTGATAATGATATAGACACAATAAGGAAAGTTTGCTAGGGGTCAAATTCCTCGGTGATAAACACTTAAAACTTCTAGCTTCACAATCTACTTTTTTCAGAAACACAGGATAGTATATAATTTCACAATATGCATGATTTAATGTATATAGGTAATATTCTGTTCCACTATTATCATTGTTATTTTATTTTATTGTGGGCAGAGTTTAATTTCACAGTGAAACACTATATCTATCCATTGCTTTAAGGGCAGATGAATATGTATTTAATTGTCGGTATAAATGTATATACAAATAATAGAAAAAAATGCTAAAAGGGTATTCCCACGCAGTTTTAGCATTCTCGTATACCTCATTCCTGAGCTGTCTGTAGGATATGTCTGAATATGTATCAATTTGCATTATTATGTGGGAAAAAATCCAATTTTAAATCAATTGAAATTCATTCAATATTTTAACGAACTTATCTATCATCTAAATGAATTGAAGGGTGACGATGCGTGCACTGGTAACATGAAAAAGAATTCAGTGGTGGTTTTACGGGCACACACCTTCTGTGAGGAATTTTAAAACCCCACCCTGTTGGAATATATAGTTCCATTTATTTGTACATTTCGTGTAGACAAATGGTATCTGAGAAGAATACCTGGGATTTGGTTATCTTTAAATTCAATCAAAATAGCCCTAGGTGTGTTAACTCGTTGCATCTTTTTTACATACAGTGTATACAGTGGACATGTTGACATGTTTCTATTAACAATTAACTGAGTGTAATCTGTTAATTACATCATAAGGTCTATATATTACCTAACACCGATTTAAATCGAGTAATTGAAATTAAGTTCATTTATTGTTATCGTTCTTTAAATATTTACAGGAATGTATGGTCAGAATGTGTGTCATCTTGTAGGTGGCGGGCTGACCAGCCTACTATAGGTGTAGTAGTTGTAACACTTTGTTGTATCTGTAATTTATGACAAAGGCCGACATCACAAGGCTTCACCTGCCGCAGGTAAAGATCACACACCTGTTGGTCTGGATACTGTTATCTTATAATGATAGTTAGCTAGGCTTTGTCACTAATCTGATCCCGTTTTCATACCTATATAAAAATGAGGAATATGAGATTCTACAAAAATATAGCTTCAACAAATTAAATAAAAAAACTAAACGGCTTTGATGTGAACCTGTAAATGCAATATATTATTTTTAAAAATTCGCAATTTATTTAATGTTTTAGAATTTATATTCTATTTTCTCTAGATTAAAACTGTTATTGTTTAAAAAAAGAAAAACGACACCTACATATACAACTATCATTTACTGAGAATTCTCAGTAAAAATTCCATGATTATTGTACATTGTGCAAAGTACTTGTATTTTTCATTTATGCGAAGACAATCCTTTATGTTCAAAAAATATTATTTCAATGAAAAATAATCTTTATAACAGACAAATTTATTACAAAATGCATATAAAATATGTATTTATTACAATTATGTTTATTTTTCATGCCTTTTTTTGTTATTATTTAACGTTGTGCTCTTAAAATATATATTGCAAAAGTGTTTAAACATATAGGCTAACATTTACAAACGAATTTAATTATGTACACATGTCACTATAAATAAATAAATTACTTACTTTCTTACTGTACAGAAAAAAAAATACATTTTATTATTTATTCTGTAGGTATACGTAAATAAAATAAATTAAACGAAGACAAAAGATATGACTAAATACTAGTATCCAAAACTGCCAAAAGAAAACAAATAAAAACACAGAAAATTTAATTACTGTCTTGATTAGATTCCTCTGCCAGTCTCGATTTTGTCCCACAAATTAAGAACCCATGTTAAAGATAAAGTTTGACAAGTTCCATCTGCAATAAAAATAGTGAGTAGAAAACGTAAACAGATTGTAAAATTAAGATGCTTATCTTTATGTAAATGTCAACAAAACATTGACAACCTCGTTTATTTAATTAGATGTTCAGTATTTACAGTCACTGTGGCTAAGTTAGTAATTATACATCCCTAGAGTTTATGAGTGTTTAAAATAAAAATGAAAATAAAGTTTTGTTAATATTAATAAAGAAGTATTCGTTAAGTAACGATTGTAAAACGTATTTGCCTGAAAAAAAAATGCACGAATATTGAATGTTTTGTGTTCAGCATATGGAATTCGATTTTTTTTTTTTTGGATAATATAGACATAAATCGGAGTATTTTGATAATCGCTAATTATTATCAAAAACTTAGTTTAAAGCAATCCGCTTTACAGGGCTGTTATATAACGTTATAGATATATTTATCGGATCGTCTGGGATGTGTAAACATGAAGTGAAGATTAGGTTAATCCAATTGAGGGGACAAATTCTCAGACACTGAAATAAAGAACTATCTAGCTCACACAATCTCAGAAGAGTATTTTTTTAAATGGACGTATAATTTTGAATGTCCAGTATTCCACACACAAACATCTGACATAAAGGGTTCGGAAATCAAACAGGTCTTTGAAAGCATTCATATATTTACATAAAACAGAATTTAAAATTCATTTAGTCTGCAAGCGTTACACTCGTATGGTAAAGACAGACACGTGTTATATATACACTGTACCGCTTCTCACATGGACCATGTGGACATTTTTTCACATTTTCATTACATCATGATATTCCTTTAGAGTTCCAGTTTTCTAAAAATATGATTTAAATTCAGTTCCGGATTGCGAACAATGCCTTATTAAATCCGTTCTTTTGTATTCACTCAAGTAAAAGCGACCGAAGCAATGCGAGAATAATCGTTACGGTTGATGACCGCTTTTAATAAACCCGGTTCAATATGACGTGCTAGTCTGGAGGCTGTTAAATTTATAAACAAGAAGGGCGTTTACTTTCTTATACTGCCAGTGGTCGTGTGTACAGTAGATAGGAGGACTGATAACGAACCAAAAGGGCCCAGCAAATTATCTTCTGGGCTGCCAAGACCTGGCCGCTGTTATTTTCGGATATTTTTCGTCGGCCATTGTGACAAACGATCGCTCAGGATTTTTAATTCACACTTTTGATCAGCGACTTGGACCTTTTTTACATGCATCCGTGACTTTGAAATATTTGAATAATTTTACGATCTGTTTTAGTGTCAAAATGGCCTGGCCAGGAGTGCTACGAGTGGCATTCGTCCTTACGTTAATTTCACTGTTTTTCATTCTTGTGGGGTATCTTTTACCCTGGTGGTTTGTTGGAAGTGGTTTTTACATGGGCGTGTTTTACGGACTTATTTGTTACCCGGGGGATATTACAGATGGAAACTGTACTGTTTACTCCTACTACAACATAAAATTTGAAAACTCGAGTCTCGATCAAATTGGTATGTATATATAACATTTTAACTGTATAAAATTGGTGTGTATATAACATTTGTGACAGTCGTTTGCCTGCTGACTTTGATTATTGTATATTTTATTTTGGTTGATTCATTATCATAATGATAAACTTACAGTCTTTAATTTCTTTATGCTCATCAGCAGAACAAGTAGATGAGGTCACGCCCCATGTCAACAGTCACCTTGCACCACCCTGTATTTTGCCTACTGAACTGTAAATTTTTAAAACCTTTAAGATCTTGCCAAATATCTTTTTTTCCCATGGCCAGACTTAATGTAGAAGACCTACATTCTACATTAATTTATTAAATGGTGTGGAACAGGGGGCGGGGGGTCGTGAATCATAAATTGCATAGCTCGTCTGCTGGTGTGTGTGTGGGTGGGGTGGGGTGGGGGTGAATCAAAAATTGCATATCTCGTCTGTTGCCTTCAAAAAGATTTATAAGACAAATGCTTTGGATAGAAATCATGTCTTGCAAATCAAAACTTATCTTAAAAATCTGAGGCTTGTCAAGGAAGAATCTTTGACACGTTTCATTCAAATTATGTACTTAAAGTTTATTTTTTAAAAGTTGTTAAAACGCCTGCTTCACATATAAGGCATAATAACCATTCTTGCTCAATTTACATGTTAATTGAAGATGTAATCGGGACAGTTCAACCATATCAAAACAATTCAACCGTATCAAAACAACTTTAGATTTATGTTTATATGTGTACATAAGTATGACAGGGAAAGAATATTAAAGGTGCAGGTTTAAAGACGAAGACGAAGAACAGAAATTAAAAAGGTCGTAAACAGATAAAATATTGAAAAGTAGTTTTACTTCATATTAGCTTGCATTGAAATTGAGGAAGGAGATACATTTTATGAAATTATTTGATTTATCCCTCAAAAGTATTGAAATTGTCCACTAAAATTGAAAATATTTGTTTCTGTTCTGAAGAATGTTACAGCACAGGCAGTTGTATTCAGGTGCCTTTGGTTACAGGGCCAAGCAAAGCCGTAGGCGAGACTTGCTGTTTGTTTTCCGAAGGAATCATAAATTTGAAGGAATTGAAACAAAATTGGCTACAGAATTGAACGTTTAACACCCCCCCCCCCCCACACACACAGACACACTTCCCGACTGTTGGTAAAGGTAATACGTCATAATTTTCTTTTTAATATTTCAGTCAGTAGTGTGTTTTTCGTCATCATACAAGTGGTGACCTCTACAGCGGTTGGATTAACTCTCCTCGCCAGCCTCATACTCATTATCGGCGCATGCGGGAACGTCAAGAGTAAATGCCCTTATGTTCTAGCGGCCATTTTCCAGTTTTTTGGAGGTAAGATTGATCCATTTAGACTTATTTATTAAAGTGAGAAAAATATTTTAAAACAATCATTAAAAATATGTATCTTATATTATCTTTAGGGACACCGGAATACTGCATCATGATAAATGAATAAAAATGAAATCTGGAAATATTTGGATTAAACCAATAAAATTAATACTGAAATGTAAAATCAAAAGGATGGTTTCTCCTCTCAAAATCTAAATGCTTTTATATATCATTTTATTATGAATTTCAATCATGAAACACGAAAAAAAACCAACTAAAAATAAGATGTTGTGAACTAGATTCTTGCAAACCCCCAACGTTGTTTACTTTGGGAGAGGATATAAAAAGCTAAACATTATTCTGTTAAATACATACAAACAAACAGACAAGGCGTGAACAACTGCAACCTGAAGTAAATCAAGTTCTTAATTTTGCTTCAAGCACAAGGGCCAGAGAAAGAGCTTACTAAAGTAGCCTTTAGAACAAATCTTACCTTGACCATTTAAATTCATGACTTACCTGTAGCCAGAATTAATGTCCACATTAAGTATAATATCCAGTACAACAGTTAAAATGACCAAGTGAAGATCTTCATAAGAATTACTGTAACATCTTTGTCTGATTTCTGAGGAATTGAAATATGTCAGAGAATATTTGCTACTGTTTCTACTATAAATAGATGAAGGGGATTAGTAAGGTAATATTTTTCTTCCTTCTTTTTAATTTTTCAACTTTGAATAGACATGATAAACTGAATTTTTAAATCTAACAGGGATAGTATTTTAATGATTAAAACAATGCTTAACGTATAAAATTATATATTCTTTTCTGTTTAGTTACAATTTTTAAGCATTACATATTGTAAAATACTTTAAGAAAATTTCTCTTGTAGCTAAATATATTTATTAAATACTAAAAATTTAAAATATAAAATATATAAATATAAATAAATAGGATTTCCCAAACGAACATCAATACTGTTAGCTTTTGAATGCTTCCATAATAAATAGTGTATTGAGCCAGCATTCATGAAAGAATGCCTTTTCTCTCTAAGTAAAAACCTTTTTCATGTGTGTATACATGTATGTTTTATCATTTTCTACATTTTTATGACCTCTTTACCAAATATGAGAAAAAGAAAATAAACTCCAACAAGATGCGTTTGTAAAACACTGATGCACCCTTAATGGCAGCTCATGGCAAAGGTTGTGTTTCAAACTCAAAGGTCAAGGTCAAAAGGTCAATGTCTTTTGTATCAAGAGGAATTATATATTTTCCTAAGGAACACAGATGTAAAATATGAAAGCCCTAAACTTGTAATACAAATAACTGTTAAAAAATTATGGCCAAGGTTAAAATATTATTAACAATGTAGGTCAAACTTTAAGGTCAATGTGAAAAGGAAACATATATTTTTACCCTTAAAGATGTCTTGTTACAATGAAAACACATGTGAAATATTGTGAAAGCCCTAGCTTATTTCATTTTATTATATTTTCATATTATTGCATAAATAATTTTTTTTCAGCTTTGGTATCAGGACTGACGGCAGGATTTTTTGCTGCTGTGTACATTTCTATTTTCGTCGGCTTAAAGGACCACGTATCATTGGACGGAAAGAATTTCCCGTACGCAATTCTCTCATTGGGCATTGGCGGTTTCATATTATTCATCGCTTTCATTTGTCTTGCCATTGCCACATGCACCTGGAGAAACATGGATGACGACGATGAAGACGACTTGAATCCGCCTTATCCAATGAATGACTATACAAAAGGTGGCTATGGTAACCAGGGGTACACCAGCGACAGCAGGAGAAATGACTACATCGTCCCTAGTAGCTCTCAGAAATACGGGTACGAATCAAGGAGTGACTCTAGGAATGGCTACACAAAGTACACAGGGACCAGGAATGAATATTCCGGATCACGAAATGGTTATCAGAGCAAACAGGAATACCCATACAGAAACGATAATATGTACCGACCATATAACAACAGCTCCTCTCGGTATTAGAACAACGAGGATCAGATCATTAACTCTTCAAACACAAATTTAAGTTCATACGAAAGCAAATCAGACCGCAGAGTTGTCATGAGAGGTTCAGTGTTGTGACCTTGCCAAGGTTATTTCTCACTTTAAACATTATCTATTTACATTTTCTAACAACCCCCTCAGAAAAGTGAGCAAAATTTGGCAAGATTTTTGCGGTCATACATCACTCACTCAAACATCAAAAGCAGACCCGAATCATTGTATGAAGGATAAGAGATGAGAGAAAGAAAATCAATGGCTTAAAGATGGTGTGAATTTACCCAGTATCATAATTGTTAAACATATGTTATTGATATTAAATAATAATTATATTTTCTTTACCTTTATTGAATTATTTTGTATGATTTAATTTAAAATATACAAATTAAATAGCTACATGTTTATGTTCATTCTTTTTTTTTTTACTTCATGGAACAATCTTGTGTCAAAACAACGTTTTCTCACTTTGTAATGAGAACTCCATCTCATAATCACTCTTTTATTGCTATTATTTTATTTTCATTTGATTCAAATGTCGTTTCATTATTCGATCGTCGGTCCATTCTACTGATAGTTCAATAGTCGACTATTCTTTGACATCCAATTATATATATTTATAAATCGCTCTAAAAATTACCAACGACACGATAATAAAAAATATTAAAATTTTGTCCATTCCCCAGAAAAAGAAAAAAGTTAAGGAATCCATGAACAGGGAACAAAGAAACAAACAACTATAAAACACTATATATGTTACATATTTAAAGTTTAAAATCTGTCGTTATGAAACATATGGAGATAACGAACAGTATCCAAAATCGAAGTCCGTAAAACTATATAAAATAGGAGCATGGAAACACGGGTCTCCAAAACACCAGATGTGGGTCAGGTGCCATGTAGGAGTGAGCATCCCCTGTTGACCGGTCACATCCGCCGTGTGCTCTTTGTCATGATCGGCAAATAACAGAAGTTATTATACTTCTGTTAAAATGTTCCTATATAAAGTCCAGAAGATAAAATAACTATTCTTCATAGTCTGAAAATTTCCCCCCATAGAAAGCTATACCCCGGGATGTAGTTTTTGCTATGCACCCCTCGGAAAATTTTCATGCAATTTTTGACGCCAATTTTAATTTCCAGCGTTAAATCCATAGCCTGATGATGATGTCATAATGAATTCAGTAGCATTGTGACGTCATCAGGATTTCAGCTCATTCTTGCAGTATTATCTAACACCAAAGAAAATTCAAACCTTAGAAATTATAATATACATCAGTATAATAAAACACTTTATACTGGTTGTGATTGGGATAGCTCTTTTGAAATATCAAACCCTACTGTAGTTCATGCAGTGATTAACGCAATGGGTTTTCAAGCCCTCGGGAGAAAATATTCCCTGGATGTATAGGGTTTGATTTGACTAAGGAAAGCTATCCCACTCACAACCATTGGATAAGTGTATAAAATCCACCGTTAATTCATTGTACCTGATATTAGATATCTTCGAGGATTACCATATTTATGCCCTGATTACAGATTTATATTGCTATTGATTTTTTTTAAGAAAGCAATGTTCGAACCGATCTGTCGGGTGGTTCATAGTGGTTGGTAGGCCTTTGTTTTTATTCTTAATATTAATTTGACGCAGGAAAATTCCTGCTACGTGTTCAGTACATAGGACTCATGACATTTGAAATTGATCACGAAGGGATTTTACTCCTAGCTCTTTGCACCTGATTCCACCTCTAGTATCTGCGATGGGTCCATATTTATGCCCTGATCACAGATTAATATTGCTATTGATTTTTAAAAGCTCAAACATTGTTCGTTATCTGTCTTCACCTTTTTCATTAATAAGAATCTGACAAAATATTTTTGTTAAACCGAAAGACTGAGATCAATTACTAAAACATCAATTTATTATAAAGCCTGTTGCATTTGAAATGGTTTCCTTCATTATTTTTCAATAAACCTCGGTCTTTAACTCAACTAAACCATTTTTAATTTTGATCAAGAAAGGGAAAATGTTCATTGCATTTTAATTTGACAATAAGCCTGTAAAGTGTTTCTAAATCTGTTTGCCCTGTACAGGTTTCTTTGTTAACGTTTTCCCAAGAGTACAAAATATGACTTAAGGACTTTACATATCTGTTCTCAAATGTAAAACAGGTGTAATCTGCACTTTCGTAAAAAGGTCAGGAAAAAGAGAAACTAGTGAAAGGTTGTTAAAACTTGTTTAATTTAAATTTTTCAAAATAAATAAGGAAAGTTGACGATGGAAGAACTAACTTCGCTTGGCATACAATTTAGGTGTTAGCTGATGCTTTTCGAAAAAGTCAGTTAAGCATCAAAATATGAAGGAGAAGAGACATACACTCTGTTGTGTCAATTATATCAACTTCACCGGGATATATCAAATATGAATGAAAGTAACTATTACTACATGATAAAAGTTGTGGTAATAAATGACGAGATGAAGGCTGTGGCAAGTGTTTTTTTCTTCCTATGTAGGATTGGTATTAGTTTTTGAATGATTCTGCTTCAAAGAGGATGGTTTTCATATTTCCCAAAAATCTGTAATAGGTGAATGTATCATAGATCTGACACACTTCATCCTTTCTGACAAAGTGTCAACGTCTTCTTTTTTCATATCTAGCCATTGCCTAGCGTGATCTTCTACAGAATCCATAATATTTATGAAATTCTCACGCCAGTTGAAGGATCGGGGTTTCCTATATCTAGGACCTTTTAAAATATGTGATCTAAGGTCCTCATTATTAACTATATTTACGTAACCTCTAATGACGTGTCCAGCAGGACTATAGTTGTAGGGTGAAGAAGAACATGAACACGATGGAGGATTATTTTTCAGATCTCCAATATCCAGGCCCTGTAGAATTTTCTTGTTTTTAAAAAGTTTGGATGCAATGGTCGATTATATTTGTAGGAAATACAAGGTGTGGTCTTTAACTTGAAGTATGGTGGGATACAAGATTGGACCCTATTGTGATTAAGAATAATACGTATATTGACAGTAAAAACGTGGGAGTTTCGAAAGTCTATGATTTGCAATATCCATAACAACAGATCTGAACCCATAATCTGGTGTCGAGGAATAAAAAATGGATGGGCTGTCATTGACCTTTTCAAGAAGACTATTTAAATGTTTCAAAGGAACAGAGTATAAGGTTTGGTGCGAATATGATGTAGACCTAACCGTTGATATACATAAGGTAGTAATGAATCAAAACAATCATCTTGCATTAAAGGTTTATTGTAAGACCAATGGCCTTGACTATGCTTCCGTCTCTGTGTATGGTTAAATGTCCCACACATTTACATTGTTACACTGTGGACTGGAAAGATATCCAACACTATCGACATTGTCATTACATTCATGCTGTCCCTAGTTATAGTCTTACATGTATAACACCTTATTAAGGAATTTACATAAAATTTATCAATACATTATTGTCTAAATTGAAGTTTTCATACTGCGGTCAACATGTGTTTGTGAAACACGGATGCCCCCGTATGGTAGCTTATGGCAAGGGTTAGAATCTTTGAAATGTATGTCAAACTCCAAAGGTCAAGGTCAAAAATGTTTGTAAACAAAGGAAGGTCTTGTTACAAGGAATACACCTGTGAAATATGAAAGCCCTAGTACTAGCTGTTTAAAATTATGACTAAGGTTAAAGTTCTTAAAAAGTGAGTCAGTCTCATAGGTCAAGGTCAAAAGGTCAAACATATTTATACAAACTAAAAAATCTTGTCACAATAAATGCACAAATGAAGTACGAGGGGCGTTCAATAAATAATGTCATTGGAGCTCAGAAAGAAGCAAACGACGCTTTTCAATGATTTAGTCTTCATGATTTTACTTATTAATCTCTTTTAATTCAAACAAATGTCCGTAACATTTTTTATCCAATTTCTGATTGTTTTTAGAACTCATTTTGGGAATGACCCTTAGAATACTGGAAAATGGGAAATCCAATGATTTCCTGGACTTGTTTTTTCCTTCTGAAAGGTGTTTTTTTCAAGTTTGGAAATAGAAACAAGTCAAAAGGTCAAAGATCTGGCAAATATTGTTAATGTGAAAAAACATTAACTTTTTGTTTATCCCGTAAACCCCTTTACTCTTTAGGGCATGCGGGTTTGAACGCTGTCATGAAGAAATTCAATGTAGTGGATTCCTGATTCTGGGTCCTTTCTCTGATAAACCTTTCGATTTCTTTGCAAAAAACTGCTTTGTAGACACCTCCAGATATTAAACTGTCTCACCGAATACGAATTTAAACAATAATACCACTGATATTTAAGAAAATTGCATAATAATCTGTTTTTGTGCTCTTGTAGATCTTTGCTCTTGACAGACCTTCGCCGTTTTTATCAAGTACATCTTATGTTAAATTTTGTTTTAATGGTTTTAAGCAATAGATTCATGTTCAAATATCTGTTTCAATATAAAACAAACGTGGATTACTACAATTACTGATATTTTAAAATGATTGTTAAGACTTTGGTACACGCTGTCGTTTTCACTCATTTTTCAAAATACAGGGTGACCTTAGAGTACCAAGCTTAATTACTGTCAAACGTTTCTTAAAAACAGTGTAAACAACTCTCGATATGATGTCTATCAAATTTGCTATGTGTCTTAAAGTCATTAATACAAGATCAAATATTATTTGTTGAAATTTGGCAAACAGTACATAAGTTGTTATAAATTTTGTTGGCAAGGAGGGTACACATTTTGATGCCCATTATATAATTTTTTATCATTGAAATCCACCTGCTAATTTGTCTATAAAACAGGCATCGGTTGCTGTAAATATCACATATTTCAGTGAATATTTCTTTGGGATTTTTTACAAGTTTTACAGCAGCTTTAATTTAGCTTTTATTTTCACTTTAGTTCACTGATTCTTTACCATTCAATTATAATGCAGTGTCTCGAATAGCCCTTGTTTTCCAGGTCCTCACGATAAAACTATGTGATGAAAAGTGGTCACATTAACTGTTATAAATTTATTAAAGATTCAATAATGAGAGAAAGTCAAGCTTAATGTCATATGATTTGAACGTGTATGTCATCGAGCTCATGACATTATTTATTGAACACCCCTCGTATGAAAGCCCAAGCAACAACTGTTCAAAAGTTAATCATGACCAAGGTTAAAGTGGTTTCTTTTGTTAAAGTAGGTCAAACTCCAAGCCTAGGTAAAGGTGAAAAGGTCAAAATTTGTGATACCCAAAGATGGAATAATGGAACAAGGAATACACCTGTGAAATATGAAATCCATAGCCCCACCCACTGCTGAATAGTTATGGGCTAGGTTAAAGTTGATAAGAGACAGAAAAACAGACAGACAGACAAACAGGATAAAATCAACAACGTTCGATCCCGGGGAATGAAAACTAGAGGTACTGTGAGCACTGAGCTCACTAGATGATACACCCCGACTCCCATATAATTATAATTAAAAAGTTCACGTTTTATTCTGAGAGACCCAAAATAAGTGCCAGATCCAAAAGTAACATAGAAGATGCACAATGGCATTACGTTATAAAGAATCTGTGAAAGTATAATTAAATCTGAAATGCGCATTTAACTTAACGCATATTTTTGTACCGTGCGAAGTTCTATGGGTTTATTTTCCCCATGGGGTTTCTGTGGGGTTTTTCATGAAATTTAGGTTTTGGGATTTTTTTTTGACTCTAAATATGTGCAAAAAATGTTGCATTTTTTATTTTAGAAATGAATTTAAGAAGAAAAACCCCACCAATTAAAAAAAAAACCCAAGATGATAGCTTTAAAGGAAAAGGGTGCGGAAGTTCGGAAAAATGTCCATTCCGAAGTTGTCCGTCCCAGTGTTGAATCTCATTGCATAATACTGTGAAATTAAGTTTTCAACCAATTCGATCCTTGTGTTTTCATTTGTGCCAAACAGAGCGCCGCCATATCAGGTATCTATAAAAAAATTCAATGATACGAGGGCTGTTCAATGAATTATGTCCTTGGCGCTCAAAAAGAAACAAAAATCGCTTTTAAATAATTTAATCTTAAATATTTCACTTAAATAATGTCTTTTTATTAAAACACATGTCCTTAACAAAATTATACAATTTCTGATTGTTGTTAGAACACATTTTTGAGTATGACCCTTCATATACTGGAATATAGAGATCCTACGATTTCCTGAACCTGTTTCATCTCACTAAAAAGTGTTGTTTTTTTTTTAAGTTTTGAAAAGGAAACAAGTCAAAGAGTGAAAGATCTTGCGAATATTGTTCGTTTGAGAAAACATTAACTATCTGTTTAACCATAAAAGTCCTTTACTCTTCATGGCGTGTGGGTTTGGACACTGTCATGACGAGATTTAATGTAGTGGCTTCGCCATTCTCGTTCCACGCGCTCTTTAACATTTTGATTTCTTTTTCAAACAATTCGCTTTCTAGACTTCTCTAGAAGTTGACCTGCCTCCTCAAATAAGAATTTGAACAACAAGTCCACTAATATTAAAGAAAATGGCATATAAAACTGTTTTTGTACCTTTAAAATTCTTTGCTCTTCTCAGACCTTGGCTGTTTTTGTCAAGTGCATCTTATTGTAAATTTGTTTTGAGAGTTTAAAGCAATTAATCCAAGTTTTCATTATCTGTATGATTTTTAGACAAACGTTGAAAAATCTCTAATTTTTGATTTTAAAAAGAAATTGTTTTGATATTCTTACGCGCTGTCTTATTTACTCATTTATCATTTTTCAAAATATAGGATGACTTTTGAGTACTAAGCTTTTTAACTGCTAAATGTTTCTTTAAAACACTGTAAACTATCCCCCAAAATGATGCTTATCAATTTTTTAATGTGTCTTAAAGTCAATCAAACATCGTCAGAGATAATTTGTTGAATTTTGGCTAACCAACAGTACACTGGTTGTTGTAATTCTTTGTCGCCATGGGCAGTTCCCATTTTTTGATGCCCATTGTTTAATTTTGGTTCATTGAAATCCATCTGCTCATGTGTTTATAAAACATTGGTTGTTGTAAATTTCACATATTTCAGTGAATATATCTTTGGGATTCTTAAGGAGTTTTTCAGCAGCTTTAATGAAGCGTTTAATTTCACTTCTGGATTACTGATTCTTTACCATTCATTTTTAAAGCAGTGTCTCGAATAGCCCTTGTTTTCCACTTCGCACAATGAAACTATTTGATGAAAAGTGGTCACATGAACTTTAATCAAATCTTTCAAGATTCAATCATGAGAGAAATTTTAGTAAAGCTTTATGTCATATGATTTCTACAGTGTATGTTGTATGTCATAGAGCTCAGGACATTATTTATTGAACAGCCCTCATAGAGGAGGAGTTGAGTAAGAGATGTGTACCCTTCAATATTATATAAGAAAGGCATGTCAATGTAATCGAAATATGTGTCTGTTCACACAGTAAAATAGGAGGTGCATATTGGCATTATGTGTAAAAGATTCCGAGAAAGTCCCATAAATTTCATTCAGTGGTATGATGGGGGAGCGTTTGTAATGGGTGTGACAGACGGATAGACGTACAGAGGTCGGACGGACATCCCAATCACAACATTATAAACCCTCCCAATCTTCAAGCGGGAGCAAAATAACATGTGTTGTGTTTTGCATGTACTATGCAAAACACTTGAGCAAAGCGAGACAAACCTTGGCAACTTTTAGGCATAGTACCCATAAACAACATCACTATTATATAAATGTGTCACAAAAACTTCAAAATATTGTGAGAAGAAAAGTCAATAAGGATGAAGGAACTCTAACAAAAAAATACTATAGTTAACTACAGTTTACTATAGTTTACGATAGTTAACTATAGTAAATCAAAGAGTCAAAGTTTTTGCCAAAGTTTTTCAAAGTGTCAAAGTTTTCGATAAAGTTTTTCAAAGTGTCAAAGTTTTCGCAAAAAATCAAAGTTTTCGCTAAGTTTTTCAAAATGTCAAAGTTTTCGTCAAAGTTTTTCAAAGTGTCAAATTTTTTGTCAAAGATTTTCAAAGTGTCAAAGTTTTCGCCAAAGTTTTTCAAAGTGTCAAAGTTTTCAACAAAGTTTTTCAAAGTGTCAAAGTTATCACTATAGTAAATCAAAGTTTACAGAGTGTCAAAGTTATAACTTTAGTAAAGTATAGTTAACTATAGTATTTTTTTGTTAGGGGAGCCTTTGTACTGGGTGTGAAGTATGAATAAAACGAAAAGAAATCTCACCCAAACTCCATAGAAACAATGCCAATCAGGAAGAAACATGAACCTCTATAACATCAAAAGTGGGATAAGGTGTCATAAATTTAGGATTGAGCATCCCCTGTCGATCCGTCACACTCACCGTGTGCTTCTTTACATAATTAGGGAAATGATAAAATGGAATACAATCCTCTGTGCAAAAAATTGACCTCGCAAATATTATGTAAAACCTCAATCAGCATTTGACTTAATGATAGAGACTGTTGATATTACCGTTTCATCAATATCTTGCTTCTTTTTAGGAATTATTCGAATATGCATATACTTAGAACATGCTCTTGCGATTTAATCAACTGGCATACAAAAAGTCCTTATGTATGTGATAAAAGTTAATAACTATGTAAGTAAGGAAAGTTTACTATAGAAAAAATGAAGTGTAGGGATTCCATTATTGTCTTTTACTAGTAAAGTATCTAAATGTGAAACAGATGCGTCAAACTAAGTAGTTCTTTTATTTAAGTTCATTGAGATATATCGAATTGACATATGAATTTAAGTTATAATCGATCATATCTAATTGTCGAGTTAATCTTTGCTATATGGTAAATTTTGACATGCAAAAAGCAAGATAGTTGATGATCTTTATTAGAAAGCGAACGTTTGCAACCTTAAATATTTACTCATGAATAAAAATATTTTTTAAGTGCAAGCAATCACTGTGATTTTATTTATCAATCCAAGTACAAACCAGTGATGCTTATATAAATTAAACAGGAAATTTATTTACAGAGTTGATATAGCTCACTTCCTGTTTCCACGATGTATTGGAAGAGCCAATCCTTCCTGGTCTGTTATTTCCATCAGATTGAAGCTGTGGCGGCTTTCTTTTTGTTGGATTACATGATTCAGATTAACAAGTAAAAATTGTAAGTCATGAGATCTATAATTTTCTAGTTTCTCTTTATTCCTTTCGTTTATTTATATTAAGCTTATTGATTGGCTAGAATACATATGCAGGAATGAAGAAATTTCAGTGAAAACGACCAGATTGTTATCTAACCTCTATAATGCCTCATCATAATTTTTAAATTTTAATCATTATTTGGTTGTTATTTTTCTATTTCACTTCTTAAAATGGGTATTTCTGTTTTGTAATGCAGTTCATGTAATCTATTGTAACGGACATTGTGGTGATTAACTTTACAGATCAAAGGAATATGTCTCTTCCAGAAAACGGTATGCCTTTTCTAGAACTTTTTAAGAAATAAGCATCATAGGAGCTAGAGTCAATTTTATTGTACATGTTTATTGTTATCAAAATATCATGCAAATATGTATTTGAAATTGATTTTAAAGATGCATTAACACATACAAAGTTTTATGACAATTAGTTTAATTCGCATAATTGTAGAATTTCAAACAAACACATTCAAACACAAAATATGTTTGTTAAATGCTTATACCCCAGTCTGACAGCTTATAGCGAAGGTTAAATTTAAGTTTCTCAACAGCAAAACAAACTCCAAGGACAAAGTTACCGGGTAAGAGATTAAAAAATATTTTCACCTAAAGAAAGATACAGTATTGTATCTTAAAAGACAGTATGTTGTTAAATAAGAAAGCCATAAACCTATTACCAAGGTTCAAGTCTTTAAAAATAAAATAAATTAATCCAATTTCATAGGTCCAAAAATAATAGTGCTCAAGCAAAGGTCTTGTCAAAAGGAATAAACAATTGGCATATAAAAGTGAAAGCACTTCGTATTCAAAAGTCTAAGTTAAGGTTATTCTTTTTAAAAAAAGAAATAAAACTCCAAAAATATTTGTCCCCAAACGATCTTATTATAGGATTAATCATACACATGTGAAAAATAATAAGGTCTACACTTTACCATACAAAAGAAATGGCAAATTATCACAATTGGTAAATATTTCGCAAATTGGGTTAAACTGCAAGGTTACATGTAAGGTCAGAAGGTGAAGCTTTTCAGTACCCCCCCAAAAAGGTCTTGTCACAAAGATTTCATCTGGGAATATTGAAATCTGTAGTTCTAACCTATCAAAAACTATGGACAACCAGACAAAACTGGTATGTCCCATAATCTTTTAAGGGGGCATAATATTAAATCCATTTAACTATAATGTCCCAAGACTCATGTTTTTCACACTAAAAGAAATTTGCCATGTTTCAATTGTATTTTTATTTTGATTCGCACATGTATATCAGGACAACCAAATGAACACGATAATGAACCCGAACCTATGCTTCTGGCGGCTTTGTTTGCCATTATCATCCTTCTGTTGATTCTCATCATCCTTTTCATCAGAAGGTAAATCTAGTTAAGTTGTACCTCTAATTTTCATAAGGAAACTTTTCAATTTTAAATGCTAAAGGCAAATACATCTTAAAACTTGTTAAATTCAATGTACAAGTAAAACCATTATTTGGGCAATCACCAGATGAAAGTAAACATCACTTGATTGTCACATGTATTTTAATTTGTCATATGACGTTTTAGATTGAGAACAAAACTGATTGCAACCTCTAGAAAACAATTTCTTATTTTAGATGCATGAAGTGTCGACAGAAGAGCGCCTCAGTTGTTAGGTATGTTAATCCTGTTTTAACTGTTTCTGAGACCCAGGCACCATTGATAGATGATCGTGTCACCATTGTGCTCGAAGAAATCGATCATAGCGTCGCACCTCAGCAAGACGAAACACCGGAAGTCGTGGTGGAATACTGCAATCTTAAGTCGTACAGAGTATCACTCGATCAGTTCATTAGGGAGGTAGATGAAAAGCGAGACAACGATGCATTCCGTGAAGAATTTAAAGTAAGAATCTGACAGTAAAGTGAATGTTTTGATCTAACTGAATAATTCAGGTTTTTAAATGGCTAATTTTTAAAAATCATATCCAGGAAATTCCAAATGGCTTGTTAGAACTTCACTCAGCTGCCTTGAAAAAAGAAAACAAATCCAGAAATAGATACAAAAAAGTTTACCCATGTAAGTTTTCACACTGTGTTTTTTAACATTTAATTGAAAATATCAAATGCCATTTTGCAAATTTTGCCCTTCATTGACTATTTTTAATGTCAAAATGTAGTGCTGCACATGTTTTTTGATAAAATACAATAGGCAAGACTCTGTTTTTTCAATTTTAAATTTAATTTTTCAATTTTTTTCAATTTTGAGGAAAGTTTGAAACGAATTGGACAAGTTTCTTATACCTCCTTATTTATTTTTAATATAAAAATGATTTGAGTAAATGTCAGTAGATTACTTTGGCTCACCACTTCTACTGATCAAATAAAAATTAAAACTTAGAAATTTATAACCTTCTTATTACAGTTTCAAATAATTACAACAATCCCTTTTAACAAGAGCAATGTTTTTTTCTCTTTAAAAGATGACTATTGCCGTGTTATTCTGGAAACAAACGACAGTACAGGAAGTACTGACTATGTGAATGCCTGTTTCGTACATGTGAGTACTTGGTACTTGAAAAGTTCCTTATTGCACTCTCAACCAAATGTTCATTTATTTGTAAACAGGAAATAATTCTCTAATTAAATTGACAACAAATGTACACATTTTGATTTCTGCATTTGATTATTCCAGTGAAACAAAGTAGAAATTGAATTATTTTCTTTACATTGAATTTAAATGAATTGAAATATTTTAATTGCAAATAGGGCTTTAACCACGATAAAGAATACATTGCTGCTCAAGGTAACTTAATTAATCGGTTTAAAGAAGCTATTATAATATTCAAGGTTTTCTTCTCTTGTACTAAATTTAATGAAAAAATGTTATTTTATGAAAAAAGAGCTAGGTTCTTGAAAAATGCATCTTAAATTATTTCTCCTTAGAAGAGGGAAAAATTAAAAAATATATACACATGAACGGAAATAGCACAATTATACATAATACAAACATACAGTTGTATATACTTATATAAACATCAAGTACAATATAACGAAAAATCGCGTGACAATATTGGTGAAATACATCACTTTTGTCAAAATACTGTTCAGATGTTTGGTTAATTTTTTCCGTTTTTTTTTGTTTTAATTTGATCTGAATATTGCTAAAGTTATGATTTTACAGATAACAACAGTCAATCTTATCTTATCTTTTTCATATAAAATTCAATATACCATAAACGCATGCAAAGGTTGCTGACCAGTATACATATACATGATCTGTCAAATCTGTTTTGATCATTTGAAACCTTTACTACAGGGAAGAAACAAATCTTTCTGATACCATCACTAGATAAATTCCAGTGAACACGTGTTCTTTGATTCGGAATATTCTCCAGTAGAAATATAAACAACGCCATTTTTACTTGACTTCCTCGATGTTTCCATATTGAAACGATTGGGAAGCGTCATCTGTGGCCATTCGGTTATCTCTTGATAACTTTCTATGAACCAAGCATTCCATTCTTTATTCCTCCCATTTATGAACAATTGTAACAACTCCAATTTCCATTTTATCTGAAATATCTCTGACAGACAAACATGCATCAACTGGTTTCAATTATAGGACTTGTGGCATCCGGGAAAAAAACTGATATAGGCATCAACTTTCTTTATTTATTCTTTGGTAAAATGAATGAACGATACATTTATTTATGAAACGGACATAAAGAGCACGCGGCGAGTGTGACCGGTCGGCAGGGGATACTCACTCCTCCATGGCACCTGATACCATCTCTGATGTTTTGGAGGTCCGTGTTTGCTCTGCTCCTGTTTTGTATTGTTTTATGGATTTTGATATTGAATACTGTTCGTTATCTCCATATCCTTCATGTTAACGTTGAAAATGAACAATGATCAAAGTCTAAAAATCTGTAAACAATACAAATATGTAAAAATGGCAAAAATACAGATCTTTGGAATTCAAAGACTGGATTAGGTGCCTTGGAAGAGTAAGCCTCTCCTGTTGACTATTTACAGCTGCCGTGAGCACCGATTTGTATCACATAACATCTGCTTTAAATGTATATATTCATACCAGAACTAAAGCACTTATATCTTAAAGTTAAAAAACTAAATTAATATATTTTTGACAGTCTTTACAAAGCTAGAATGCTCAAATTTTTAATTCTTGAAAATTTACCTTTCAGAACTGACATAAGTTGTTCGTTGTTATTGAAGTTATTTTTTTCTTATCTGTAAGGTCCATTTACCAATGAAACTCTGTTGGATTTTTGGCGAATGATTTGGCAGAACAGATGTACCCGTATCGTAATGTTGACAAATCTGTTTGAAGGAGACCGGGTTCGTTATAAATTATTTAAATTACAATTATACACATTATAGATAAATATAACGTATTAAAATTTGTAAGATCTAATATTTTTTTTTGCCTTTAAATATTTGAGTAATTACAATTTTAGCAACAAATAATATCACATAATTACGTCAAAAATGGCTAAATATTGCATTTGAAGCAAAATTGATTTATCAAATAAGCTTTGGCCCCTTCAAAACTGTAATTATCAAATTCAGTCTTAAGGACACGTAAACCTAAATCTGTTTTAAGTACATCATCAGAAAGGATATATCCAATGAAAAAGTAGCTCAAAAATAACAATACATTGATACAAAAATATCATAATGCTTAAAAATTAATTTTATGAATTAGAATTGAGCACCTGTGATGTTGAAAGAACCAAATTCTTTTGGAATTCTATTGAAGGGATCTAGAAATATGCTGTCATGAATAAACTCTTTCTTTTAGTTAACGTTATGCATGAATTGTCTTATCCCGTAACATTTACAAGTTCGATGACACTAAGTCAAATGATTAAGGAGACAATTTACATTACTGTTAATATCATAGTATTTGAGAGAAAGTTTTTATAAACATTATTATATTGAACTCAATATATGTTTAGGGAGATGAGAGAAAGCGGGTTACCCAGTATCACTTCACTGCAAAAATATCTAATGCTTAAAAATTAATTTTATGATTGCCGAGCACCAGTGATGTTGAAAGACGTTCTTTTGGAGTTCTATTGAAGGGATATATCACACACGGTAAAATCTTTCTTTTAGTTAATGTTATGCATGAATTGTAGTCCACTGCAGGTACTATCTTCTGAACAATTTAAATACCGGACTAAATTAACATATTTGAATAATTTTTTTATTATTACTGAAATAAATAAATCTATCTATGTGTTTTACTCCAGTTTTTTGTTATGATTTGTCTGACTTTACTTCCTTAGTTATAGTTTGTCTTACTTTACTTAGTTTTTTGTTATAGTTTGTCTTACTTTACTTAGTTTTTTGTTATAATTTTTTGATTATTACTTTAATAAATAGTTTTTTGTTATGTTTGTTACTTTAGTTTTTTGTTATAGTTTGTCTGACTTTACTTCCTTAGTTATAGTTTGTCTGACTTTACTTCTTTAGTTATAGTTTGTTTTACTTTACTTCCTTACAGCGCTGGTATTGGTAGAACGGGGACATTTATTGCTCTTGATTCACTCCTGAAGGAAGCAGCTGCTATGGACAGCATTGACGTCATCAATTGCGTCTCTAAGCTACGTCAACAGAGGGCGTTTTCAATCCAGACAGATGTACACAAATTGATCTTCTTTTACGTAAATTTTATCAATTATGTCATTAGTGTAATTTTTAAGTATAAATGCTGTTTTTTATTTCTCCATTTAGATGCAGTACGCGTTCCTGCACGATGCCATTGTACATGCCGTGACCCACCACAATCTACCAATTCCCATTCATAAACCGGACGAGATGTTGACAAATTGATCAATCGTGAATACAAGACAGACATGTACATATAAAACCATTTACCAGCGACCCAAGCAAAGAAGGAGATTTTCAAACTTTGTTCACAGATTTATTGAAGATTTCTTATGAAAATGGTCATGAAATTGTGATGAAATTATTTATATTCATGATTTTTTTTGCTTTAACATTTTTTTTAATCTATTACAAATTATTTTAAGTTCTGTGTGCGTTGTGATAAAAGTTCTTGGTTTGTTTATTGTTTGTTTATTTGAAATCATAATGATTGTTTAAATGGCTCTGTTTTCTTTGTACATACATTTCTATGCTACAGTGTAGTAACACAGATCTTACAAAGAGAGTATTTTGAAATCAAAATAAGATGTTATCGTTTGATCATTCAATGTATTTGAAGATATATTTTGATTAACATGTAAATAATTCTAATAATACGATGTAAATATCATAATTTAAATATTGCTTATTTTGATTTACAAACTTTTTGCTATAGATGTTTTAGGCCATTTTCGGCCAAACCTATGTTATAAAACTGTAGATGTTTGTATATATCATATTGATTTTATGTTGCTTACTCTGAGTTTTTGAGATAAAATAATAAAGATTTTCAGATTTTTAAAATTGCATATCGATATGCTAGGTTACTGTCATGATAGTAATAAAAGCAATTAGAAAAATTATTAAAATAGTAAAAACAACGAATGAATAATGCTACAGGAATTCAAAACCTTGTCTTTAGTAATGGCTTTGATGCCTGTACTTTTTGGTAAGTGTTTATGATTCAGTGTGCAATTTCATATAGAACATTTGATGTTCGCTTTTTCCTACGCATCTGAGTTGTTATACATCAAAATTTTAAAAATTGCCACTCTTTCTTTTGAAAAAAAATATACAGTCAAAAAGATTTGTATTTCAAAATTTAAGGACTATATTGATTTAAATGATAAGCATCATTTCTGGAATAAATTGTTGAACAGTACTCGTGAGTTTCTTCTTTCCTGCTGTTATTTATAAGGGGTGTTTAAAAAGGCTTGGTGCATGTACATGTGCAATTGTTACTGGAATCCACTTTTTATCTTTGTAAGGATTTTAATGTAGTTTCTAAATCCAGTATAAGTATAAGTTAATGAAACTGAAAATTGATTATTAGAATATAATGTTTATTCTCTTTCTCTGTTTTATTAATTTAAACATATTTTAGTTACTTTGATGGACGTGTTCGGTACAGTCTGCCCGGCCACCTGTCTATGTAGTTTTGTCTGAATTTTTTTTATGATTCAATCTCTGTAAAACTTCCCACAATGTATCCTTCCGTGAAGCAAATTAAATTCGTACAAACTTATATTAATGCCTTTTTTAAAAGAGAAAATTAAAAACGAGAAAAATTATGTGAGAATTATTCCAAGACCAAAAATCTAGAAAACACAAAAGTGAAGAATTCCGGAAATCGTGTAAATATTTTAAAATCTTTATTTCAAAACAGCATGATAATTAGTAATATCAATAAAACATATACTCGTTATGTACGTGTAATAATTTCTCTTAAAATAAAGCTCATCTGATTGAAACGAATATTATAAAGTTTACAATTCACTCAGGAAGGTGAAAGCTTCACTTTGATAAAACAAACAATGGAAAACGACCAAACAACCAATCTTGAGTCAAAAATATTTTGAGATTAGAGCTTGTAGCCGAATACACAAAATGCACAAAAATGCTGATTTCCGTAGTTAATCAAAATTTTCTTAAACCGATAAATAAGCATCCTCGTAGGGTCAAAATCGTTTGTTATATAGTACAAAAAATCTTTTAAGAAATGCTTAAAGTAGAATATCGGGATAAAGAACTGGATTCAAGCTCAAAATTCGTTACCACAATAAAACTCGAGGAGCGGAGCAAATACGGATATCAGAGGTGGGATCAGGTACCATGGAGGAGTCAGCATTCCCTGCAGACCGGCCACCAGCGCCGACTGAAACACCTATTTCTGAAAATGTAAAACAAACCAATACCCGTAGCTCAATTTCTAAGGATGACTTTCTTCAAAAGCATATGTAAGTTTTATACTCTTTTATATTTCCCAACCAAACTGAATCTGATTGAATCTGAAATACTTCAAGCATACTTGACTCTTAAAAAACATAAAAATCCTTAGCTAGAGACATAGCGGGTGCATTCTAGTAAAGAAAAACCTCAATAGTACTTACCGTACAACAATATATCTGAGAAATTTTGTTTATCAGATGTGGATACTTAACAACTCCAAGTAAGGTTTAGAAAATTTTATAAAACTCCGAATTTTGTATTTAAATGATGTTTGTGTTTCTCCATCACAATATATATAGTTTTTTTTAAGGTCAGGGCTTCCAACAATCGGTCGAAATTCATATTAGGACCAATTGTGTCCAATTATTAGCAGACAAATAAGTCCCAATTGATTCCATACGAATGGTCTTGCTCTACGTTGGAACAATTTTGAAAATGTAGCAAGCAATTCATAAACACATTGACGAAATATGGATAAAAACAAGTTTGGCTTTCCAGAAAGCCTGAAATGTCATCTCTTTGGTATCAATAATGTCAAAGAAATAAAACAGAAAGGTAAATATTTTAATGCAATGAATATATGGATTATTGTACCTGAAGTTCCCGAATTACTTATAATTCAGCAAACAGAAAACTAAGCTGACAAGTATTTTAACATAAGAAAGAACAGTCCAAAGATGATTAGTACCCACGTAAATCTTAAGTATTTAAACCTTTCGAAAAAAGCCACCTATACCTACGTTTTGTTCACTTTTAAGAAAAATGAGGGGCAGGGTCCCACGCAGTGATTTAACTATGGATACTACTACAAATCTATATATAGAAATCGCGTCATTGTCAGTTCTCCTTGTGTGGCTTATCAATTTAATAAGGCATATTATTGAGGATCACTATATATACGACACACCAAAACTTTAGATATTTATAAGCATCGTACTTCTTTTCTAAATTTTCCTTGGCTTTCAAGGCAAATAGGCCTAAACCGAAAGTACATCACACACTTGTAAGCTAGTTCTGTTTCTAACAATATATATAGTTTACAGCTACTTGGAACTCCTTGTGTAGATTCTCACTTGAGATATTGTAAAACATCGAGGATTCCCGAAAAATTAATGGAGGCTTACACTAGGACTTTACTTCCGGCATACAATCTTAATGTGTCATCTCCCGAGGGAGATGACAATAATCTTTGAATTCACCATTTCGCAAATCATACGTTTGGTAGCATGACCTTGTCAGCAAATACAATATATCATTCAGTCAAATACTAAGTTTTTTATACCGATTGTCTGGACATCATTTACTTCAGGCACATGCATGACTCCGACAAAACGATTTTGGCCCTATTCATTTAGCTAGTTTTAACAGATTTAAAGATGTTGAAATTCTTTTTGAATACACTGGGATATCGATTATATGTTGCAATATAACATTTTTTTTAAATCCAGCCTCAGCATCAAAACATTTTATATACATTATCATTATTTATTATTATTATTATAAAATTCGTGTAGCGCTTAATATACTTAAAATTACTCTAAAGTGCTTAAACATAAAAAAATAAAATATACAATAATTAAGACATTATTGAGAATATGAAATAGACATATAGATATTGAAAATTTAATAATAATTATGAAAATTTTTAAAAAAAATAAGATTCTTAATGCATGAGCCTACATATATTTTTCCTGTCTCCTATAGCTTGAGCGGAACAATGGTCTACTCTGTAAAACAAGTTCCTATTTCGATTTATTCTTCTTTGTGTATGTTTGCAGGGATGCATTATATTATGAAGGCTTTTAAAAGTATTAAAAAGAAAAATAAGCGGGTTACAAAGGTTAAAAAAATGTTTAAATTTTGAATTTTTTTTTAGGCACAGTTCATGCACTTACGTTGTATTTTTACTATTATTTTGTGGGCTATGGGATATATACGTATGTCATTTATAAACAAAGATAAAAACGAAATAAAATCAGTTACTATGTAAAACTACAGGTTTCTCATAAAGATTAATTGATTGGGTGTATGTTGTTCAACGTTCCTCTCGAGAATTTTTCACTCATAAGGAGACGCCACCACTTGCCGATGAATAGCTGCAAATTTTGTCCTATATTCGGCACTTAAGACCATTGAGCAGCGATTGGTCTTTTTCATACCAGCACCTACTGCGACTTGGGGCCTCGGTTTATAACGTGAAACATATAGAGATAACAAACAGTATCCAAGATCAAAAGTCCATAAAACAATACAAATTAGGAGCAGAGCAAACACGGACCTTGAAAACATCAGAGGTGAGATCAGGTGCCATGGAGGAGTGAGCATCCCCTGCCGACTGATCGCACTCGCCGTTTGCCCCTTGTCATGATCGCAAAATAACGGAAAAATCCATCGTCAGGTCAGTCTATAAATAATGGACTATTAATAAGTATGAAAAACGTCAGTTAGCATTTGACTAAGTGATGCATAAATTTGTATTTGCTGACAAGGTCATTGTATCGACCATATAACTAAGGAAACGATGACTTTACAGGAGACTGCTGATATTCTTGTTTCATAAACTTGTTTGTCAATAATATACTTCGTTTTAAAAATTGTTCATTCATAGAGAATGCCTATCGAATTGACTGAGATATATAAACTCGGTACAGGTGGTGAAAGTATATTGCTGCATAAGTAAGGGGAGTTGACAATAGAAAAGTTAAAGTCATTTTATCATAGAGCTTGGTTTTTAGACTACCATTGCCTTTTGCAAGTAAAATGTCGAACTATGAAAGAGATGTGTCAAACTCTGTGATATCTTTTATTTAAAACTCGCCAGGATACCGTATAGCGGATTTTTTGGCGGGTGTATACTTTGGCGTTTTGCCTGCTTAAAGGTATGCCAATAATTTTGGCGTAATTAATTTTAGCGGACACAGGGTTTCAGGTCTTTGCAGATGAACACTTAGAAGAGTACTTACTATTTTAGCGATTAAAGAGTTTAGCGGATTTCCAATAAAACGCCAAAAGAAGCCAAAATTAGCACCCCGCTAAAATTACCCGCTATACGGTGTATCGTATCTACATGAGAATAGAAATTACCATAATTGTTAATTGACAATATGTCATCGATATATCTAAATGTCGAACTAAAGGCCACAGAAAGTGTTTTCTTATTTTCACATATAACATTTTGGACAGATTCTGCTTCATATGAATACAAAACGGGGCACAATTGGTACCCATTGGAATTCCAATATGTTGTTTCATCCGAAGACCAGTCTCCACTCCAACAATGGGAATCGAACCTGCGACCTAAGGATGAACTCCTTGCTTCGCGACTGTAGAGCAGACGATCTAACTGGCCACTCGGGCGACTATCTCACAAAAAAGAAGCAACCCATCATAAATGCGTACAACAATGTTCAATTCAACTACTTATAAGCAATCTTAATAAAATAAAAAACTGAAAAATTATTTGAATTAAACCCAGGTAAGCTAAATTAGTTTATTATAGCAAAATCGTTTTTGACATTTTCACGGATTTTCAGTCACTCCTGACTTCAGTGGACATTAGTGTGAAATATGGAGTCACAACCTCCCTGTAATCTCCCTGCATGATATTGGTAATTCATGAGGTAGGAAGGGATGGACTCTTGAGCGTGGTCATTTCATTTTTTTTCCATCACTAGACAGTCTGAAGTAGTTATCTACTTTCCGATTGGAGCCTTTTGTTTGTGTAGCGTACCAAAAATGTTTTTATGCCCCCGTAATCGAAGACTCGGGAACTTATAGTCTTTGCTTTGTCCGTCCATCTGTCTATCTGTCTGTTTATTAATCTGTTTGTCCGCAAACACTTTAATCTTGTCCATACCTTTTGATAGTGTAGGGCTATGGCTTTTATATAATATTCCTTGTGACAAGACCATAGTTTTTGTACCACCAAATCTGACCTCATGAGTATTTGTAGTTTGACCCACTTTTACCAAAAATTACTTAGCCATAACATTTGAATAGTTGGTACTAAGGCTTTCATACTTCACATGTATTCAATGTGACACGGATTTATACTGGGTGCTGAACATATCTGTCCTTTTGACCATAACCTTAGAGTCCATTTGTCCGTCCGTCTGTTACAAATTGGGGTACCCATCTCATATCTTCAACTCCTCTCATACTACCTGATGAATTTTAATGAAACTTTTTCGGAATCTTTGTCCCATAGTGCCATTGTGCACCTCCTATTTGACTTTCTGATCGACACATATTTCCCTGTACATGGACACTGCTATTCTTTCCATAATATTGAATGTTACCGATGTCTTATCTGCATCTCCTCCTATAAAATTTGATGAATTGAATGATGCTTTCAGAGATTCTTTATTACATAATGCATTTGTGTATCTCATATATTATTCATAATTTTTAATCCGAAACTTATTTCGTGTCTCCGAGAACAAAACGTGGATTTTAACATTATAATGGTATGGTAGGCGGGAATATCATTTCATGAGCTCAGTGCTAACAGTACTCCTAGTTTAAATATATGCACATTTGCTAACGTTAACCAGGAATTATAGTACATCTGTTTTTTATTTTAATATTTCACTCGAAAAAGTCTTGAACGAATGCTTAATAATCAAGATTGATGATAAACGTGATGATTTCAATTATTGGTCGTTACAATGGCCTTGCCAGAAATAAATCTGGCATTAAATAAAATGTTGATAGACCTTTTCCATACTAATTGTTTACACGCTGAATTGCCTACAGAGTTTTCCGTTATTTCCTGATCATGACAAGGAACAAACTGACCGGTCGGCAAGACAGTCATGTTCACTCCTCCATGGTCTCTAATCCCACTTCTGATGTTTTTGAGGTCCGTGGTTGCTCTGTCCCTGATTTTTTGTTTGAATAAACTTGTGTGCTTAAAACTGTTTGTTATCTCCGTATTCTATAGAAGATGACCAATAAAAAGATGCATCCATTCTTTTTTAAAGAAGCAGCTGTCTATGATATAAAACGTGATCTTTGATGTATGCTTTGGAAATGGTTACTTGAAACGTTGTCTATTTATGCCAATGCTATTAAGCATGATTTTGTGATTTCACATTTTTCTTCTTTTGGGTTATTGTGTCCATAATTTATAAATACTACTTCTTATGGTGGCATATTTATGCCTTCCACATACTTTTTTGTCAACATAGCATAGCATATCATGTCAAGTCAAGATAACTATCTCGTCACGTAATGAAAACTTTCAGATTTGTCGTCAAACACCGACTTTTATCTTGTACAGTCAAGATAAGCTATCGTATTTATGCGATAGCTCTCTCGACAAATATAAATAATCTTGTATATCGATTAAAAGTTATCTCGTCATATCAAGATAGCTATTGCAACAAAATGTGATAGCTTATCTTGACTGGACAAGATATAAAGTCGGTGTTTGTCGACAAGCCAGAAAGTTATCATCAATTGACGAAATAGTTATAATATGTTGACTCGACATGATATGCTATGCTAAAAAAAATTATATGGATGGTATGGTGGCATATTAATGCCATCAACACATTTTTTTGTTAACATAGCATATCATGCTTAGTCAAGATAAATATCTTGTCAAATCATGATAACTTTCTGGTTTGTCGACAAACATTGACTTTATATCTTGTCCAGTCAAGATAAACTATCACCTTTAATTTGTTATTTCGACATGACGAGATAATTTATCTTGCATCATGAATAAATAGCTATCGCAAAAACACGAATCCTAATTTGAAAAAGGGAGGTGGTGACACATCAACATTTAGATTCATAAGGAGGGGGGGGGGGCTATTGTACCGATCACCACTTTTGAAGAGGGGGGGGGGGGGGGGGGCAAGAGTATCTCTGTGCCCCTCATCCGGTTAAAAAAAACCTGAGTACAGCAGAGATCCACTAATATATCCCCAAACTAAAGAAAATTCTCGCAGTTGGATTTTGATTAAATCTCTGTTTTTTTTTCTTGTTATATATCTAATTTGGCAGACACTACACTTTCCTCCTTTAATCTTTGTGACTAAGTTTTTACAGATTGGCTGAAATCACAAATTATTTTATATTATTTTAAGCAATAAGAAGTCAGATCTGATGTGCTGATAGTTATTTTTTAGTTGATATATTCTATCATGGTTATATTTTAATGTGATTTACAAGTATTCTATCATTGTTCACTGTTTATATTTTTGGAATTCAGTAAGTGGGTGATGGTGGGTGGGGGTTGGGTGATAGGTTTCAAGACTGTGGAAGTTCGCGTTCATAAGTCAGATCCTATGTATACATGTTCCACAGAGCGGAACACCATCAAATATTTACAAAGTACATAGTCAGTTTTACTTTTATAATTCTGTTTTTTTTTTTTCTAATTTCGCTTCATACGCCCCCACTGAATTCAAGAGATATTAGTTAATATATGACAGTGAACCATGATAGAATATAACAGATCCCCACCTCAAAAGTGGTGATGGCTACAATAACCTCATATGATAATGCTTATAATCTAAATGTTGATGTCTCACTATCTCCCTTTTTCAAATATTTTTGAATTACGATATCAAATGCATGGTACATAAGCTTTCACTAAATCCCAAGTGAAGTGAAGATTCATTAGAATTCTTCCCGCCCACGCGAAGTTAATTCAAAAACCCTTTATACTGACATCTTAAGAATATTCATATATCTATATAAATATATATATATTCATTTTTTTTCATATCGACAATACTATATAAATGTGATTGATTATCTTGTCTTGATTGATATCTGAAAATTAATATATTATGTCAAAAAATATTAATACAATTCAAAATACAAATGTATGTGTATAAATAAGGAGTTTAACACTTTATATGGTGATAAGACAATAAAATATAAGACAATATACAAATTTATAACACAACAAGTGTAGAGCCATTTACGCTTCCGTACTAAATGCTTTTAATAATGGTGCTTTTGCCGTCAATTCCCTTTTTCCGTTGAAAAAGCCGAGATAAGTGTAATTTCGGAATGTTTATTTGTAGAATCAATGTTCAAACGGAAATATGATGGATGATTTTATCTCCTTTCGTGGAAAAATTCCGGACTCGTCCATATTTTAAATTGGACAGGAACTTCATTTTAAGTTCCTAACTTTATTTATAAAGTGTATTTAGAAACAGTTCTTATTACAGCTTAAATTTTGATTGAAAACTTAGAAACAGATTTTTAAAAGTAAAGAACAGTGAAGAAAGTAACGTACATATTTTGTATATATCAAATTATTTTAACAGAAAACAAGTGGTATCTTTTTTATAACGACAAATATTTTTCTGTCTGACTCTTCTCACTATTCTTTATTCATTTTTACTAAAAACACCAAAATAAAGCTCAATAATATGATAAGAAATTGATTCTCGATTATGTTTTCTTTTCAAATAATTATAGTGTTGTATGAACGTATAATATTTACACGTAACTGTGAACTGGTTAGTTTACAACAATTCAAGTGACACGGAAGATAACATTAATTGTTGAAATTTTGAAAGAACACATCAAATATGGCAGAACTATTGAAAAGCACGTGTTTGTTTTTGACAATCAGTTTTATACAAGGTATTTTTAAAGATATTATTTTTGATTTCACATAGAGATAAAAATATTCATGGCAAATATATATGAATATAAGCTGTATCGTATATTTGTTAATTATTGTGGAAAAAAGGATAAATGTTTACATTTTTTTCTTATGTTTCAATGACTTTCATCTTCAATAATATTGATACCCATTTTTATCTTTGATTAACTCTACTTTTAATCCTTACTGGGGAAAATCTAAACTTCATGTTTCTTAAACTAGCCTTTGAATCGTAGATATTTTTATTTGATTTTTTATTAATTTCCATTGTTAATTCTAAATAAATGAATTGGAAGATTTTTGCATGAACGGTTTTGCAGAGGTTTTTAATTTAACATATTATTTTCTTACGTTTAATTTCTCAATAGTGGCAGGTTTTATAAAGATTTTTTTTTTATTATCATTATTTAGTTTTCTCTGTATTTTCTTCTCAGCTTTATCATTTTGTTTGACAGGTTTGAATAATTTTTATCTTTGAAATTAGTTTCCTACCTGTAATTTCTCTAGAGAATCCTTATTTTGTTTGACAGGCATTGAATACTCATCGCTCTCCCAGTCCTCCTTTCCTGGTAATATTTCTCCAGTCAGGAGGGAAGACTACGCCGCACAGGCTGTGGACGGAGATCCGTTTACATTCATTCAAACGAAAAATGGAACAAATAATTACTGGAGGATTACATTTGATAGACCTACCTCAATATCATGTTTTACAATGTTTGTCTCTGGAGGTTTGTTAATATTGGCTAAAATGCTGTTGTACATAAAATAAAACTAATTCAAATAATCCTAAATATGTTTTGTCTGATTTGAGAGATCTAATTTTTTTTCTGATTCAGGTGTCTATAAGATCAGCGTGAATTTAAGCTATCCACATTCGCAGGAAAAACTTTGCGATGAAATTCCTGCAGAATCGGTCCAGAACATCTACAAAATTAAGGTCTGCTGTGACAGAGAACTTCAGGTGGATTCCTTCACGATCACACGAACAGATGTTGGAGTGTTACAGCTTAATGAAATTTACTTAAAGGGTTTGTCTTAACATTATAGTGTATATAAGTTTCAAATACAAATATCCATATTTCCATGTTTTATAGTTATACATGTGTTAGATTTGGGTAAACAAGATAACTTGCAAGACATTGAATACACTAAGGTAGGACACAATAGATAGGCCAATTTTTTCCTCAAGCTCAATTTTTCTAAAACTTTGATATTTTGTTCAAGGATACAAAATCTCTCTTTAATTATGATTTGAAAGGAATTCAGCCACCAATTTTAGCCCACATAGTCTGAAATATGGCCTACCAGACCCCTGTTAGAAGATTGTGAAATCATACATTCGACTTGAGAATGAGCCTCATTTTAGAATTATCAATTGATATATTGCACATTTGTGTAATACTTTTAATAAAGATAACCTTTTTGTTACTTTAAATCAGTAAGTCATATTGATACAGGAAAATTTGAGTAAAATAGAACATACCTAGAGTTGGAATTGAAAATCCACATGTAAATACCCGACGGTTTAAGTTTTCTTAAGAGAAAATGCGTAATTCAATTTTTACTAAAATTCAACAGAATGATTCAAATGCATCCTAGATTAAAATGTGTGAAAATAAAGAAAATTGAACCAGTGGTTTCAGATATTTTGGCGATTAAAATAAATCAATGGCAAAAAACCCCCAAAAGATTCAGTAGATGACGTCACAATATTTGACCTTTGACCTCTTGATATGACCTTGCCCTTTGTAGAACATAGAAAATGGAGAATCCTTATATATATTCCAAATATCAGCCCTCTACTAGTTATGGAACAAAAGTTACATTTTATTTTATAACAGACAGTTACATACTTATTTATTGCACTTAGATAGCTTAAACACATTCCAAAATGTAAGCTCCCAAGTGACCAATATATAGGATTCTCTGATTTTTTCCACAAAATATTACGCAAACATGCCAAAACTTACTATTTTTCTTACAAGGATCATTCATTGTTGTCAATATAGTAATACTACTATTATTTTTTTCTCCAGTACTTTTTAAGAAATAAGTTAAAATAGAATCCACGGGTGTTGTGTCCTACCTTAAATGATTTTGAACGACCAAATAACAAAATTAAATCTTAGAAAATAAAATGCATGATACATACCAGCATATCTCTTATTGTTTGATCAGTTTTACATCCCCTGGAAGGTGTATAAAATTTTCTCATCTGATACGTAATTAAAGTTGGTGAAGGATTGAAATATAAATTTTTATTCAACACTCGGAACTCTTGCTTTTTGAATATCTTTTACGTGTCAATGCCTAACGTGACATTGGAATAGGGTTTAAGGATTTCCATTGCTTTCAGGACCAAATTCTTTACCCTTAAATGTCCATCAAGTACATAATACTGATGTTAAATGAAAGCATTTTCTAGTAGGAAAGGATCGCCTACAAGAAAGTTTCAAAAGTTTCTTTAATTAAGCAATACATAATTAACAAAAAATGCACTGAAGTCTCTGGGAAAACGCAATTTTTAAAAATATGAATTCAAATAATTTTGATATCCTTATATAATGTGATGGAAAGATGCATTCAAGGATTAGAAAGAGACAGACAATTAAAAAAAATATTTTTTACCGAACAAAATTTTTGAGATTGATTTTTTGTATTAATTAAAAATAGATGGAGATAACCAATTAATTAAAAATAGATGGAGATAATCAAAATTCAAAGTCATAAATTAGGACACATCCTACTTTTATATGTCAATATTAATAAATGGGAAATTATGTCTAAGATACCTAGTTTTCAACACCTACATTTCTGTTATGTATTCAATATCATTAAATCTGTAGCTTTAAGGTATTGTAACCCGTTTTTGTTTTAAGTTTAAAGAGATATAATGCAATGTATGTCAAATTTTCAGGTTGCTGCAAAGGTTTTTACGGTTTTTCATGTATGGAATGCAATGAATCCTGCTCCACATGTGACGCAGCAAATGGGGAATGCTTATCATGTGCTCCGTTTAGGTTTGGAGCTCGATGTGAGAAGACTTGCCCGTATAAATGCCTGAATGGATTTTGTGATAGAGACACTGGATTCTGTACAAGTTGTTACCCCGGGGCTTCAGGGCAGAAATGTACACCATGTAAGGGAGGAAAGTATGGCCATCACTGCAACCAGTCCTGCACTGACCATTGTGACAGCGATTGTGAAGCTGAGACAGGCAAATGCATTGCATCCAGGAGTTTAGATAAAAATGGAGAGGTCTTCGACCAAAAGAATATTTCCATGGCTGTAGTAGTCTTTTTGGTCTTAAATATAGTAATAATAATTGCTCTTGTGGAGAGAAAAGCAATACTGAGGATATGTATGACCAAGAAATATGACTCATGTGAGACATATCGTGTTATAGAGCTAGAAGAAATTAGGCAGGACGACTCAAATGAATATGAGGAAATATGTCAACATGAATATGTGAACACATTAGATTTGAAAGTGTCCGTTGATAAATTTGTAGAAAAAGTCAGAAGTAAGAAGGTGAATTTTGTCAAGGAATTTAAGGTAATTTAAGAGGCAGTTTTCTTATTTTAATGTTAATGCACAACATGTTGATGGTACTTAAAAACATTATGGTAGAAGGTAAACTTTTGTTTTTTGTTGAAATTAAACTTTAAACACAAATTTAGTTAAGATTTGAATGACATCTACAATTCATCATACATTTACGTTACTAAGTTTTTCTATAAATGATTTAATAACATTTTTGCACTTTATTTCAGGAAATTCCTTGTGTAATGACAGATGCTCATCTCAACGCACTTCTTCCAGAGAACAGAAGAAAAAATCGTTACAAGAAAATATATCCAAGTATGTTTGATTTTTGTGTTTAAAGACTACAACTGTATTAACAGAAATATTAATGATTAAAGGTTTTTTGTTTTCTTGTTTATTTTAGATGACTGTTGTAGAGTTATTCTGGACTTGTGTGACGTGACTGGAAACTCAGATTACATAAATGCATCGTTCATAAACGTAAAGAATGTTATTAATCTGTCTTTTTATGCATAAAGTAGTAAAATACACAAGTAAGATACAAATGGAGCGGATATGAGATTTTTAAACGAAAATGTTCAAATCAATAGAGAGTATCCTTTTGACCGATATATATGCTAAAATTAGTTGAATATTAAATAAATCTATTTCTTTGAATTCTGTATGTCGATTTTCATTGTTTATTTTCTGTTGAGAAAAGTGCACATCTTATTCTATGCTAAAATAATATTAAATTCCATTTCATTTAAAGGGCTTTGAGAAGGAAAGAAAATACATAGCTGCACAAGGTAATATGTGTAAGAATAAAATTAATGTGAACTAGGGGTACTAGTAATTTTTAGCAAATCACAACAGAAAAACGACTAGAGAACGTAAAAGTTTTGTTTTTTAATCATAAAAAACATATTGATCAAGATTTCTGAAAATAAAAAAATGGATTAACATTGAAACGACTACTCTATTTCAGGTCCATTTAATCACGAGACGACTGTTTTGTTCTGGGAAATGATCTGGCAATACAACATTTCTAGAGTATTGATGCTAACTAAACTAATGGAAGGCGACGGCGTGAGCTGATTCTAAATTAAAATCTCTTTTATGAATGATTTTGTAAATTTGATTTTATATATCAAAAACATGAAAGTATATAGGCACTTCATAGAAAATATATTTTTGCTCACAGGGAAACTGTACTACTAAGGTTGCTGTTAATGTCAGTATTTTCTAGCTAGATATTTATTGTATTCTTGTACGGCATCTAGTAAAAGTTTACTGTGATATATTACAGATGCAGTGCGTGCAGTACTGGCCCCTAGCAGAAGAGAGGATAGGACGTGTAAAAATTACTCCACAGGGTTGTCGTATAATGGAGTGCATAACGACCAGAACTTTTCTTTTAGAAAGGGTACTCTTATTAATTATTTGTTTTGTAACGATTCTTGATGCACTATACGTTTAAAAAATCTTTTTGAGTTGAAATGTTCAAGTTTAAATCCATTTCTATCTGGGAAATATGAACTTCTACAAAAACAGAATTTGGATGTCCTTACTTTAATTTCAATCTACGAAACTATGTATTTCTAATTGAACTCTGCACAGGATGACGAATCACGAACCCTAAAACATTACCAATTCACGGGGTGGTTAAAGAATAAAGTCCCAAGTAACGTAAATACAATAATACAGTTCCATAACTTGGCCAGATTTGAGGAGGACGAGGAGTCGGGACCAATTCTTATTCATTGCAGGTTTGAAAAAGTGTAAATTAAAATGGAAAGAAAAAATCAATTTCAATACATATTTCATTAAACATTTCAGAATTTTAATTAGTTTTGTAATATTTTAAAATAAAGCATTACTTATATAATGATTTCGATGAATTGTGTCTCAGCGCGGGTATTGGAAGAACTGGAACATACTTAGCCTTTGATTACCTGATGGAAGAAGCCAACAAGAGAGGGACTGTTGACGTCATCAACTGCATCGGAAAACTACGACAACAAAGACCTTTCATGGTGCAAACGTCGGTATGCTTAGTATTCAGTGATTACATGTGCTTTGGAAAGCCCCTTTTAACAATAAGGTGTATCTTATCAATCAAAGCCGAGCTTTGCTCTTTTAGATTTCTCTCGTTATTCCAACTTTAGATTAATTATGATATAAACAATGGATATACGAGGGTTGTTCCTAAAAGTCGTAGACAGTGTTTATAACTTTGTTAACATGCAACTAATGCTATCCAATTTTTGCATAGTAATAATATATTCAATGCGCTTTAAATTTTTGATTTCTTAAATATATATCTTTCACATAAATAATATTGGAACGATTTATATGAAGGCCGATATGGTTTGTCGGCGCACGAACAAATTTGGAATAAATTATGTATATAGCTATTACATTTGCTTTTATTTCTTGGGTACTATGTAAAAAGTTGAACTCAAATTTAAATAAAACAGAATAAAAATCTTAATAGCATGTCAAATTTTCATATAAATTGCATTAAAAACAGACGATTGGTGACATAATTTTCAAAGTATTGTTGGAATTGATTTGTGTTGCTGGATGGGAAATAAATATTTTGGATATGGTTTATCTACATCAGAGACGGAAAAAATAATACAGAAGTGACATTACACACTAGATTCTAATAGAAAAGTTATTTTTAAATGCTATGAGATTCAATGATATCATCATGAAACTTAAAATGCATGATCATAAAATGTTAAACTTTACTATGACATGAAAAGAAATTTAATTTAGCAAAGAGAAACTAAACTGATTTCCCTGTCTACGTATCTTGGAATTTTGAAATTGTTAATCATTGATGCTTAATCAAGAAGCAGCTGATACCATCTCTGATGATTTCAGAGGTCTTTTGTTTGTTTGCTCCATTTGAAATGTGCAATTGGTCTTTTAACCATAATTATTTATATTTGGAGTTTTAAAAAAATATTTCAGTGTTTCTACATCAAACATTTTCCCCTATTTTGATGTCAAATAATGAGAATTTGTCAGCATTTGTCATAGGAAGAAATAACAAAAAAGGAGGAACTAAAAGAAAAAATATTTTAAATCGAAAACTCTGACCAATGAAATATTTGGAGGAAACCAACAATTTCAAACTCAAAAGTCCATTAAACGAAACATGTCAGGAGCAGTGTAAAAACGAATATCTGAAATATCAAATGTGGGATCAGGTGCCACGGAGGAGTGAGAAGCCCCCGTTGACAATGAAACCCGCCGTGTGCTCCTTTTCATGATATAAAAGAAGACTTGATTTATTGATCGATAGTTAAAGATTTTCTCTTTAGTTTGGATAAGCTTTCGTGACCTCATGTCACGATTATATGGATATTTTTATCATATTTCCAACCTGATGTTTCCTAAAATATTTCAACTTCCTTATATCCTCCTATAAGTGGATGTATGATTTTGAGTACACTTTTAAGAAGGACAAAGAATCCTAAAAAAAACAGTCGTTTCATCTTTAAGCCATGATTAGAAATATAATCGTAATTGATATTTTCGTTTAAAAGAATGCATATTATATAATTTTATAATTCTTCAAAAAAGCATTTATGAAATGAAACTTTTCAAATGAATCAGATGATTCTTTTCAGGAAGAATACCGTTTTCTGCACGAAGCCTTATCTGAAAATCTCACACATATGTATGTGGACGTCATTTCCTGAAGAAGAAGCTTTGAGGATGTCAGAATTGTTTAAAATATGAGTAAAGGACAATCAGTGAGTCAGAGTAAAAGAAAAGAGGTCGTTTCAAAGTCCAAGATGGCCGTAAAAGGGGATGAACTTAAAAAATAATTCAAATTATTATAACTTCATTGCTATAGGAAGAGGAAACTGAATAATCCATACAAAATATAAGGACTCTTCTATGTTTCGTTTGATTTAATTTTGTGCATTGTGCTTTTAAATATCAGCTACTATCTTAGAGAGAGAGAGAGAGAGAGAGAGAGAGAGAGAGAGAGAGAGAGAGAGAGAGAGAAGAGATTTATGATTAATTTAGCTTAGATTAATATGATATCCTAATTTAAAAAATTGTAAGACATTGTAATTCCTGTACATCTTATTTTCATTATTAAATGTTGTTACACTTCTAACTATAATTGTTTAGTATTTCACACATACATGTATGCATTCTCTTAGCATGAGAAAACGTATTAATTTTAATACCGATGACAACACTGTAGAGTATGGCACGTAATCGAACAAAAGAAGTGTTTTATAAATTATAAACTATATAATTTTAAAAATGAATAAACACAAATCGTTCTACTATATATAAGTTGAAGTTTACACATTTGTATTTGTTACTTTGCACAGACAATTGCTTCTGAACTTTTTATCATCAAAAAAAGCTTTACATTGTATGAACATCTAAAACATAATACACAATCACGTTCATCTTTTCCACCCTAAAACTTTGTTTCTGTTTTACACGTCTATAACTGGTATAGTATATTTAAAATTAAGGACCTTGGCTAATTTATTTTTAAATGTCCAATATTTAGAGGAAACCGTTCTTTCAATTTAAAAGATGAAGATACGAAACGGTGATCGATCTCAGTTAGTCTATGAACAGTACAAGTATTGGGATAGGAAAAAATTACGGATCACACCCACAGATTTCAAATTTGGGATCAATAGTCATTAAGGGTCATTAACCCTCTGGTCACTTATATAAAATTTTGCTTGAACCTTAATGACTTTCCAGAAGAAATGTATCTGTTAAGTAAAATACAAACAATTATAGCATAGCTTGCGGGTCAAATTTTAACAAAAAGACTACCCAATTTTGCAAATCTAAAAAGGAATAATAAACAATTATGCCACTAAGAGTTGTCTCTCTTATCAGAGTATCAATGAACCTTAAAATATACAAAAGTGACACAGATGTGGCAGACTCAACTGGCATCATAAATTCATAAATTCATAAGTATTATGAATTCTGTGCAAGATTACACCAGGTGAAAGCTTAATATGAAAAAGGCTTTGACGCTTTGTCAGAATAGTGTGGAATATAAATTTAAGGGTACTTAAAACAAACAAAAATCTGATGCATGGATCGATGCATATTTTTTGACTGATTTTGATTTGAAATGACATAAATAATAAATCCCTGAAATATAAAGAAATTTTAGGTTTTCCTTGATCCTTAGATATGAGATTTTGTTTTGCTTTTTATATAATTCTATACAAAATGTTGCACTTTTTTTTTAACCTTAAGACAAAATCTTATAAAATTCTCCCACTATACTCGATAAAAATTATTCAGGTTACCAATTTGAATGTTAATCCATGAGAAATATTGCTACATGTAATATCTGAAAAAAGTTTGTTTGTGTTATTTATCCTTAAATCTCGCATTTAGGATGCATAACACAAAATTTAAATACATGGATTGATATGTATTTTTTGACTGAATTTGTTTAGAAATGACAAACTAAAGAAAATCAAAATACATGTTTTCTTTGGTTCTTAGATATGCGACTTTTAATCGTTTTCAATGTTATTGTATACAAAATTTTGTACACATTTTTAACTTTTTGACAAAAATTTACAAATTCCTCTGTGATCTGCATTTAACAACAAAAGTTAGATATTTGTATTGACTTTAACTTTAGTTTTGCATTGTCAGCTTCCCTTACTTATGTAGCAGTATACCCACATCATCTGCGTATGAGGTTAATATCTCTCAGTTGATAGGATACGCAAGAGCATGCTCGATTTACAGTGTGCGAAAAAAAATCCTCAAACTAAGAATTAGCTATAAACAAAAAGTATTTGATGAAAGAAGACTATCAACGGTGTCATTTAAAGCCACCATCTTGCACGTCTTGTGACACCTTATCAGTAAATATAACTCATCATTAAGGTATCCGATCAATAATAGCCTCAGGTTCAATGAATCTGAATGCATAACATATAATTATATTGGCTGAATCCTCAGTATGTGTAGCAATAATCTTCATATGCTTTAGTCTCAATATGTAAGAGCGGAATGCATCCTAATTTTTGACCTTGACGCGTCCTTGAAGAGTTATCCCCCTTTGCTTTTAAACAATAAATTCATTTTCAAAAAAATCATTTTTAATCGTTTTTCTATTCTTTATAATTATTTGCATCTTTTGTTTTTATATTCATAGTATCTAAAGTTTTATTTTTAAAAATTAGGTTTTTCCCATATACCTCAATGCATTCTTAATCAATTAATTACTACTGAGGTAATTATATATATATTTTTTTAAAATTCTCCTGGTAAATCCTTTTCTACTCTAAACTGCTTTGAATTAGTTTTAGAGTATTTAATATGGGATGAATATTGAAGATTAGAAAATTATGTCCCTTTATGGATCGGAGACCTTAAGACGAATACTGCGAACCGACTTTTTCATACTTATTGTTATGCTATTATTATCACAGCGGGGAATTTCTCAGTTTTCACGATCATGAAAAGTGTCACTGGTCGAGAGGGGATGCTTATTCCTCTATGGTACCTGATCTCATTTATGTATTAACACTCTGCACTTGCTCTGCATTTCCCTCGCATTTTGAATTGTTTAAACGTACTTTTGAGAATGATGACTTTTATGAAGCGTTATCTAAATATTTTTTTTTAAAAGACTGATTTTTCTTTTTCAATTTTTAAATAATAAAATAACAGTTCTGAGTATTTTTGTGCATTCATGAATTAAATTCCAGTAGTATTTCAAAAACTATTTTCATCAAATATATCTTAAATATTTTTTCATTCGTGTTTATTTTCAATCAAATAACAATCATACGTGCATTTAAAAAATAGGCAGATTTCACAAGAAGCATAAAGGGAAATTTTGTTCTCAGTGATAAATTGATTGTCTTTTGCATTTACAAATGTTTCTTATCAAGAAATCCACGAACCAATGGCAGCATGATGCTTCCAAAATCATGACTTTGTTTTAGTCTAGTTGATCATAAAATGAAACGCCTGATGAACAATTATTTTGCAAAATATAAAACCTGAACTGGTCACAGTTATTTATTTTGGTCTTCAAAAAACTCCATTTCAAAGGCTCGTATACAGTGGACCCTCAGATATCCGGATTCTTCAGTATCCGGACGCTTTTTCATCGGAACAGAATTTCAAAATGTTATTATGTTTTCTTTAACTGGTGATTCAGGTATCCGGACGCTTCACATATCCAGACAAATTGAAAGGGAAATGTTGGAAGCGTCCGGATTCAATTAATCCACTGTATTTGGTTCTGCTTCACTTTTATCGCCCTCATATTTGGCCGCAGTTATAGTCTAAACAAAGAAAACGCTTCCGTTTGTCCTGACATGAAGGACGCAGCGGGTGTTACCGACCGATAGAGTATGCTTACCCGGGTTTTCTAGAGTTGCGTGTTCGTTCTGCGTTCTGCTCGGGGTTTGTATTGATTTAAGGGACTTCTGTGTTTACTTCCGTTTCGGGGTTTTTTTCTCTACGGAATAAGTGTATCCGTGGTTTTAAGAAAAAAAAATCACCATTTTTAATTTGATACATTTAACCATTGGCAGTGAGTTTTGATAAAAACTTTATTCATTCATGAATGCATGTCTGAATTGCGGGTGTAGAGTGGAGTTTTACCCACTTTAGCGCTCGACAATGATAGATCTGACGTAATGCCAATGTCAGTGGAACTCTCTTAACTAAAGGGACTCATTACAATTTCTGTAATATTAATCATGTAAACAATTTCTGTTGAATTTTAAAATATTTCATCATTTAAAAACATTTTTTCTCACATCCCTAGCTAAGATTTATTTAAGTAGCATGTTTTAAGCTTCTAATTTATACCATTTTGCTTTTTCTTGTATCAGTATAAGGAAATTTCACAGTCTTCTGTGTATAACAAAACGGAAAAACGTCGTTAAAGTGTAAGATGCATAGAGTTTGCCTTATTAAATGAAGCTTAGAGGGAATGAGACACCAAAAAAAAGTTGGGGAGAGTTTGGGAAACATCTGTTACGATTCTCGTTACAATCAGCCCTAGTTTATTTTGGTCTTTAAAATCTCCTCATCTCCGGAAAGTTGTTCTCATATTTTGGCCTCAGTAATGATCTAAACAAAGAAAAAAGTTCCGTTAGTCCAATCCTGACAAGTAGGACCAGGCAGGTGTTCCCGACCGATAGTGTGTGTCGTCGACCGCGTGGGGCAGTGGTTAGAGCGTCTGCTTTAGAGTCGCGAAGTGAGGAGTCGATCCTTATGTGGCAGGTTCCCACTTTAACCAATCCACTTTAACAAACCCTACTTTGGGACGTGGAGACCGGTTCTTCGGATGAGACTGTATAAACCAAGGTCCCGTGTCCCAGTAGATGCTGGCACGAAAAAGATCCTACCTGCTCAATGGATCTAAGTGCCGAGTTTAGGTCAAAATTAGTAGCTCTCAACACGCAAGTGGTGGAGTCTCCCTATGAGTGAAAAATTCTCGAGAGGGAGGTTAAACAGCTTACAATCAATCAATCAATCAATCAATCAATCCCTGGCATTTCTAAATTTACGTGTTCGTTCTGCTCTGCATATGTATTGATTCAAGGGACTTCTGTGTTTTATTACTTCCGCTTCCGTTTTTTCGACGGAATAAGTTTATCAGTGATTTTAATCAGTGTAAACGAATGAAAAATTATTAAAAGACTTTTCCGAATTACTTCGCTTTCATCTCCTTGTCTTGCTCGGGCCTTGGTCAAGTTATTACAAAAATGAATAAATTCAATGAACATAATTATGAACAAATAAGGAAGGAAGTAAGGAAGTTGTACTCATTGATGCTCACTTGATTATTTTTGTGATTTGTACCTCTTTTGAAAGAATTTATGAAGAAGGAGCCATGAAATTAGGAAAAGAAATAATCGTCGTTTTTAATTTGATATATTTTACCATGGGCAGTGAGTTTTGATAATTTTTTTCATTCATTTATGCATGTCTGAATTTTGGTGTAAAGTTGTGTTTTACCCACTTTAGCGCTAGACAATGGCAAATCTGATATAAATGCAAATGTCAATGAAACTTTTTAAAACTAAATATACTTCATTACTCATTACAATATATATATTGTAATGAGTAATGAAATATATATGTAATACATGTATTAATAATTTAGAAATATTTTAAAATATTTCATCATTTAAAACATTTTTTTACATTCCCAGCTTAGATTTATTTTAGCAGCATATAATATTATTCATGCTCCTATTTTATACCATTTTGCTTTATCTTATATCAGGACTAGCCGCCCTGCAGTATAAGGCAGTTTCACAGTCCTCGGTGCCTGGCAAAACGGGATATTCTGCGGATGCATCCTTGGCTGTTGACGGAGATCCCTACACATTTACTCTCACTGGGGATGGCGTGAATAACTACTGGAAGATAACTTTTGACTCAGAAAGGACGTTCTCCTGTTTTACAATCATCATCAGATCAGGTATTTAAATATATCTGTTTGTTTTTACGTTTATTCGAGATTTCTTCACTCTTATTAATACACACTGCAAATTTAGATCTCTACTCGGCACTGATGGTTTTTGAAAGAGAGGTCCGGTCTTTTAGAACACGCCACGTAAGGATAAACTTCGTACTTTGCAACTATAGAGCAAACGCTCTAGCACAGCACCAAGCGGTCGTTAATGATCTGTTATTAAATAGGGTTTAGTGTGAAGCTTCAAAACTGTCGCTACTTTTTTGCATCACCTTAAAGTGGGCTAAATAATAATTTTCTCGACATCTTTTTGCCTGTCCGTCTGTCCATCAGGTATTGATTTGATATTTTGAAAATATTACTTAGCACTTTGTCTTTTGTAAAAACCATTTTAACCAACTTCGAGACTTTCGAATTTGACCATTGAGCTGATCTATTTTTCAAATTGTTCTTTGTGCATATATACAGCATATCGAAATATAAGAGTAAAATCTCTGTTAAGTATGTTTTGTGTTTACCATGAAACATTATAAAAGAAGTCCAGTGATATAAATTATGTAATATTGACCAAAGACTTCATTTTTAAAATAAATTTTGAACAGTTATTTTTTTTCTTATATTCCTAGACTCTTTTATCTTTTGAATTTCGATTAAGAATAAGACATTAATATCAATGTTTTATTGACACCGTGTCAAAAGCTTAATCAGAATGTCAAAATACCTCCTTTACTCAACCGAATGTTGTTTAAATACAACAAGAAGAAATTTGATGTGTTATATAGTGCAGTAAACATATGGAAATAACTTCATTATATTTCATCAAACATAAATATGTGTGCAAAGTTATATCTTTATGGAGACGATAGTCGCGAATTTTTAAAACTTATAGTCGGATAAAAATTGAACAAAAACGTACCATTTTAAACTATCAATTTTTGAAGTAAATGTTGGCTGCATAAAATATAAACAAAAGTTCAAAACATGCGTCACCTATACTTCAAAAGTGTATTGTTTTTCAAATAATGTAAAACAAGAACTGTACATATATAGTACGTTTTTAGCAGAAGTAAAATTCGATATTCTAAAACGAGGGACCTGTCGTTTCTACGAAAGTAAATGATAAGCAAGTTTATATATTAAATTTGAAAAACATATATATTTTTACAGATTCACTTTATGGAAGTAAATATATCACACAGCTTGTAATTTATATATAAAAAAACGTTCTAATTAACAATCTTTTCAAAGTTTAGAAAATCTTTAATTCTGAATAACTACTCCCACCCCAGTCACCATACACCAACAATTAAACTTATATGTACAGAGCAGCCCGGTCCTCCGGGCTGCAAAAAATTTGAAGAAATATAAAGAACCAAGATCGGTTCTGACATTTAAAACAAAGATATTTAGATAAGGTTTTGTCATTTTACAATTGCTTCAAAACTGGAAATATTTTGATATTTCTTAAGGGTTCACACAATATATGCAATAACTACATTTGTCCCTTTGAAGATTAAAATAATATACATAAGAAATTCTAGCATCTTAAATACATCTAATTGCTTTCGTATCATTGAAAAACTAGATTGTCTCTGATTTGAATTAATTGTTTAATATTTCTGATTACTTTAACAGGATAATATTTCTGAATTCTTTAATACATTTCATTTGTAGGTCAATATTCTTTATCCGTTAATACAGATGATGAACTCGAACAGTATTGCAATAATTTCACCGCAAAGGTTAATGTCTCAAAGAACAATATCACAAAGTGTTGTTTTAAACAACTGAAAGGAGATTCTTTAACCATAACCAGAACAGATCAGGGAAGACTTCGACTGTATGAATTCTCTTTCAAAGGTAAACTACAACTAAGCTGATCTGTGGGTCGTTAAACTAAAAATTTAAATGAATTCGTCTACTGGACAAAAGACCATGTATTAAATTGTGAGAGGTATTTTATGCCATGCCAGTTGAACTGATTTTTGCTTTTTAAAGTTTAAAATATTATTTGTTACTTAAAATGAGCCTAAAATTATCTTAGCCAGCCCAGTGTTTTAAATTCTGTCCGAGGAACTATGAAAATGGTCTAGCTTTAGTTTTTGTGTTATTCTAAAGGTCGTAATGTGAAACTCTCGGAAGATTCCTTGTTTGTTTTAAATAAAAGTTAAAAGTTAAAATAGAAATTGAAACTTAAATTAATGTAAAAAAAATCACATGAAAGATCAAATCTTTATGTAATTTCACACAAAATAATATAAAGGATGCTTCATGTGTATTAAATTTTATTTCGGTAATAAGGAGAGTAGGGAACAATTGTACTCACAAATATTTATTTTTGAACAGGGTCTTTTAAATAAACATTTTAAAATCAGTTGCTGTTTTCTATATCTAATTTTTACTTTTTAAGACTGTAAAGAGAACCAATATGGTGAAAGGTGCAGGAAATGCAACAAATCCTGCAGAACTTGTGACCAAGCAAACGGCTCCTGCTTGACTTGTGTTAATTCTTCCTGGTATGGTAAATCCTGTGATAAAAAATGTCCATATAACTGTTCTGATGGAAAGTGTGACATAACTGATGGAGCATGCAGTTCATGTTACCCAGGATATCATGGACAAACGTGTGAACCGTGTGATATTGGACGGTATGGTGTAAATTGTAACAGGTTTTGTAGTGACAAGTGCAGAGGACCTTGTGTGAAGGAAACGGGTGATTGTTTTGAATGTAAATCAGAGCTCTTTAAACCGCCATCTTGTTTGAGACGCATCGAATCCACTACAAAGTCTTTGGATTGTAATAAATGTGACAATTGTGATAATAGGCAGAAATGGGATAAATGTAAGACTGAAATTCAAACAAACTGTTCAAACTGTAGAAGTATCAATTGTTCATCATGTTCAGAAAAGACGTGTGATTTAAATGTGAATAAGACTTGCTCCGCTTGCCCTCATTTTTGCGTTTTGTTTAATAAAACCATAACAATGGACACTACATCAATTACAACATCTCCTTCTCGTGAGTATTAATTAACAATTAATTTTAAAAAAAATTAGTCGATTTCAATAACATTTCAATGCGTTTTGCTTTTATTGGGTAGGGATATAGGAATTATATCACTTATTTCTAACAGTATATATTTACATGTTTGAAAAAAATACATTTTTTAATTTCTCTTCAACAGCATATGGAAGCCAGGAAACCAACGACCAGTTATTGGCAGTGTTGTTCGGAATGATAATCTTGGTGCTACTTCTTATTCTTCTACTGATTAAAAGGTATTAATACTAAAATGAATAAAATGGTGTTTCTTTAATGAAAAAGTGGCTATATTATGAACTCTAAAATCTAAGCAACTTGCCTCCACCTTTGCTAATAATTATTATTTCAATCATTTCACAGATTAAAGATATTAAGAAAATCAGAGATCACCAGAGTCTTAGATTCACAGGAACCCAGAGAAGAGCAGCCACTTAATCTTGCTGTTCCACAGAACATTCTAGGAAACGAAGCCAACACGATATTTCTGGAAGAAATAACTCAGGCAGACGACATTGTTCTTGATGAAATTCAAAGACTAGATGTGGAATATACTAATACCATAGCTCATAGGATCCCGGTGGACAAGTTCATCGAGTATCACAGTATAAGACGAGAAAACAACATCTTTGAAGAAGAAGAATTCGCGGTAAAGTTTAAACTTTTATTTATGTAATAGCAATTTAAGCTTACGTTTAAGAAATTTTCAAATAAACCAATGCAATTTTTCTCTCAGTAGAAATGAGAGTCTTTAAAATCGATTTTAAGTTCTTATTAGTTTTGGCAATTTCTTGAATCATTTTAGAAAATTCCGACTGGACTAATGGAACTATATACAGAGGCTGTAAAGAAAGAGAATATCTGTAAAAACCGTTATAGATACGTGTATCCTTGTAAGTTACAAGTCTGTGTCATGTTTATCTTTCTAATCAATAATATCAGGAATGTATTCAATATTACAACCGTGTACGTTCTGCTATATATTATTTATATATTATTTATATACATGCACGCTAACCATATATTGTATAATCAATATGCCAAATAATTGTAATTAATGTGTATATTATTTCTGAAAAATTCTAAATTTATTATATTCTAAAATAAAAAGAAATTTCAAGTAAGAAATATATCAGCCGCATTCCATATTGATTATACTGAACATGACCCTTCAAGTTTAAAATAAATATAAACATTATTTGAAAAAAAAAACAACCTTGAAATGATGAAGTGTGCAATGAGGAAATTTTTGTTCAATATGTGAATTATCTACAATGATACTCATTTCGTTGCAGATGACTTTTGTAGGATTGTACTTAGCACTTCCGAAGAACAAGGAAGAAATGACTACATTAATGCTTGTTACGTTGAGGTCAGGATTCCTGTCCAATTTTATTCTCAATGTTCTAAAACTTATTTAAAGCACTCAAAAACATTTAAAAATAGTTGAACACTTTATAAAACATGAAAATATAAAAAAAAAAAGATATTAGAATTATCAACAAAATATTGGTTAGCTGTTATATCACAAAAAAGCTGAAATATATTGGATGAGAAAGTAAAATATGCTTCAGTGGTCGCTCTTTAAACAGAGTACATAGAACATGTAGTTATGAACTGGATATAATAACACGTACCCCTAAGAAATCTGGGATCAGATACCTTGGAGGAGGAAGCATCCCCATCAATAAGTCACAGCTGTCATAATCACTATGTATTAAGGTGGTTGGAAGTCTTCTTTCGTTGTAAAAAAAATACCACATACAATCGATATGAAATATATTGATACAGATATAACTTGGTCCTCCTATGTTCCTGACCCTACCTCAGTTTAGGGGTCCATTTTCATCCCTGTCTACATACTGGTACTGTGGCTTTTTAAAAAATTGATCGATGTTTTTTTATCTTATCTTCACTTTTTTTCAATTTAAAATTCGACCCAAGACATGCCAGATAGACAAAAACTCTCTTTATTCTTCATATTTCTAGGGTATCAATGGCGATCCTACCTATATTGCAGCACAAGGTAAATATCAAGATATGTTCGACATCTTCACATCTTGTGAATAGTAATCAACAAAATTACCTGTTTTATATTCCTCTGAAGAAGAACATACTCAAAAACATTTGCATGAGAAGGGGAAACACATGCTTTAACCTTCAAATCGACATTCAGATATAAAGAAGACGACCTACAATAAATTATACATAGTTTTTTTTCACATATCCACTCGCTCTATCCCAGTTCACTTTAAACAAAAGACACCACAGAACCCGCCTCATCTGTTTCACAGTTGCATGACATACGGACTACAGAGGACAAGGGGTATTTAACAACTAAAATAATTGACATTGAGAAGACATCAACCTAGCCATTGCTGACTTTCTTAAGTTATGTATAAATATTCTGTGGTCACCTGCTTATGAAATTTATGTATCCAAACCACATTGCTTCTCAAAAACATGCTATGAGTGTGATCAATCTTTTTAACCGAGCCAGGGTACTCACAGATAAGGAATTTCAGTTGATATATTTATTTTTTATTTATTTTCTCTTTTGTATAACATTTTCCTAATCAAAATTTTATTTTACAATCCTTGCATATGAAGAGAAATTATGAATACAGTAGGTTAGGATATCATTTTTTTCAAAAAACCTTTCCCTGCCTGAGAATGAATTAAGAAATAAAGTCCGCGTTTTCGTGAATGTTGCAGAATAACCTCCGAGGTCGAGAAAACAACATTTCGAGACCGAGGAGGTTATTTTGCATCAATCACGACAACAAGGACTTTATTTCTATTCTTCCATGTATCACTACAATCGCTAAATTACGGATAATCGTTTCCTCTATGAGAAACGAAATAGGTCACCATGTCTCGATTACGCTGTTTCATTTAACACTAGAGGTAAAAGTTTGCTTACCTGTGTATAGAATGCAGACTGATTTGAGCTTTCGTTACATTAAAAATAGCCTTTTTAAATTACAAATTTGTTCGTTATATGTATTGATCAGTTAAAATGAATATACAATAACAAAATCATGTTCCTGTTTTACTGCTAAAATAACGTTGTTTAATGTGTAGGGAGGTCAATGGAATAGCCCCGATTAGCTATAAAAACCGACATTCATCAGCAACTTGATGCAATTTATATATTTATACTGCAAAAGACGACACATCTTGCGTCTAAACAAGTATTTCATTCTACAGCCAAACATGCATTTGAATTGATCAGATTTGATACCTGTTTCTGATCTGATAATTTTTTGATGACGTTCGTGATTCATTGGAGAATAATGTCCGCCGGTTTCCTTTGATGTTTACAATAATCGCGGTAGAATGTATCATAATTCCTCATTAATCTGTAAACTACTAAAGACTACTTGTTATATAGGACCATTTACTCCCGCAACATTGGTTGATTTCTGGAGGATGACGTGGCAGGAAAACAGCTCAAGGATTGTGATGCTGACAAATCTGTTTGAAGGCGATCATGTAAGCTAAATATTATATTGTTTTTTATAAGGACAACATGATAAAGCAGAATGATATTATTTCCATAGTTTAAATTCTGTATTTTACTCAACTCATAATTTTATAACCTTGGTTTACAACCTTTAGGTTACTTCATTCATTCATAAATTACGTCGTAGTAAAACCGTGAATGAAAAGCAAGCAACAAAAAGAGATAAACGGTTAAATGATTTAAAACCATAGTAAAAAAATATGTAAAGGAAAATTTTTATCCAATAGATGAAATGTCTGAAGTATTGGCCTGAGGACGAAGATACGTTTGGTGATCTTGTAATTCGATTGGAATCACAGGACATTTATGAAAAATATACAATTAGACATCTGGTTGTGCAGCAAGCCAAGACTGAGGATATCAACCCAGTAAGAATAGAAAAAAAAATCTTTAAATTTATAAAATACAAATATAATAATATTGTAAATAATACACACGTGCTCATTAAAACGTAACGTGCCACAAATTACCTTTCGAATATGTGTAAAACGTACAAATATATAGTATATTTGTAACCTAATTTTAAACGCGCAGTATACAGTGGAGCCTCATTTATCCGGACGCTTTGGTTCCCAGTCAATTTGTCCGGATATGTGAAGCGTCCGGATACCTGAATCACCAGTTAAACAAAACATAATAACATTTTGAAATTTTGTTCCGATGAAAAAGCGTCCGGATACTGAAGAATCCGGATATCTGGTGTCCGGATATCTGAGGGTCCACTGTAAATTATTTAAAGACTTTATTCGATTTTAGAATATCCGACCATTTTTTATAATAAAAAAAATGAACCTATAATTTGTCTTTGGAGAACGAAAATACTAAAAAAGTGACCCAGTTTCACTTCACCGGCTGGCCGGATTGTGGAGTTCCGTCCGATGTTGATAGTCTTCTGTGTTTTCGGGACCTTGTAAAAAATGGCCGACCGGAAGCTGACGGTCCAATAATTGTCCATTGTAGGTAAGAAGAGCTATCACGGCGAATTAACACTGATTCTTTGAAAAAAAAAATTGTCACACAAAAGAATGGACTGATATAATGGTTTTCTGAACGATTTTACAATGTAATATAAATTATAGGTATTTTATATTGCTTCCAGACCATTTGGAGTACCTAAGTATAATCCTTTAATTGGAGTTTTATTCATTCATTTAAATATGTATTATTATTAAAAGTAATTTAATATTGTTTATTCCTTGTTCATAGAGAAGATTGTTGTTTTGTTATCTAAATGTAATCGTATATCCCTATTCTCCTCAGGTGACATACATGTATACTATCCGATTTTGTTCGTTTTTGTTTGCAGTTTGTTCTTTGCGTAAACTTTTGGAGAATTTCTGCCATACATATGTTAACACACAGGATCAAATAATGACCGCCTCTAAACAGTTTATTTTGTAGTCACTTGATAAGACTCCAAAATGGAACTAGATCAGGTTCCATGATCATGTCAAATATCTCAACCTTAAATCGATCGCAAAACCTTGATGATGTGTTCAAATGTTAAAGTCAAACAATTAAAATCAAAACATTAATCAACATTGCATCACCAAAGTGAAGTGAAAAGCTAATTTTGAAATTTAATGTTGACAATAATCATTTTACAGAAGATTTAAAATTTAACTTAAATCTAATTTTATTTTGGGATCCTGGGGCAAATATTTCTTTTTATAACCTCTTCCTTACTCATGGACATCTAGAAGGAAAAACTGTTTTTATGAGAAAAATGTGAACCTCACTTTTTACCAAAATTTAAAATTCATTTCTATATATCCAATAATTCAGGTCGTAACGTCAAATTTATATGTCATTAATTAAAACTTCTTCACACCTTTGGATAAATATTTTTTTCCTTGTGAGCAGCTAGTAGGCAAAACGTTTGTCACTTGTCATGATCGTGAAATAAAGGAAAAATCCTGTCGTCAATTCAGTGTGTAAGTAATGGACTCCAATTAATATGAAAAAAGTCAGTTAGCATATGACTCAGTGATGAATTGTGTTTGTTGACAAGGTCATTTTATCGACCATAGACCTAACGAAATGTTGACTTTAAACAAGGCTGCTGATATTTTTGTTTCATCAACTTATTCGTCAATAATTTGCTTCGTTTTAGAAATTGTACATACGCATAGCATGCTCTTACATATCGAATCAACTGAGAGATATCAACTCCTTATGCAAGGTTATGAAAGTATATTGTTGCATAAGTAAGGGAAGTTGACGATAGAAAAGTTAGGGTCATCATGTTTCTAGAAGAGCTTGGTTGGTAGATTACCAATAACGTCATTTTCAAGTAAAATATCCAAATATGAAGTACATATGTCAGACTCTGTGGTATTTTTTTTCTGGAAATGGTTGAGGGAATAGAAATTACCTTTGCTATTTGATATTACGTCATCGATATATCTTAATGTCGAGTTGGAGCTACAACAGGTGTTTTCTTCTTTTCACGTACTGTGGTTTCATTAATATTCGCGGGCATCAATTTTCATGGATTAAGTAAAATTCACAGTTTCGAGGATATCTAAATTCGTGGATAATATGGTCCTAACAGAAAAAAATGTCTATCATATTTTCATATTTTTCGTCGTGTTAGGTTATTATTTCTTCTGCTTTTTCACCCAGCATTCTTAAAATGATAAAATACGTCTTTAAAGTCAATCTGTTGAGAATACTAAAGTATATATATCAATGAAAGTCGGAATGGGCGTTTTAAATGATATCGTAAATCAAAATAGAGGCACCAAACTCAACCCTAGTAATGTGTTCGGAACCTTTTATTTTTCCATGTTCTGCACATTATAAAACCCGATGAGTTCAGAATAGCTCCGGCAATGGCTCTGGCGAGAGTTAGCGAGACTTCAGCGAGATAGGTTAAATTATTCACGGAAATGTGGCTAGGAAGTGACTAGCACGTGGAGGCATGGTAAACAGAAAAGTTATGTTGCGTTTCAGTTTTCACCACCCTAGAATCAGCTGATAATGTCTGTAGAAATGTACTTCAATCAATCAATCTCTCTTACATTCATTCAAACTTAAATAAGTATTCTCTATAATACAATTTTCTGCAGTCATGAATTAAAATTTCTTTTTGGACAAATATTTTTGCATGGGAAACGGGACTATATTTTTTGGCGTCAGATTAGCAAATGAGGCACCAGCATGATTTTAACTGACCAATCAGCTGAATGAGTATTGCATTATGGATTACTACGAATACTACAGGAATTTTACGCTTGAAAAAAGGAAAACTTTATGGTAAATGAAATGCATTTTTTAAAATATTATTTTCATGCTCATAATGACAAACAATTTATTTGTTAAATAAACGGCGGAAGTCTAGGTTTCTGAAAGTCATACTCCAAAAGCGATTTTCGCTGTATTAATTCCTTTGTTGTACTATCGGTGAATACAATTGCCAGCTAGGTAAATTCCCGGGCCGAACACGTGATCACGAACGTAAACAAAGTTTTGTCCATTTAAATGCGTGAGATGCTGCTCGTTTTCCTTACCCTTGAAGCGATGGTGTTCTGAACTTGACACAGACTATATTTTATTAAACATTTTTTTCCATTTAACATGTTTTTTTTTTAATTTTGCAGTCCATTAACATGATCGTAGATTGACCTGAACTACGTGTTCGAAGTAAAATGTAAACATGTATTTGGCGTAAACGTGCTATTCATTCAACGATTGGTCAGTTGCACGTGATAAGATCCTCTGTGCGCATTTATAACAATAGCCATATAAGGCAAACAAAGATTTATCATTGTAGATGATTATGCACGTTTTTTTTACCAGCGAATCGGTTAATCGATGAGCTTTAATTTTCGCCGAAAAGTATATAAGATATATTGTTATTTTAACACCCCCTCCTTTAGCCACCCTTTTTCTGTTGAAAATCATGAATGTCTTTCAGAAACGTCTGGAAACATTTATTACAGGACATGTTTTCAAAAGAAACAGGCTATAGCAATGTCATGTTTACTGCCAATTTTATTTATAAAACCGGTTCTACCCTATAACCAGGCTTGGGGTAATGCTAATTGTAATGGTAATGCATTGCAATGCATTACATGAACTCAAAGTAATGCTAGTAATGTGTAATGCCCAAAAATTTGCATTACATGTAATGGTAATGGTAATGCATTACTTCATAAAATCCAGTGTAATGCTGACATTACATAGCATTAGAAAGCATTATTCTGTATGTACCTATTTTAAGAAATTAAAATGGACATGGATGATGGAAATTATTGTTTAGGTCATTTCTTTTATTTTTTAATTTTTTTTTTTTGCAAGTGATAATATTGAATAAAAAAGTTAACCTATTTGAATAAAATTTATGTATTTATTTAATACACTTTTTATTCTGTTAATTAAAAATACACTTACCTTACATGTAAGTTTTTTTAATTTATTTCACATAGGAAATGGTTTCAAAGAATTATATAAAATAGTTTTAAAAGTTCTTTTTTTTTTAAATCACATATGAGATACACTAATTAATGTACAGTGTAAACTGATAAATGCCACCGTTTGAATAGCTAGAGAGTCATTAAAACACACTACACCTCTGGGTTACGTAACAATTAAAAACAGTGCATTGTTTGGAGAAATGCCCCAAATTACCCTACAGTTCCTTTTTCCTCACTGTGTTTATAAAACATTAATTAAGCTGGTCTAGCTTGTACTGACCATGAAAATTTCATTGACTTTGTACCAAAGAAAATAGAAGACATGCAGGCATTATATGATTAGCTAATCAAAATGTACATCCTGTCTACTTTTTCAAAAAGTTTGTCAATGCATTTATTTTTTTCATAAGGTACTATTCAAAATAGCCTATATGCTTTATTATTAGATATTTTAGGCAGCTAGGGGTTAAAGTGCTTCAAAAGTAAAATTGCTTCATGACATTAATATAGTGAAACAAAAAGTGGATATTGTACATGTGTTGTATAACTGACAATTTAAAAGTTTGAACTTTCTGTGAATGTTAGTTATTGACAATGTATACAAAAACGAAATCAAATTAGAATTATTATTTATCATGTTTAGTTCTTAAGGGGGTGAATACATAATTAAGAAAAAAAACATCGCAAAGTGTTGTATAAATTTCTGTTTAAAATCCTCCAAAAGTAATGGTAATGGTAATGCATTACTTTACTAAAGTAATGGTAATGTAATGCATTACTTTAAGAAAATAGTGTAATGGTAATGGTAATTTAATGCCCAAATTGTTGAAGTAATGGTAATGTAATGCATTACTTTACAATGTAATTCGCCCCAAGCCTGCCTATAACCTTTGAATAGATCACCCTAAACCACGTGTCTTGATTTTAAATCACAATAACATTAGTAGGGGTGAAACTTCGATGAACATTTGATTTCGTGGATCGACTCAAAAACGAAATCCACGAAAACTGGTGAACCACGGTCCACGAATAATGATGAAACCACAGTATCACATTTTAGACAAATTCTGCCTCATAAGAAATCAAAAGATTACGAGAAGCACTGACTTCTACGGTTGACGTTTACTTGGACATTTAAATTTGTATCATGTACGGAGGTACAGAATTGATAATACATAAGAAAACTTTTCTAATGGTCAAAAAAATGTTTTAGGGCATTTGCATGTAAAGACCAAGAGTTAAAGGTAAGTTGGTTGTCGTTTTCTTCGAGGACAACTTAAATATGCATTGAAATTACCCGTTATATTCGTTTAATTAAATGTTGAGCTAAATATTCATATCGTAAAAGAGCTTCCGTACATTTTCCTAGTGTAAAAGTAAGCCGTAAACCGTAAAGGTCAGCGTTCCTCGTAAAAGTCCAATAACGGGTAGTAAATTAGTACCTTGGGGATTTAAATAGATTTTCAATAGATTGTTGGAAGACATGGTCTCCCAAATCCACAAAGTTATTTTACTGTCATAAAAAATTCTTTAATGAAACTGGGATGATTCTATATTTTATGGACAATGTCAATGACTGAAAATACATCATTAGTAGAGTTAGTGATATATAAAGGTCAGTTTGTATTTAGTCTGACTGGATATAAATTTTGCACCAGGATTAGAAATCCTATATGTCTCCTGCTCACATGCGCTAAAATAAATCCAGGCTTAAAATTTCCAGTTTGACATTTTTGCTCAAACGTGTGTTCAAAGTGTTTTATCAACTGGGTTCAAGTTCGTCACATTTTGAAATTTGCAGCATATCATAAAATATTCTTTAAGCAGTGTTAAGGGACATGTAGCAGATTTTCTCTCATTAGAAAGAGTTATGAAACATATTTTGACATATAATTTCCTTATAGCGCGGGTATAGGTAGGACTGGTACATTTATAGCTCTGGATTATTTGTTGGAAGAAGGAGCTACAATGGAAAGTGTGGACATCATCAACTGTGTCTCAAAACTCAGACAGCAAAGAGCACATTCCATACAAACTAAGGTAAGACTCACAGCTGATTCTGTGCGATTGGTTCACAAAGGGGAGTGTATATATCATAAACTGTGTCTCCAAACTCATATAGCAAAGAGCACATTCCATAAAAACTAAGGTAAAATTCACTACTTATTTGATGACATTTTTTTAAGATGGAAAAATGTATAATTAAGCATATGTTAAGCTGTGGAAAGCAAAAACTTGTGTTCAAGAAGGCAAAGACACATTATAAAAATATTATGCTCTGTGTTTTTTTTTTATTAAAAAGGAATGAAAGTTTTTTCCATGAAATAATTTCATCGAAATTTTAGGCGCAGTACATCTTTCTCTATGACGCACTTGCACAGGGATTGAAGAATATTAGAAGAAAGTCGTTATATCAACTTGTCGATGAAATTTGAAAATCAGAACCACGACGCATTTTTAGTGGAGCTCGTTTTATTTATGTGAATATATTTGTTTAATCATTGCTTTTTATATTTGAAACTAAATTACAAAGATTTTGTATGATTATTTTCAATTTAAAAAAATACATTTGTACACGTTTGTTTTCTTTTTATTGCCAACGAGTATTTTGAGCTCAATGAACCCTGAAACAATATTCATGCTCAAAATCCATTTGAAGAATACAAATCAGGAGTAAACCAAATAGGGATCTCTAAAACATCAAAGATGCCATCAGGTTCAATTTAGGAGTGACCATACCTTGCCGACCATCCGCTGTGTGCTCCCTGTCATGATCGACAAATAATGGAAGAATCATGGCCATATACAAATCATAGTGTAAACTACGACTTATATTCGTAATAAGTAGCATGAAAACATCCATCAACATTTAAATTGCTTTTGCTGACAAAGTCAATGTATTGACCCTTGAATCTACGAAATGATGAGTTTAAACGAGACTGGTTGTAATTTTGTTTCATCAACTTGTTTGTCAATAACTTATCTCAATTTAAAAATTATTCGTACGTTTAAAATTAACTTTCTCTACTGGTAGAGTAAAAAGCCACATCAAAGGTTGTCTTCTTCCCATATACAATGTATAAAATTTTGAATAAATTCTGCTTTATATGAATACCAAAAATGAGTCTTCTTATAATGGGACACAATATGTACTAATTACATACATAGAGTTCGAAGGTCCAAAGTCTTGATTTCAGTTAATTAAGAAAAAATTTGAGAATTAAGATTTTCGAAAAAGTTTTTTTTTCTCGAATTTGGGTTATCTATGCCTTATTTGCACGATTTCTACGATATACCGTTCCACAGTACTCCAGAAGATTTCTCTTCAATGCTGTTAATATTTTAGTATGAATGCTGTTAAAATTCTAGTATGAAGTAAATAAAGGAGCTTTGGAGAACATAGAGTGGAGGCCTTTATATATTTTTGTTTGTAAGAATTTCTATGAAGTTGAGGAATCAAGTAATGGTTATTAAAATTCATTTAATTGTTGGAAATTTTATTAATATTTCAAAGTTTATTTATTATTGAATCCCAACATATTTCATATTATGCTTTATTCAATTGTACCTTTGATATGGGATATTTGTCTACTTTAAGCTGGAGATATTTGACGGTCTGAAATTTTTTAAAGTATAAAGTATAATATTTCACATTTACGTCCCTGCTTAAAGTATCATACAAAAAGATGGTGCTTGTACTACAGAATTTGCAAAAATCTTGGATCATGATCAATTTCACAAAATTAATGTAAACGATCGATTTTGAAGGTAAAAGTTTCACCTTCACCAAAATTGGGATATAATCTAAGTTTTGTACTAAGGATTGGATACATCATGGAATTGTAAAATTCCATGATTTATCCGATGTAACCCTTTTCAAATTTGCAAAAAAAAAATGTATGAAAAAATACGGTGTACTCTGACCGGTCTGCAGGGAATGCCCAACAATCCCGGTCCATTTGTTTTGTTGTTTGTTATGCTCACGCAAGAGAACATTCATTTGGCAAGTTTATGGTCGATATATTCATCTTGTCAGCAAATACAAATTATCATTAAGTCAAATTCTGACTGGAACTTTTCATACTTATTGTCAGGTCATTATTTACGAGGGCTTATCAAAAAGTTCGTGGACTGAGGCTATAAAATTAGTACTATATAGTCTGTGCCTTCAAAATTTATATGAAACATTAAACATCAAAAAATAAAGAAATATTGAAAATTTTAGCTTAATATCTTTATTTTTTGCAAAATTATTATAAAATAAAAACGACATTATATAATCACCCGGCGCTGTTGCCTTTTAGTTTCATGACGTCCGACAACGTTATTTTTTTAAACGTCTGCTTCTTCTATTTCATACACTTATTTTGTTGAGATTCCCTGGAACTTAGTAAGGACATAAATCCGCCTTGTTTATATGACTTCACAAAGTCATGAACAGCGGTTTTCAAAGAATAATATTCCAAATGGATTTATACATTGAGAGAAATCCTTGCTTAATTGTGCCGGCATATTTCGCTTTTGGGAGTTCAATATCTACAACACATGCTCAACGTCATTTTTTGGCGTAATTGAATTTTCACACCTTGACTACAAATCGATATGAACTGCATCCCTTTTCTCACTGAATCTATTTTGACATTTAAAGACAAATACTCCGGATGCATATTATTTCTCCGTAACCAGTTTTAACATTTCTTAGGTCTATACCAGTTTTTTCAAGTGCCAAATTTTATAGAATGTTGGAAAAGGAAAAAACTTTCCCTTTTGGCGTCATTTTCAAGGCCCAATTCGTTGGGACACGCCATGTAAAATTTACGATAGAATTTCATAGAACTTTCAGAATTAAGTAAACATTTCAAATTTTATGGAACAATTGTGTCCCAACATATACATGAATTAATGGGATTTTTAGATGTTAAATATTTATTTCAAAAGAGTTTTTCTCAGTTACACATAGGTCACAAAAATGGTGTATTCGAGGTTGCGCCGCGTGGACAAACCATTCCTAACAAAAACATTACTAATTTATTAAAAAATAAAATTGATGATTTTGGTTCATTCTTTATATAGATTGATTGATTGTATATTGTTTAACGTCTCTCTCGAGAATCTTTCACTCATATGGAGACGTCACCGTATGCCGGTGAAGGGCTTCAAATTTTGACCTTTACTCGGCACTAAGGGCCATTGAGCAGTGAGGGATCTTTATCGTGCCAACGCCTGCCGCTGACACGGGGCCTCGGTTTTTAAGGTCTCATACGAAGGACCCGCAACTTTCACTTCAAAGTGCCGAGCGCATGGCGAAGGAACAGTTGCTTCCCATTCTTATCGACTGGGTCAGTCGCGGCCGAGATACGAACTCACGACCTCCCGATCACGGAGCGAGCGCTCTACCGACTGAGCTACCGTGAACGGTTTCTTCATATAGAAGAGATGGTGCGTACAAAATATTTTAAAATTCATTTATGTCCCTAAAGCGGTTTTGATTTTATGGCACTAGTCCACAAACTTTTTGATAACCCCTCGTACGCACCGAATTGTCGACAAATCTTCCTTTCTTTTCTGACCATGGCAAGGAACACAAGGAAATGTGAGCGACCGACAGAAAATTGGCACCTGATCCCAGTTCTAATGTTTTAAAAGATCAATGTTTGATCTTCTCTAAAACTCTATTGTTTATTTGGATATTGAGCTGGAAGAGTTTGCTTCTACTTTATTTAGTCATATGGAGACACCACCACTTCCTGATGGAGGGATGCAAATTTAAACCTTTAATCGGCCCTCTGTGACATTAAGAAGTAGGGGGCTCGATCTTTTCGTCCAAAACCCTTTGTGGCATGAAACCTATGTTTATATCGTCTCATCGGAGGGACCTGTTTCCACGTCCCGCGGTGGATTCGAATCTGCAACGTTAGGATCAGCTTCTTACTCTGCGAATCTAGAGAACAAAGTCTAACAATCGCGCCAAGCGGGCGATCCAACTAAATATAAAAAATGAATTTTTCCTTTACTACTTGAGGTTATTAACCACAAATGGGTTCTCTAAAAGTTGGAGATACAATTAATTTTACAGAAGAATGTTTTTGAACATTCTTGAGAATTTATCACAATGTTAAAATATTTTTTTGAACTGAATTGATCGAATCTTTGATACGTTGCAATAAATCTTCTAACGTTAACGATATTTGATGAATAATACATTTCGTCCTGCTTGATGCTTCCGGTGTTTGAGGAAGTGTTTGTTTTAGCAATACTCCGTCAAATGTTCATAGAAAAATATATTTTAATCAAATCGTGATAAGGAAATTAAGATGTCATTTGATATTTAATTATAAAATGTAAATATATTCTAAGTTATTAGTTTATCGATATTGTGTATTAAAATACCATTTCAGCTCTAAGAGAAAATTAATTGATATTTTTATTTCTTTCTTCATTCTTGATAAACAAGTAAACATATTAAAAAATGGGTTTTAAAATCGGTACAATTTTGACTACAGAAGAATTACCTTATACACTATTTTTTATAGAAATATTTGTTTCTGAACTTATAAAAATAAGAAGAAGCTATCATGCAATACGTACAATTAGATCGAATTTATTCGAGAATGCTTTGTTTTGATTTGTATAATCTTCTCTGGAACTGTTTTTCTTTTAATTTAAATGCTAGACGAATTTTTTTTGAGAAAACGAACAGTATTCAAGCTCAAAAGTCTATAAAACAACACAAAGCAAACAAGTAGAGCAAATACGGACCTCCAAAACATCAGAAGTGGGATCAGGTGCCATGGAGGAGAAAGCATCCTCTGCTGACCGGTTGCATCCACCGTGTGCTCCTTGTCATGATCGGAAAAAACGGAAAACCCCGTCGTCAATTCAGTGTATAAATAATGGACTAAAAATTAGTATGAAAAACGTCAGTCAGCATTTGATTCAATGAAAAAATCTATTTGCTGTGAAGGTCATTGTATCGACCATAGAACAAATTACGACTTTAAAAGAAACTGCTCATATTTTTGTTTCATCAACTTGTTTATCAATAATTTACCTCTTTTGGAAATTTTACATACGTAGAGTATTTTCTTGTGTATTGAATAAACTGAGAGATATAATCCCCGTATGCAGGTGTTGAAGGTATATTTCTGCATTTGTAAGGGAAGTTGACGATAGAAAAGTTAAAGTCATAACGTTTATCATAGAGCTTGCTTGTTAGATTACCATTAAGTTTTTTCTTTCAAGTATGATACCCAAATAAGATGTTTAAGACTCTGTGGTATCTTCAATCTCAAGCACACCGGGATATATCAAATATAGATATCGTTTCTAAACATGATTTGAAGAAAGGACTACCGACGTTTTGTGTTTGTTTTTTAACGTCTCTCTTCAGAATTTTCACTGAAATGGAGATGGCCGACGTATTCTGAAACTTGTGTCCAGATTCTTTAAAGATAGTGTCAAAAAAGGTTTGAAACAGATAAAAAGTTTAAATTTTTTAATTAAAACAGCGGGCAAATTTTAGCATTCTGTTTTCATCGTATTTTGTAATTTTAAGTGATTGCTAATACTCTCAACTGCATTATCTTCAAATCTGATTCAATAAAAAATTAATAATGGAATCAAAATAGGTTTAAAATATAGAAAGTCCGGACGAACTTAACATAATATAATTTAATGTACGAGGCGCATTTAACATTTTGTGATGCGCATTTGTCATTATGCGATGCACATGCCTTTATCATTTTGTGATGTGCATTTATCATTATATGATGTACTTTTATCTTTGAGTGATGTGCTTTTGTCTTTAAGTTATGTGCTTTTATCAATATGCAATGTATTTTTAAATATGATAAATTTATCTTTTTTTAATGTGTTTGTGCTCATCTGCCATTATGGGAAGTGTTTTCCTCATTACTCGATGTGTATATTCTGTTAGATCATGTACTTTTGAGGAACTTTTGGACAATTTGAAATTACAAGATTTTACCAAAATCAACAGCTGAAAAGCTTACGACTTTTCAACTTTATAAAAAACTATTCCCCACGATAAATGGAAGTCCAGGCTTTTTTTATCATTGGCAGCTGCTTTCGATAAAAATGGAACTCGATAATTTACTTACCTTGTCATTGGTCATTTGCAAAATTATTTTTTTTAAAAACATTCTGATTGTACACACAAGTACTCTAAAGTTGACATCAAAAAGGTGCTTGAGTTACTGATTGACAATATCTATATATGTTGCTTTTGGAGACAAGGTCTTCCAACGATGTATTTAAATTCCCATGGGTATCAATTGCGCCCCGTTATTAGCACAGCTCTATTTGTATTCATATGAAACAGAATTTGAGCAAAATCTAATACTTGCTGTGGCCTTCAACTTGACATTTACATATATCGACGACGTATTGTCAATCAATAATGGTAATTTCCATTCTTATGTCGATATGATATATCCCGGTGAGCTTGAGATAAAAGATACCACAGAGCCTGACACGTCTGTTTCATATTGGTATATTTTACTTGTAAAAGATGTTTAATGGTAATCCAACAACCAATCTCTATGATAAACGTGATGACTTTATTAACTTTTCTATCGTCAAATTCCCTTACTTATGCAGATATATACCTTTATCACCTGCATACAGAGTTTATATATCTCGATGGATTCGATAGCCAAGAGCATACCCTACGTATTAACAATTTCTAAAACAAGGTAAATTATTGACAAACAAGTTGATATAACTACAGGATATCAGCAGTCTCGTTGAAAATCATCATTTCGTAAGGTCTATGGTCGATACAATGACCTTGTCAGCAAATCCAATTTATCATTAAGTCAAGCGCATACTAATTGTAAGTCCATTATTTATACATGTACACTGAATTTAAGTCGGATTTTTTCATTTTTTTTTTCTTGATCATGACAAGGAGCACACAGCCGGTGTGACTGTTCAGTAGGTGATGCTCACTCCTCCATGGGACGTGCTCCCACCTCTGATGTTTTGTTTGCTCTGTTCTTATTTTGTATTGTTTTATGGACTCTAGATCTTGAATGCTGTTCGTTATCTCCATATGTTTCATTTCAATAACAATTTTATTAAGGTGTCATTTGAAATGTTCCTCTTTTTAATAAATATTTATTTCATTTCAAATTTAATGTTTTAAGTTTTAATAACACTACCTAAGTTTTGGAATTTGTGTCAAACATTGTCATTAAAATATGTTCAAAACAAAGAAAAGCTACACATCAAAACCCTGCCCCATCCCTCAAGTATGTGTACAGAATTAAAGAAGTCCTAGAAAATCAAACAAAACACATTAATGAGCAGGAAACAAGGTCAGGTGTCTAAGAGGAGAAAGGGTTACCTGTTGATCAGAACCACCCACTTTAAGCCTTACATATTGATTAGAAAAACGGAGTCTACAAAAGTTTACTCTATAAAGCTATGTTTTGTTGCATTATGACTTCATACTTTTCATTTCTCGATTCACATGACATACTGAGATTCGAAAGTGATTATATTTGATGCAATTTTATCTCTTTGATGAATTAAATTTAACCTTGTATCTAATGCAATAATGTTTAATTCAATTACTTTTCAAAAATGTGTTTGTGTTAACAATAAAGCTGTAAAATAAAAACACCTTTAGATCACATGATTTTATATGATAACAACTGTGACAAAAACGCGTATTGGAGACAACTTAGTCACCTTAACACTATATATTTCGATATGAAATGTGTTAAAACTAGACATCCAACAAGAAAGATGGAATCTTCAATTGTGAAATATCTTCTAAAAATCTGGAGTTTTCGTGACCAGACTTGGGGATCATAAAACTAATAGACGATCTGACTTTTGATCTGTCTCTTTTTCTAAATCAAAAAATACAGGATAAATAAGATTGGGATAAAAAGTCGTTAAAGTTTATGCCCCCCAGGGCAGATATTCCAACAATCTGTCAGAATTTCCAAGCATGGATACTAATTCCACTTGGTGTCTAGATTTTTGCGTTCGAAAAAACTGCGTGTGTGTTCGGTCGGCAGTGCATACCCACTACTCCATGGCACTGCTTGGACATATGTTTTTTCTGTTCATTCGATGGTCGAGAGCATATGCTCTATGTATAATTCTACCATACTTATTTTCGAGATCAAAGAAAAGCCGCGGAATAATTCTCCAATAAATCACGAACGTCAAAAATTTTAAGAAGTACATGTCAAGCCTGCACAGCTGAAACTATTTCACTGTGCTTATTTACACCATATCGGTTGTCGTCTTATGACGTCTACAAGTGTGTATTGCCTGAAACAGCTGATAATTTATCAGTTTTCAAAGCCAAGTAGAGCTGTTCCACGGGCCTTCCCTCAACATTTACACACCATGATTTTGCTGATGAAACAATGATATAGATTAATGATTTTGCTATTTCACATTCATAATAAATCATCAAAATATTTTACATACAAACTAATTAAAGGATATTTTATTTTATAAATAATTTACGGAAGATCGCGAAATGGTGAACTAGTTTGATTTTCTATAGAGGAAACGTTCGATCAGCCATATTACAGACACTCGATCAGAGCTGTTTAAATTACAAATGCAATTACACTGTCAAATTTGAAAAGATGTGGATTGTGATATTCATCTTATGCCTTTATTCTCTAGGTGTGTAGTTATGTATATTGTAAACTTAAACTTACGTTTAATCAATGCACATTTTTTCTCAATTCGACTGTTCGATATGATATTCCTCCCTCTCTCTCTCTCCCTCTCTCTCTCTCTCTCTCTCTCTCTCTCTCTCTCTCTCTCTCTCTCTCTCTCCAACTGGTTTGTGTGAAAAAAGTTTGTTAAAAAAGAGACACGGTACATTTTTAAAATGTTGCATTTTTATGTTTCATCAATTTCAGATTTGATGAGTTCGAAGTATACCTCTGTGTTTCAATCTTCTATGCGAGAAAACAACACAAATGATTATACTTCTTATGAGTCTGCGTTTGGCAACTTTAATGCGTATTATGAGAAAAGAAACGGAGTTGAAAATTCCCTGAAAATACTTTTTTTGAACAAGATCGATATATCCTGTTTTACGATGACTTCTAGAGGGGGTAAAATGTATTTTTTACATTCTGTATAATGTGCCAGAAATACTTGGTTATGCAGTGAGAATATGCTGACCCTTACAAAATAAATAAACAAAACAATTAGCTTTGATTAGAGAGATAACGATTTCTAATTGAATCATACTTTAAATTCAACATATTTTAATTAATTTCATTATTTAAGAATTGTTCTCTTTCATTTGTGTCTTCTACTTAAAATGAGGTTAATTTCAATTTTTAGGGTCTTTCAGGATAACTGTTGTTTCAAAACACTATGATTCGGAATATCTGTGTGATAGTTTTAAGTTAGTAGGCGATGAACATATTCACAATGTAACGAGATGTTGCCATCGACAACAAGAGGGTGATTTTTTGGTTATAACCCGCACAGACAATGGAGTATTACGGCTGTATGAAGTTGGCCTATTGGGTATAATTATGAATTATGCTTTGATCATTGCACGGATTATAAATCTATGAATATAAAATGCTATATTTTATTGACAAAATGATTACGATAGTTATTATATTTCTTAATTTAACTTGCATTCCAAACATATTGTGATTCAAATTTTCCATTGCTACTTCTCGTGTCTTTACAGATTGTCCTTACGGATATTTTGGGTTTTCCTGTCTGAAATGCAGAGGATGTTCTTCTTGTGATGCTGCAAATGGAACATGTTTAGTATGTCCTTCGTTTAGATACGGTGAAACCTGTAAATTAGAGTGTCCAGAAAACTGTTCAAATTGTGACATTAGAAATGGAAACTGTCAAATCTGCGAAAGATGTGCAGGAGAATGCGATAAAAGAATGGGGTATTGCACAAAATGTAAACCTGGATTTTTTCAACCTCCACACTGCTATAGATGCAAAGACTCAATAAGAAATTGTTTCCAATGTAACAGTACTCGGATATGTAACGAGTGTGAAGCTGGATATGTTGGTGAACAATGCGAAGAAGAAAGTATTACCGAAGAAAATAAATACACATTCACCGAAAATAGTATGAGTTATGATGGAATGCCAAAGGTTTTATTGAAAGGTATGAAACTTTGCTTTTATACTAAACTGATTATGTTTAATCTTAGTTTTAATTTTCATGAGAAAAAAAAATGAAAGACAGGTACTCCTTCTTTTTCCATTACATTTAATTTCTTCATTATGGAGCAAAATTCAATACTGTATACTAACTATAATTCGCGGCCTCTTTTTGTATACATTGGCTTGTCGATGAATATTCCGTTATTTACCTATCATGACAAGGAGCTCACGACGCTGTGTGACCGGTCGGCAGGGGATGTTTACTCCTCCATGGCACCTGATCCCACCTCTGATGTTTCGGTCCGTGTTTGCTTTCCTCCTATTTTATATTGTTTTATGGACTTTTGATCTTGATTACTGTTCGTTATCTCAATAGATTTAATTCATGGAAATAAAAATGTTAAGTGTGGCTTCCCATATCACGATGAACTATTCCGTATACACTTACACTCTTCACATATAAAAATTTCTTTATCAAGTGAAATGTAAAAAAAAAATTATGCTATAGATTGGGCACACTTGCGGATTGATTTCAAACTAATTTAACTAATCGCAATAAATATATGGAGATAACGAAATAGTATTCATGTTCAAAAGTCCACTAAACAATACAAAATTAGAGCAGATCAAACACAGACCTCAAAAACATAGTGTTCATCCCAGTATACATGTATGTATACCAACGAAGTTTGAAAACCTTAATTCATTTCTATGCTTTAGAAATATACCGGTAGTACTTAAATATTTATTGCAATTGTGAATGTAAAAATAAGCACAAAAGATCATTTCTAAACATTGATCTTATTTAATGTAAATACTGATCTGTAAGTACGTGATCAAGTCTACCATAACATGATAACTTGCCCTCTTTATGTATGTCATTAGTTAATATTTTTCACAATGCAAATAATGTTTTATTTTAAATAAACAACATTTTGTAACCAATTTTTATTTGTTACATTAAATCCTTCTCTGTAAATTCCAAAAGCATTATTTTTTTCATTTATTACAGCAAATGAAGTGATATATCATAAAGTTTCAGATTTATCGTGGCCACAAAATGAAATGATGTTAGAAAATGGGAGAAACGAAAGTGACAATATATTAGAAACTAACGACCATTTATTGCCAGTGTTGTTTGGAATGATAATATTCGTGCTGCTGCTTATTCTTCTTCTAATAAAAAGGTATTCATTTCCAAAATTACTTTCGTAAAAAAATGCTTTATACTACTGAATAATGTGTAATGCATGAAATCCGAAAGAAAAAGGATTTAATTTTTTTAAAAAGGCCAAATGTTTAAGATGATTTTCAATATTTTGCAAAGAGCCGGAAGTCTGATCCAAAATGTGCTATTATTTAATGAGAGAACTATTTATGAAAATTATAATCTATGTTTTTTTTATTTGAAGGGGAAGCTTTATCATACATGTCAGAAATATATTTGAACTTGGTTGAATGATGAAGGGATATGAGAATTTTGACCTACAATAAACATGATCAGGGTTCTCCACATTTGAAAATTTAACCATGGAGGAAGCTGCGTGAAGACAAAATGTGACCGAAAACACGAATGCGCGTTAGACTTCCTAATCTTCATTAATCAATGACTGCATGGTTTTACAACTTGTAAACTTTACCATTGCAACACAAAACAAAGGAATAACTATTTGAAACTCTGTTTAAAGTTTAAAAAATAAGAATTAAAATTGAAAAGGATTTATCCTGTATTGTACTTCACAAATCTACCAGAATTTGCCCAAAACTGTAGTAATCTTCCGAAGGAATTAAAAAAAAATGTTGATACATTAACCAGGGCAATATTATTCAGAAATTGATACTTGTAAGAATTGTTGTAGCTCGTTGTATGAAATGTTTTGTTTAAATATGACTAAAACTGATGAATGGGTAGTATTTTTTTAAGTAAACACACGAAGGAACAATTGGACAAGTGTCCTTTTTTTCTAAGCATTCTATTTTTCTAGATAATGCGTTTTTCACCAAGTTTTGTTTACTTCTCCACGTGCCCCAGTGCTAAAAATAGCGCCACGCGACGTCTCATAACAATGGGAAGTAATTCAAAAAATAAAACGGCGATTGACACTAAGGTCCTATGCAGATTTTATCGAAAACGATAATAAAGGTAAAGCTTAAAAAACATAGCATGGAAAATTGATTAAATACAGAGGAATACGAATTTTTTACATAGTATTTTTGGGCTAATATCATCAAGATTGCCGACGTTAAAAAAAACTATTTAGTTTCGACTGTCCTGGCTCGGATGCGTGTCTACGACGAGACATCGTCACTATCAGCTGATTATGTCTTTGAATTCTTGTAAATCTTTTAATTATTATGTAGTGAACTGAACACAGTTAGAATTCAACAAAAAAACGTGTAATACAAAAAAAAAAACAGAGTAGTTTATATAGTAGATAACTACTCATACTGTTAAAACAGCTGGCCGACAGACCTTCTATAATTTATGAATTCTCATGCTTCACGACACATTCGCAGCTGATTGACCGTGGGTAATTAGCAATATTACCTGTCCTCGTGCGCTTGGGGGGCTTCACACCACGTTGTATAAACACAAGTAACTACTCGGATAGTATATTGCAGGTGTCATCTCTGAAAATGCAAGTTTTAAATTCTAATGGCGGGCGCGGATTTTAACCATGGCGCAGCAAATTTAACCATGGCGCACACAAATTTAACCATGGCGCAACTCCATGGTAAAACCCCTTGTGGAGAACCCTGAGTCATGTATATAACAATCATGGGGGAATAGCTCTTGCTAGAATCACCTCAATGGAAAAATCATCTGTAGTCTTTATAAATAGAGTTATTTTAAATCATTAAAACAGGCTGAAAGTATTAAGAAAAACAGAGACCGCTAACATATTAGAAGAAAAAACGAAACATAGACTTCGGGAAGAACAGCCACTAAATCTTGCTGTACCACAGAACATTCTAGGAAACGAAGCCAACACAATATTTCTGGAAGAAATAACTCAGGCAGACGACATTGTTCTTGATGAAATTCAAAGACTGGATGTGGAATATACTAATACCATAGCTCATATGATCCCAATGGACAAGTTTATCGAGTACCACAGCATCAGACGAGAAAACAACATCTTTGAAGAAGAAGAATTTGCGGTAAAGTTAAAATCTTTTTTTGTGACAGGAAATCAAGTTTTTGTTTAAAATAATTTCAACTAAACCAATTCATTTTTTTATTGTTTAGAAATGAAAGATTTTGAATGGATTTAAATTTTTGTGAGTATCGGCAATTTGTTGAATCATTTCAGAAAATTCCGACTGGACTAATGGAACTTTATACAGAAGCTGTAAAGAAAGAGAACATCTGTAAAAACCGCTATAGATATGTATATCCTTGTAAGTTACAAGTCTGTGTCATCTTATCTTTCTAACATTAACATAGCTTACAAGGTTAAAAAAAAATAAAATATAAACATTATTTAAAAAAAAAAACTTTTAAATGATGGAGTGTGCAATGAGGAAATTTTTGTTCAATATGAATTATCTACAATGATACTCTTTTCGTTGTAGATGACTTTTGTAGGATTGTACTTAGCACTTCCGAAGAACAAGGAAGAAATGACTACATTAATGCCTGTTACGTCGAGGTCAGGAACCGTGTCCAAATTTATTCTCAATGTTCTAAAAATTATGTAAAGAATTCAAAAACATTTTTAAAAAGTTGAAACACTTCAACATATCATGATAAAAATGATGTAAGAATTATCAACAAAATATTGATGTGCTGTTATATCACAAAAAGGTCAAATATATTGAATGAGAAAGTAAAATAAGCATCAGTGGTCGATCTTTAAACAAAGTACATAGAACACTTAGTTGTGAACTGGACATAAAACACTTACTCTAAAGAAATCTGGGATCAGAAACCAGGAGGATGAAGCATCCCCATCAATGAATCACAGCTGCCATAATCACTATGTATCAAGGTGGTCGAAAGTCTTCTTTCGTTGTAAAACTTACCCCCATACAATCGATATGAAATATATTAATATAGATATGGCTTGGTCCCCCTAGTATGTACCTGATCCTACCTCAGTCTAGGAGGTCTGATTTCATGTCCTGTTTACATATTTGTACTGTATGTTGGTTTATAACAAAATGATCGATGTTCCTCACTTTTTTTTCAAATTAATTACGATTATAAACATGCCAGATAGACAAAAACTCTCTTTATTTTAATTTTTTTATAGGGTATCAATGGAGATCCTACCTATATTGCAGCACAAGGTAAATATCAAGATATATTCACATCTTCACATCTTTTGGTTGGTTAATAACAAAATTACCTGCTTTTATATTTCTCTGAAGCAGAAAATATTCAAAAACCTTTGCATGAGAAGGGGTAAACACATGCTCTGACCTTCAACTCGACATTCAGATATAAAGAAGACAACCTTTGATAAATTAACAATGATTATTTTTTTATATATCCACTAGATATATCTCAGTTAACTTTCAACAAATGACACCACAAAGTCTACCACATTTGTTTCATATTTGCATGATATACTGGCTACAGAGGACAAAGGGATTTTAGGGGGCCGACTGGGGTTTTATTTCGTGAAAACTACAATAACAAAACTCTTTATTTTTATACTATATATAACTCACATTGACTCAAGTGAACCTGTCAAGTTTGGGGAAAATCTACAGTACAGGTATTTATAAGGGACCGTCTCAAAATACAGGTACATTTACTATATGATTGCATAGCAAAATGCCATTTTCTGGCACTTTAAAGCAAATTATCCAAATACTTCGATAGTCTTTTTGTTCAAACTGTAATATATGATGAGGAATACTATATTGTACATTATATGTAAGAAACTCAAAATTCTACCGTCTTGTTACCAAAGGAGGCATCTCAAAATGCCAAAAATTAACGAATTTTCCCTTTTTTATAGAGTACTACAAAATATGACAGACGATTAGGATTTATATGAAAACGTAATAAAAATTATGGAGATATTCTCAAATTTCTATGTTTTGTTTTTAAGAGCGTATGTTTATTGCTTTTTCTTTAATAGCATTTTTATTACCCATTTCTTTAAGAGCTTCAGTTTTTCATAACGTCAAAAACACACTGTAACGACGTCAAACTACCTATCAATTGCAAAATTGGTTTAAAAATCAGTTATATAAAATTGTAGTTATTTTTTAAACCTATAATTTCTTAATTTTGTTTACTTTTATTAACTAAACGAAAAAAGTTGCTTTGAAACGGTAAATACGCTTCATTTCAATATGACGCGCGATATATTGCGCAATGGAAACTACAGTCGGCCCCCTTAACAGCTAAATTAACCAGTAATTGGTCGAAAGGGAATTACTCCTCTTAAGCATCTATTCCCAACTCTGCTTCCGGTGATCATGGTTATACAAACGTCATTAACCGTCTTAATTTACAATTCTTGCATATCAAAAGAAATTTATGAATACAAGCAGGAAGGATTTTATTTATTCAAAGACCTTTCACTACCTGAGAACAGAATGTATCATAATTCCTTATAAATTTGTAAACTACTATAGAATACTAGTTGCATAGGACCATTTACTCCCACAATTGGTGGATTTCTGAAAACTACTTAAGAGTACATGTTATATAGGACCATTTACTCCCACAACATTGGTTATAAATCTATAAACTACTATAGACTACTTGTTATATAGGACCATTTACTCCCGCAACATTGGTGGATTTCTGGAGGATGACGTGGCAGGAAAACAGCTCCAGAATTGTGATGCTGACAAATTTGTTTGAAGGCGATCATGTAAGCTATTATTATATTGAATTCCATAAAGAAAATGGTGATAAATTGGATAAAATTGATTTCTTTGGTTTAAATTCTGCTTTTTATCCAAATCACAATTTTACAAGCTTGGGTTACAACTTTTAGGTTACTTCATTCATTGAAAATTACATCGTAGTGAAAACGTGCATGAAAAGCAATGATAATGTTCTAAATGAAAGGTTTAAATGATTCAACAATATAGGGAGTACCATGTAAAAGAAGCATACCAGGTATTTATCTTATAGATGAAATGCCTAAAATATTGGCCTGAGGAAGAAGATACGTTTGGTGATCTTGTTATTCGATTGGAATCACAGGACATTTATGAAAAATATACGATTAGACATCTGGTTGTGCAGCAGGCCAAGAGTGAGGATAAGAATCCAGTAAGAATTAAAACAATAAATATCTTCTTAAATTCATATAATACAAGCATAATTATATTCTAAATATACACAGTTGCTAATTAAAATGAAAGGTGCAACAAATTGCTTTTTTAAATATATATGTAAAAGCGTATAAATATATTGTATCACCTGCAACCTAAATGTTCAGTATAACGGATTTGAATACTTTATTCGAATTAAGAATATCCGACCATTTTTTTAATTAAAAAACATGCATTGTCTTTGGAGAACGATGTTGCTAAGAAAGTGACCCAGTTTCACTTCACCGGCTGGCCCGATTGTGGAGTTCCGTCCGATGTTGAAAGTCTTCTTTGTTTCCGGGACCTTGTGAAAAATGGCCGACCGGAAGCTGATGGTCCAATAATTGTCCATTGTAGGTAAGGAGAGCAATCATTGCGAATAAAAAAAATGATACATTAAAAACAAGTCAGACAAAAGTACAGACTATTAACTGGTTTTCTAAACGATATAACTATATAAAATAAATCATAAGTACGAAGTTGCTGTTTTAAGTATTTTGGTAAATTGTTTTTTAGGAGCTTTCTATAGCTAGTTGCTATTTGAGTCTAGTTTCCACCATGCTCAAAGAGGAGCTCCCACTCAATAAGAAGAGCATCACAATTTCTTGTTTAAATGCCACCTAAGATAATGATTGGAGTTAATGATGCAAACGCATTCTTCAATGAAATCGATAATTATAATGCTCTATTTTATGGACAATTTCAGAATTTATATAATTCGCTTATTTTTACCATTTCACATGACTAAAGATACACCAGTAGAAGAGTACATGTAAGTCATATAAAAAATTAATTCGCACCTTGTCCAGCTGGATGTAAATTATGTACCAGGGGTAGAAATCCTACTTATCTCTTGCTCAAATGCGCTAAAATAAATTCAGGTTCAAAGTTTGCAGGTGAAAACATTTGTTCAATCATATGTGTAATGTGTTATTTCAACGGGGCTTACGTTTGTCACATTTTGAAATTGCAGCATATCATAAAATGCTCTTTTAGCTGTGTTCAGTGCTATAAGACAAGTAACATGTTTTCTCTCTCATAAAAAACAGTTATGACGTAATTCATGATGTTATATTTACTTCACAGCGCGGGTATAGGTAGGACTGGTACATTTATTGCTCTGGATTATTTGTTGGAAGAAGGATCTACAATGGAAAGTGTGGACATCATCAACTGTGTCTCCAAACTCAGACAGCAAAGGGCACATTCAATACAAACTAAGGTGAGATTCACGGTTGATTCTGTAAGGGGTTCAAAGAGGAGTGTGTATATTGTTAACTATCTCTCCACACTCAGACAGCAAATGGCACACTCTATACAACTACGATGAGATTCATGTATGTTTAGAAGATGCTAACATTTTTAGTTGTATATGCATGCTTTATATTTAATCTTTTTTTCTTCCGTCTTAAGTATTGAAATAAGAATGAAAAGTTATTTTAATTAATATATTTTTTTATCAAAATTATAGGCGCAGTACATCTTTCTCTACGACGCACTTGCACAGGGATTGAAAAATATTAGAAGGAAGTCATTATATCAGCTTGTTGATGAGATCTGAATTCATGTTAGTTTTTAGGACTCGTTCTATTTATTTGTTTGTACTTCAATCGCAAATATGTATCGTGATTATTAAGCATTTTTAAATACATTTATAGATATATGTACCTTTATTTCCTTTTATATTTATTGTGAACTGGTATTTTCAGAATTAAGTTAAAATATATAACTCTTAAAAAGTTATTATACTAGTAGAATATAACATTTGACTAGAATAAAGAGGAAAGAAACTCAAGGCTGAGCATTTGAATCAGAAATAAATATGCTGCTTGATACAGTAGTAACATTTTATATAAAAGATGTTGACACTGTTCTAATTCGGACGATGTTAATTTCATTCGAGACGAGATAACAAATTAACTTTTTTTTTTTCAACAACCTAATTTATAATTACCTCAATACATAATGAAGATTTATTTTTAGCAGAAACGTTTTTTAATATTACATCAACGTCATTATTCCAAGCTTAAAGATAAGGAAACCGAGTGTGATATGTAAACTTATTTATCATATCAATAGAAGCAGTTGATAGGTGATATATTGACGTTGTAGTACATGTATGTAATAGATCTGTTAAAGTATGGTCATTTACACAAGGTTTATTTACGTTTAAATAAGTTTAAGTTGCAGATGTTTTACTTCCAAGAATAGTATTTCGTCTATATATTTTATCTTTAGGGCAAGATATACCATGGCATTGAATAATCCATCGACAGTACTAATACATGTTTTCAGTAACAAGCAAAGTCTTCTAAGGATCTTATTTTTAAAAAAAACCCATAAAATTACAATCTTCATTTATTTGAAAACCATCAGTAAGTTGTACTTGGCACAATCGGAAAGGACCCAGAGATCTGTCATTGTTTTTAGTTATTATTAACTTCACATTTCAAAAAGTTGTAAACAATATTCTTTTTTGATAGAATGAACATTTCATTTCTCGATACTCTTCACGAACGCTTATTTAATCGTGCGTGGAACTTTCCGGCGTCAAACTGTTAAAGAAAATGTTTGTTTTACTGATGCTCCTCTTTGACTCGTTTATAGAATATATTTCTATCATATCGTGATAAGGAAATAAAAAAAATTACGTTCTGTTATTCATTATAAAATGCTCATTTCTTACAATTTTTTTTTAAATATGTTGTTAAATATATTATTGATAAAACCTTTTAAATGATGATTTAATTGATTCTTGCAATTTCTTTACCAAATAATGCAGTTCAAGAAATCTAAGTAAGCAAGTATAGTCAATAATGAGTTTAAGTATGGCTTTTTTGTCTACAAGAAACTTCCTTATATTCTCTTTGTCGTATATATCAAATACCTGTTTTCTGAACCTAGAAAAACGAAAAAATACCCACATATTACCACTAATTATTTTTAAGTTGAAGCTAAGCAAGTCTCATGAAAAGAATGTGTACGCCATATTCTTTTATTCTGTCGTTTTTTCGAGTACATGTACCCTGTATAAGCCTACACGTAGTCATGATTCGCTTGTGAGCATATGTTACATGGCTATTGTACTCCGTATCGGTAAAGGAAACTGTGTGTGTAATTAGCCCTCAAAATATAAGCATTCATCCGATAATGAAATATAGAGGTATTGAACAGTATTCAAGATCAAAGATCCATTCAAACAATACAAATCAGGAGCAAAGCAAAACGGGCCACTAAGATATCACATGTGTGATCAGGTGCCTTGAAGTGTTAAGGATCCCCTGTCAACCGTTCATATCTATCATATCTACCATGTGCTACATGTAATGATCAGGAATGAAGTATGTGGAAATTCATGTAACGAGCAGTATTCGAGGTAAAAAGTCATTAAACATAACTAAACAGAATTGAAAAATTAAAGTCATCACATTTATCGTAAAGCTTTGTAGTTAGAAAACCATTTACAATAATTTTCAAAACAATCAGAATAATAAACGTCAAATATTGACTCAGTGATAGATATTGTATCTGCAGATGAGGTCGTTTTATTGACCGTAGAACTTACCAAATGATGACTATAAACGAGACTGCAGATATTCTTGTTTTATCAATTCGTTTGTCAATAACTTAACTCGTTTTAGAGATGTAACCACAATATACCAATGATAAGGGTAGATTACAACAAATTAAGTACATGTAAAGGAAGATGAAGCAATGTTCATAATTTTAAGAAATGTTACTATTAAAGTCTTTTCTAGTTATATATCCAAAAATGAAATAGCTGTGTTCGACTCTATATTATCTTTTATTTCAATCTCACTGAAATAAATCGTGTCGTCATATGAATTAAAATACCTTTTGTTAATTGATAATTCTTCGTCAATATTAATCCAAATGTCTAATTGAAGGCCACAGCAAGTATTTTGTTCTTATAAAATGTATGTGTAATATTTTGAATAAATCCTGCTTCAAATGAATACAAAAATACGTTTGCAGATACAAGGGCGAAATTGGTACCAATAGAAATTCTGATGGTTTCTTTGAAGACCTGGTCTCCAATGAAAACATAGATGTGGTCATTCAGAAACTCAAGCATACTTTAAATATAAACTTCTGAGTACTTGTACGTACAATTAAAATATTTTTTATCGGAATAATTTTGCAAATAATTGATGACAAGGTAACTACATTTACGATCACGAGTTCCATTTTTACTGAGTAAGCTGTCCTTGATATCAAATAGCTTGGACTTTAATTTATTGAGGGAAATGGTTGTATATGAATTGAAAAAGTTGTAAGTCTTTATATTGCTGATCTTGGTAAAATGTAATGGTTCCAAATTTTCCAAAAAGTCTTCGGAAGTTTTAAGTAATTTAATCAGATTTTCACCACTTCTCGAATATATTGTTGCACAGTACTCCTACATGTGTAAATATAAATTCTAGAATAACCCAAAAGCGCTGAACAATTAATGAAGATAAACTGGATTTTAAAAAATGATTAAATAAATCAAATAACAAGATTGATCTATGACTTTTTGGCCCTGAAACTGCTAAATTTTAGCTATCAATGCATTAAATATCATTTATACCTTTGATGATTGTATGTCCATCAAACATGAGGTAATTTCCTGGCTAGTCAGTGCATTATGACGTCACGAAATGCGTCAATTTTCTTATATTCTGAAAAAGTCTACAAAAACCCTCAATTTTAAGCCTATTTTTAATATTTAATATATATTAATTATAGATCGAAAATAAAAAAAAACTTGTAAATGTTTTGCTGCAGAACTGTAGCTCTCTGCTTGAGATATTTCGGACAGATAAAGCAGAGAGCTACAGATCCAAGTGTTGTAAAAACCTTCGATTTACGCCGACGATCTTTTGTCGCTACTTTAGGTATTTATTTCGTGTAATTTAAGCTTTCGCTGGCTTTTAGGATATTACCATATAATTAATCATATATTCAACACTTATTTCTGATACTTTATTTACCTTTTAACGGTCCAAAACAGCCCTGTAAATAGTTTTGTAATGCCAGTTTAAAAGAGTTCCATTTCGACGTCCGTAACCACAAACAGCCATTTGTTAGCGTTGAAATGTATGTAAATTATCAGGAATTGAAGTTAAATGCATGATTAATTATTATTTACCATTTAAAAGCTGAAAAAAGTATTATATACAAGAAAAAATACCCGAAGTGAGAGAAAAAATCGTCGGCGTAAATCGAAGGTTTTTACAATGCTTGGATCTGTAGCTCTCTGCTTTATATGTCGGAATTCTGCAGCTAGTAAATGATAGAACTGTTTCTGAGGATAGCAAGATATGTTTTTTTTTTTTTTTTTAGATCAGATGGTGCGTTCATATTAATTTTCTTATCTGAAAGTACTCAAATATACCTGTTTTCATTAAAATTCAAGAACATTGCAATTCCATAAAGCATGTGTTTCAATACCTGGTTCCATGACCATAAACTGAGAATAGACTTAAGTCAAAATTTAAAATCAATATAACTTCTGAAATAATCTTGATAACAAATCAAAATTTATAACATATGTTTAAATTGAAATACATGTATACAAACCTGCTATTCTCTGATAAAGTATGCTTTATAAATGAAAAGATATTCAAAATCAAAATTTTGACTTCAGTCTGGTCTCAATTTATGATCTCCAGGCCTGGAGTTTAAGGAGCAAAAATTTAATAGGAAAGTAAAGTTCAAAGTCTCTACTTTATTTTTATGCTTAAAATGGAACATAATGTGTTTGTCAATAAATTGGTATATGCAGGGCCGTTTTATGCATAAAATTAACCAAACTCTTTACACTTTTTAAAATCTAAAATCAGAGTAATTTTTCGTGGTCACTTATTTGTAGAAAAACTGAAAATACAGAGACAGCGTCATCTCTAGTATCCATAGAGAATGTGGAGAAATTTTAAGCCTATGACAAGCAATCAAAATGGGATAGAAATGAAATGTTAACTTATCAAATTATATAACTTATGCATAATTGCCGTGATTAAAATCATTTTAATCAGGCTTTCAGTACAATCAGGACTTTGATTTGTTTATACAGTTATTTAGAAATCTTTTAAGGTCAATATTGATATGCAAACAAGCAGATAAATGCCTATTAACAGGTTAAATGGATTGAGTGTTCTTAAAGCACTCTCACACATTTGTGTGACAGAGGAAATCAACAATAACCTAGGTATTTTATGCATTCAAAGCACCAAGGTCACTTTTTTACTACCTAGTATAGTAGTATATAATCAAAACATACTTGGAAATAAAAAAAAAATTCAATCGAGTTTGATGCCTATTCTGAAGTAGGGAAATAAATTGCGAACCAAACATTTTTATAAAAAAAATCAATAGAATGAGTTTAATGTGCAAAGATGCTGGTAGTGTTACTTATTTTGATCTGCAACTTAAGAGGTAGGTGCTTTGCGCATTTATTATTTTTTTTATTTTTATAAAAAAGCTTGCAATTTACAATGAAAGAAATTGGCAATTGATCATATAGAGATGCATTTAACAATTTTCTAGGATTTCCATAAGTATTGATTGGAGACACGATTGAGATTTATTCATAAAAAGAGAAAATTAGCAATTTATCTTTGAAATAAAGTTTTTTTTAAAAATATACTTTTATAAATTAAGTTTCTTTTTATCTAATATGTTTTCCCTTCTTGTGACAATTAAACAAAGCGAACCCCTTTTAACATGGAGAAAATTTTGGTTACCAACCTTAATTGTTCTTTGTATACTGAGAACAGACACGTATTTTTCATTTGTTGTAACCAGGAAAAAATGTCTGATCAGTAACAATTGAGACTTCCCAAACCCATGAGGGGTACGCGAAGGTTTAACAAGCCAAAACCACTGACTTAACTAGAAAATACTATTTCATGGTAGGGCAGGTATATCTTTTGGTTAATTAGATACGCAGCTGCATATTCTTCATACATACAATTTCTAAACCGAGGCAGGTTATTAACAAATAATTCGATAATACAAAATGATGATTAATCTTTTACACAAAAGTTCATGTTACAGGAATTCCAACAACCTCATTTAAAATCGGTATTTTGTTAATTCTATGATCGTTTTAACAGACTTATGAACAAACATAACCTATCACTGGTTCCTATTTTGCCTGACTGTTTTCATACCAATTGTAAGGTCTTTCTTTTTGTCCTGAATTTAGATAAGAAATAAACAGTCAATATTATGGCGGATGTTTACTCCTACTAAACACTTGATCACCTGAAATTTCTGCTGTCCATGTTTATGTCCCTTTCTTAAATTTGTATTGTTCGTGGTTTTTATGAGATCAATCAATTGCCTTTTTCTTTAAAAATTCATAAATTTAATTTGATTTTCATATAATTGAAGGAATTGTGCACGGCTTGTTTTCTCTTTTGTATAAGCTTTTTTCAATGCTTATTTTTTGAAACGAGAGATGTTTCCAAAATTAAAAAAAAAATTCTACAACAGTCGCATATAGACAAATATATCGCAAGATTTAATGCACAACAGTCTAATATGCGATTATTTTGGCAACAGTTTACGATCCTAACCAAAATTATTCGGTCGCACGGATATTTTGTCGCTTCTGAAGTCCATTTATTTTGAGGGGTATTCATGTTTTTAAAATTTATCTTATTTCAGTCTACTTGTTTTGGAACTACTCGTCCGTTAGTCAGTCCTCCATTGAGAACTCAACTATCATCAACAACACTCTTTCTGCATCTCTTGCTATTGACGGAGATAACTCTACGTTTACACAAACGAAAATAGCAATCAACAACTACTGGAGAATTGATTTTACAAGCTCGATAAATATATCATGTTTTACAATCATATCAAGTGGAGGTTTGTGGATTTTATTAGAATGTCCAGACTTTCAATGTGAATTTATTGTATTATGTCAGATTTTTAAAAAGAATTTCACTTGACATACGTAGTACCTCATAATTGCATGTATGCGCTACGGCTAGGTAATTAACAAATAACATCTTTTCCTTACAGAGAGGACATATAGGCAGTACCTGCTGTCCAATCATGTTTTGTTCATCTTAATCCTTCTAATGTTTAATATTTTATGAAATAGGTAATTTCCAGATTGCCGTAGGTTTGATGAGTATAAAGAATTCAACAAAGATTTGTCAGAAGTTTTTGGAGATAAAAACACAGGAGGAGAAGGCTGTTCGGTGCTGTCAGAAACCACTTCAGGGAGATACTTTTGAGATCACCCGTACAGACTTTGGGATACTACGACTTTATGAAGTTATTCTGAGAAGTATGTATGCTTGACGTTCTCATCGATCGTAAATACGGATATAAACTATACTCAACTATAAAGTTGGTTACGATTACAAAAATTGAAACATATTTAAAAATCACTTGTTTTGCGTCGCAAAACATGCAAACACGGATTTCTAAAAGCCTTAGAGGAAGGATCAAATACCATTAAGGCGCAAGCACTGATTACACCGGCAGTGTGTTTCTTGTCATGGTCACGCAAAAGTAAAAATAAATTTATAATTTATAACTTAACGTATAACTTATAAGTATAATAAAAGTATTGAAAGCGAGCCCACCTCCCAATGTCACCCATGATGGATTCCGTCTTAGATCTACAAGAGTTAGATCAAAATCTAGACAACATTGTACTAAGAAGGATATGGAGATAACGAACAGTATTCAATATCAATATTCAAGTCCATAAAACAATACAAAATAGGGGAAGAGCAAACATGGACCTCCGATACATCAGAGGTGGATCAGGTGGGATCAGGTGCCATGGAGGAGTGAGCATCCCCTGCCGACCGGTCTCACCCGCCGTGTACTCCTTGTCATGCTCGGGAAATAACGGAAACATCCGTCGTCAATTCAGTGTATAAATAATGGACTAAAAATCAGTATGAAAAAGAAGTCAGTTATCATTTGACTGAATGATAAATTTTTCTTGCTGACAAAATCATTGTATCGACCATAGAACTTACAAAATGATGACTTTAAACGAGACTGCTGATATTCTTGTTTCATCAACTTGCTTGTCAACAATTTACCTCGTTTTACAAATTGTTCATACGTAGAGCATGCTCTTGAGTATCGAATCAACTGAGATATTTGTACTGTGTATTGCTGCATAAGTAAGGTAAGTTGAAAAAGAAGAAAAGAAGAAAAGTTAAAGTCATCACGTTTATCAGATACGTTGGTTGTTAGATTACCATTAACGTCTTTTTCAAGTAAAATATCCAAGTATGAAGCAGGTGTGTCAGACTCTGTGTTATCTTTTATCTCAAGCTAACCAGGATATATCGTATATAAGTAGGAATGGAAATTACCATTGCTAATCGACAATATGTCGTCGATATATCTAAATGTCGAGTTGAAGGCCACAGCAAATAATGATGTCGCCCGCGTGGTGTAGGCGTCTGCTCTAGAGTCGCAAAGTAAAGAATTGATCGCGGGTTTGAATTCCATTGTTGGACGTGGAGACCGGTCTTTCGGGTGAGACCGTACAAACCGAGGTCCCGTGTCGCAGTAGGTGTTGCCCAAAAGACCCTTTACTGATCAATGGCCATAAGTGCCGAGTATAGGGTCCCGACATAAATTACAGCGCTCCATCGGCAAGTTGTGGCGTCTAGACGAGAAACAACAAATTGACTACTGTAAATAAATAAAGATTGTTTTTATTGACATTGCAATATTTGTTCGTCTTTTTCTTTGCTTCTTTGACTTTTTGCTATGCATTTCAAAGATTTCTTGAGATTTCAAGAGTTCGAGTTAGTGTATCTGCTTAGTGTTTTGAAGAATGTCATTCTTTGAAATAAAATCGTAACTGTTTAAAATTCCACAATTAGTTTCAAAACGTAAACATCATTACTCAGTTATGACATTCTGATATTTTCTTTTGTATGAATTAGCATTATTAAATTTAAAAAATAGCACATGTTTTGATTTGCAGCCTGTTCAGGATGAAAAACATGGCTTGTCTTGTATCCGGTGCAGGCATTGTGCTACCTGTGATGCTAACAGCGGAATGTGTTTATCCTGCCCTCCTTCTAAATACGGAGATGACTGTGGTCTACGGTGTCCAAATAACTGCTCCAGGTGTGATATTAAGAACGGAACGTGTAAAGCTTGTTCAAGATGTGCAGGAGATTGTAACACGAAAAATGAAACATGTAGTCAATGTTATCCCGGATTTGTAAGACCACCGGTTTGTTATGCATGTAATAATTTTATCAGACATTGTGTGCGTTGTAGCAGCTCTGAAAATTGTGACCAATGTGAGGAGGGGTATCATGGCTCACAATGCAGAAAGAGAAAAGAAATGTTTGTAACTTTTACCAGCAATCTAACATACACGAATATGCCAATTGAAACTACTATCACAACACAAGATAGCGAAGAGACATCATTGGATAAATATGGAATATCAGAAAATACTTTACATGAAGGAATATCAGAGGATTTAGCGAGATGTATGACATTTCACTTTTTTTTCTCAGCAAACCATATTTTTTTTCTATGAAAATCTACTAATATTAAACGTAAATAATATTTTTTCTCTAATTCATCTAGCCTAGTGAACTTAAAATGAAACAGACCACAGAGTCTACCATTCAACTTTCTTACTTAGACGTGTTTCTAACAGTGCACCAGTAAGACTATCAAACAATTTCTATATATTAACGATGCTAACTCAACCAAACTTATATACCGTATAAGTAGAATTTTTAGCGAGGATTTAATTTTGGCATTTTTAGCGAGGGTGCTGATATCGCTAAAAATAAATTGTGTTTTATTTCAAAAGGCTCTTTGGTGAACATTTTAAAATCGCTAAAATTGCATCTCGCTAAAAATAAAATACCAGTTTTTAAGCACAAATCGCTAAATTTGGGTCTCGCTAAAATTTCCACTTGTACGGTACTTAAAACCATGCCGTAAGTACGATCAGTTTCGAAAGCAGGTATCTAAGAGATAAAATGATGTAATGGAGATTTAAATAAATAACGTTTAAGTCATCATTTCGTAAATTCTATGGTTGTTCTATAATATCCTTTTAAACAAATACAATCCATCATTAGGTCGACTCACAGTATAGGCTAATGTGTGTCACATCAATTGTTTTAAGCTAAATTTGAATTCAGAATGTTTGACCACGTTGTCAACTATTCCCAACTCTGGAACTATCAAAGGTCCTTGTTTCATACCCTGTTGTTTGTAGATATACCTTACATAGATCGTGATTAGTTTTCTTTAACTTTCACTAATTAAATTACGGTGAACAGTGTTCGTAATTAGAATTGCTCACCGCCAAAATATGACTGAGACATTCCCAACTCGGCGTTAAACAATCCCTCTCTCTCCGATAGTGTGTTTGTATAAATTTAAGGGTTATTTATTGCTTATAATGTAATTTATGCTAATTCTTTTTCTGTTCATTTAAGACTCGTTGGGAATGAAAATTAAGTCTTTACGTCAATCTTCTATGGATTATATGGGTAATGACAGCTACTCAGAAAACCTTGCAAACCTCGCTCTTGACAAAAATGCAACAACGTTTACACAAACAAACGAAGCAATCAACAACTTTTGGAGAATTGATTTTGAAGACCCAGTCAATATTACATGTTTTACCATTATTTGTGGTCAAGGTTTGTTGACAGCAGTACCTTTATACATTTTTATGTTTCACATTCACCGTCAAACCTCATTATGGAAACAGAAGATATCCTTAGGTCTGAATAAAACAAGACATATGAAAATAAGATATACCATACTTATGGTAGTTAAGCAATTTTTTAAATAATATAATTGGATTGGAAAATAAAAAAATCAATACAAAACATTATAAATATATATATTCCAGTCAATTTAATTTATGTATACATGTATGTGTAATGAACTAAAGTGATGGTTACGGTTAACGATCTTAAAATATATAAACTATCCAAGTCTGTAAAAAAGCATGTAACACGAACTCTAGAAATCCCAGAGGTGGCTTCAGGTGTTTAAAAAGATAAACATGATAATTTTTATTGTAGAGAATTTTAGAATATTACTATTATTTGAATTGACTAGAGATCTTTTCATAGATAATTAATTAATTCGTTATCTTCATTCTCATATATATCCATAACGTAAAGTACTTTTATGATTATTCGTATTTAGTCTTGAAATTATAATACTTCTGTTTTTACTCTAAATTAAATAATATCCACTTTTAGGAAATTTTAGAATCAAAATTACTTCAAGTGATACAAGTGTGGAACATACTTGTGACGAGTTTTCAGTAAACAAAGAGAAAGAATCCGTCTCACGGTGCTGCCGAAATTACATAGAGGGAACATCATTTGTGGTCTATCGTTCTGACAATGGAAAATTGAGATTATATGAAGTCAGTCTTTCAGGTATAGTTTGTGATTGCTTTAAAGTCATTACAATTAACTGATCGACTTAAACCTGATAAATTAAATGTATACTATGCATATTTTAACTTCTATTTAATTTGTTGATATTTGTTTTGATAATTTTTACGCAAATGTGAATGCACGTCATAATCTTTTGTTTTTTGACTCGTGAATATACGTAAAAAGAACAGTGAACATCGGATAATAAAGAAGTCGTTTAACAGAAAATCTTGGAAGTAAGCATTCCAGTAAATTGTTCTTGATTTACCTTAAAAAAGATGTAACGAATCTAATTTATAGGTTAATCTTAACTTCCAATATATAAAAACATAATATCGTACGTCTGAGAGTCGAAAGGCGTAGGGGAGAAAGCCTTCTCTTTTAAACATTATTTTAAAAAATATTTATATTAATACAATAAGTATTTATGTTAAACACCCCAAATACCCATCAAATTTCTTAATTCTTTCCATAATCCTCTAACACTTAAACATATTATCTCATCCTTCTTCAATAAATAAAAGTTTGTAAAACAATTTGTTGTGTGTTGCTACTTTTGTAACTTTAAATAATTTGTTATGAAATTCTCAAAATTATTATCAATAATGACGTATAAATTTTGCAGACACAAAATATAAAGATGATAAATAAACTAATTTTGTAAAGTGAGATAATTCAAATTTCCAGTAAAAATAACTTATGGGGACCGACCATAGTTTCCATTGCGCAATATTTTGCGCATCACGGTAAAATGAAGCGTATTTACGGTTTTAATGCAGCTTTTTTCGTTTAATTATTAAAATTAAACAAAATTAAGAAATTAAAGGTATAAAACTGTAATTAGAATTTGATATAGTTAATTTTTTAAATATATGCAATTGATAGGTAGGTTGATTCGTTAGTGTGTTTTTTTATGATAATCTGTAGCTCTTAAAGAAAGGGGTAATAAAAATATTATTAAAGTAAAAGTAATAAACATACGCTCTTGAAATTTAAAACATAGAAAATTGAGAGTATCTCCAATTTTTTTTAAAGTTTTTATGTGAATCCACTGTGTAAGTCAAATTTTGTAATACTCTATAAAAATAGGAAAATTTGCTAATTTTTTTGCATTTTGAGATGCCCCCTCTAGTAACAAGTGGGTAGAATTTTGCGTTTCTTACATATATTGTATAATATAATATTACTGATCAAATATTATAGTTCGAACAAAATGTCTATTGTAGTATTTGTATAATTTGCTTAAAAGTGCTAAAAATTGGCATTTTCCTATATAATCCTATAGTAAATGTACCTGTATTTTAACTTCTATTTAATTACCTGTTGACGGTACATTTCTCCCAAACTTTTGTACACTGAAATTAATGTAAGTTATAAATGGTATAAAAATGAAGAGTTGTTTTTTTACACACAATAAAACTATATATGTAAACTTATAACCGAAAAATCATGAAAATGGGTCAGAAAACGCTAAGATATAAAATTAAAACCCAAACACATTGGCGTAGGAGGTGTGGAAGGAGGTAAATAACATAAATGTATTTAATAGTTTGATATGGATGTGCGGCATTATAATATTTTTATAATAAGGATGAGATAACACTACAAGTATGGACCAGTTAAGAAGAATGATTGCCAAACTGTTAAGCTATTTAATAGCTTCAAAAATTCCTAAAAATACACTTTATGTTTCCTCATGCTGCACAATCTCACCGCAGCTCTGTTTTTGCTGTGATAAATTCAAATAAAATCAACACCGTTGTTGACATGAAAAATGTCATTTATTAAAATGACGAAATAAGAAAAAATATATACAATACATGATAGTGTGTTGATTTTGAAAAAAGGTAATCGCACAAATACATATTAATATACTGATCCCCTAAATTTACCGATAAACAATATTTGCAAAAAATATAAAAACATTAGGTATACAGCAAAAAGATGGCACTACAAAAATAAATATGCCAATGTGTCAAATGTAATTTGTATATCAATTTAAAACATATAAATGCAAGGTAGGAAAAGCTGGGGTGGTGGTGGGTGTGCCAAATTTTTTGCTGTTATTGATAGCGTCAACAAAGCGAGAATGACCCAGCGCTGACTGGTCAGTTACAGACAGCATCAAAACACGTGATTATAATGGACAACTCTGATTGGCTGCTTGTCTATTTCTGGTTTGACCATGGAAAATTTTGGAGTTGTGTAACAAGCAGCCGAAAAAGAAAAACTGGGGAAAATTACATAACATGGAACCCGACACTTGAAAGGCCTGGGAGAATTCCAGCAAATGGAGAAAATCAAAACATTGAATTTTGACAACAAAATAGAACATCTAATTACTTACATTTAGACAAAAGAAATTAAAAAATACAGCATTCAACACATAAATGAAATTATTTACATAATTGTTGTTTTATGTTTCCTCATGCTGCACAATCTCACCGCAGCTCTGTTTTTGCTGTGATAAATTCAAATAAAATCAACACCGTTGTTTTTTGAAAAATGTCATTTATTAAAATGACGAAATAAGAAAAAATATATACAATACATGATAGGGGATCAGAACAAAAGGTAATCGCACAAATACATATTAATATACTGATCCCCTAAATTTACCGATAAACAATATTTGCAAAAAATATAAAAACATTAGGTATACAGCAAAAAGATGGCACTACAAAAATAAATATGCCACCGAATGTGATTGACGAACATAGTTTGGCACTTCCTTCAATATGAGTGTTGGTAAAATGGGTAGGTAAACCCAGGCCGGGGCAAATTAAAAGCCGGGGCAGTTCGAGATTTCGGTATTTTAGAATTACGACTCATTAAACCATTACATTTGTGGGTTTTTCCGATATTTTCCACTCTATTATAACTAAATATAATTAGTTTTACATTATAAAAGCTATAGGTATGCAGAATTTACGCATTTTCAGAAAAACTGGGTCATTAAAACCGGATCCGATCACCCGGGGCAAACCAGGAAATTCAGAAATAATGAAAGCCAATTATTTCTATCGGAGGATGTTTAGCCATCACTTTTTCAACATTGCGCATCTCTAACCACATGGAGGTCCTTTTTAATTTAATAATTTAAATTATCAATTTAAATTGGGTTTGGAACTGTTTAGATTAAATGTTAATCTTCAGGAAAATCAAGTAACCTGTACATTTATTCCGGATTTTTCAGGTTTATCCCGGGTGATCGGATCCGGTTTTAATGTACGTAAATATTGCAATAACCAATGAAGACATATTAATTTTTAGTTCATATATATTCTTAAACACCAGAATTAATCATAACTTTATGGACTTTCTGTTACGTATGTCAGAAAACGTACGTTTTGGTCTTAAGAAAATGCCTACCCATTTTACCATTTACAATATTAATGAGTATTTAAAGGTAATTTTGTCAGCGAATATATAGAATAGAATCTGAAAATTTCAGCTCGATCGATAAAGTATTAAGACAAAAAATTGAAAAATCTCGATCTGCCCCGGCGTTTAATTGGCCCGGCCCGGGTTTGCCTACCCATTTCAGCAACACTCCTTCAATATAGAGAAGTACGAAAAAAGAAGGTTCATGGCTATCATAGTCAATAATATGGGATATAGATTTACAGTGCTGCAAAAAAAAAAATGAAAAATTTTACTTTGGCTATAGATATCAAAAACCCTACCAAGATACTTATAAAGGAATAGCTTTTGGTTAACAAGTTTTTCTGAATGACCACTGTTTAAGAGATTGATCCGTTGGAAGTTCGTAAATTTCTCGGGGATCTAACAACCCATAGGGTTGCAGAAAGACATGCTTGCCAACAGATAAAATGATGTAACAGGAATTCCAATAAATAACGTTTAAATTCTATGGTTGTTAACAAGCACAATCCATCATATGGTCGACTCACGGTTTAGGCTGATATGTGTTATATCAATTGTCTTATTCTAAAATTCAATTCAGAATGTTTTGTGTACCTGATCATTAATTAAGGCTCGCATCAAGTAACCATTCAGCAGGGTCTACTTTCTCCATTGTGGCAACTATTTCAGTTTTTTTTTGTTTCATAACCTGTTGTTCGTAGATTTTTCTAACATCGATCATTAATTAAATTTGAACAATAATCATAATAAAATTTACTCTCTCTCTCTCTCTCTCTCTCTCTCTCTCTCTCTCTCTCTCTCTCTCTCTCTCTCTCTCTCTCTCTCTCTCTCTCTCTCTCTCTCTCTCTCTCTCTCTCTCTCTCTCTCTCTCTCTCTCTCTCTCTCTCTCTCTCTCTCTCTCTCTCTCTCTCTCTCTCTCTCTCTCTCTCTCTCTCTCTCTCTCTCTGTGTGTCTGTGCATAAAATTAAGAGTTATTTGTTGTTTAAGGTGTTATTGATGCTATTTTTTTTATTACAGACTCGGTGGGAATGAAAATTAAGTCTTTACGTCAATCTTCTGTGGATTATATAGAAAACGACTCCTACTCACAAAACCTTGAAAACCTCGCTGTTGACAAAAATGCAACAACGTTTACCCAAACAAACGAAGCAATCAACAACTTTTGGAGAGTTGATTTCGAAGACCCAATCAATTTTACATGTTTTACCATTATTTCTGGTCAAGGTTTGTTGTGAGAATTATCAATATACTTTGTTTTGTTTGGCGTTCACCGTCAAACTTCATAATGGAGAATGAAGATATTCTAAGGTCTGAATTTATATCCTCAAATCAATCTAGTCTGTGCATGCATGTATGTATAATGAACTAAAATGGTGGTAACGAGGGAGCATAAAACACAAATCCCTGGAAATCCAAGAGGTGGCTTCAGGTGCCTAGGAAGAAAACTTTTATTGTAGATATTTTTAAAATATTACTACCGTTTGAATGAACTATAGAATTTTTTTTTATAAATAATATTCGTTATATCCCATTCTTATATATATATCCACAAAGTAACATTATTTTATGATTAGTTGATTTAATATAATTTAATTTGGAAATTACATTACTTCTGTTTTGACTCTAAATTGAATAATTTCTACTTTTAGGAAAATTTATTATCAAAATTACTTCAAGTAATACAAGTTTGGAACATACTTGTGACGAGTTTTCAGTAAACAGAGAGAAGGAATCCGTCTCACGGTGCTGCCAGAGTTACATAGAGGGAACATCATTTGTTGTCTATCGTTCAGACAATGGAAAATTAAGATTATATGAAGTCAGTCTCATAGGTATTGTTTGTAATTGCTTTAGATTAACATACAATATAAATTGAATGTAATACAGCATATTTTAACTTCTACATAATTTTAACTTCCAATGTATAAAAACCAAAATTTTACGTCGTCTGAGAGTCTTAAGGTGCTAGGGGGTAGCTTTCTGTTTTAATATTTTAAGTTTTTATAAAGAAAATATTTAATAGCTTGATATGAATGTGCGGCATTATAATATATTTTTAATTAGGATGAGCTGACACCACACGTGTGGACCAATTCAAAAAATGGTCGTTAAACTATTAATAAGCTTTAATTATCATTCCTATGACCATTCCTATGATACATTGACCTTGTCAGCAAATACAATTTATCATTGAGTCAAATGCTGGCTGATGTTTTTCATTCTAACTGTTAGTCTTATTTATACACCTTATTGATAAAGGGGTTTCCTTTTTTCCGATTATGACAAGGAGCACACGGCAAGTGTGACCGATCGGCAGGGGATACTCCAAGATCCAAGGCACCTGATCCCACCTCTGATATTTTGGAGGTCCGTGTTTGCTCTGCTCCTATTTTGTATTGTTTTATGAATTTTTAATCTTGAATACTGTTCCGTTATCTCCGAAAACCCTCTACTTTCAAATTAAAAAAAATAGGTTAATAGCTATCATCTTAATTATACTCTTTTGCAGATTGTTTTGCTGTGTACAGCTTTTGTAAGAAGTGTGAATGTGTTCGATGCTCTACTCAGGTTTCGATTGGTGGAATTTGCTCCTCATATTTTCCTTCTAAATGCAAACAGGGCTGTGATATAGGATGTTTAAAAAACTGCTCCAAATATAATGCAGAAAAAGGTTTCGAAATATCCAAAACAGCTGAAAGAGGAAAAATTGGAAACACGTTTGACTCAACAAGAAATGATGATGCACAGAGTAAAAATCCAAATGGTTCAATGAAAAGTATGTAATTTTTAAGTTTTACACATTCAAAAAAGAAGATCTCAGTAAAGAAATGGTCTACAATAAAAGATGCGTAATGTTTAATTGAGTAAGAGATGCACGAGAAGCACATGTCATCAGATTAGGTTTTCCTGACTCGGATAATTTTAATTTTCTGTTTACATTACAGTTGTATGGTTGGGACTGTAATGCGCATATGCATTATTTTTCTCTGAAACAAGTTCAGAAAACGTTTCTACTGTTGATAGATTATCTTCATTTTTCTGAGATTATAGGGATCGAATCATGATTATATCTTTAAATGTGTTGTTTATCTCGATTCACAAAAAGTTAACAATTCAACAAAAATGTGCAGCTATGATGGCATAAAACGATGACAGTTTTAAGATTGATTGTTCGTAATCTTTTTACTTTTCCTTCCAATTTTATTTACAAAGTTTTATATTACAATTTGTAAAATTCATTCTTCAATACGGTAATTAAACGGACAAGCAGGCATACAGACATTAAAACTAAACACTCGTTCAAGTCTTGCTTTTAAAGACATTTTTTTTCAGGTGAGTAAGGACATATTTCATATTCAAACATTCCCTATTTCAGATTTGGTGTCTGATATAATTCACAAAAAAACTCATTTCACTGCATTACCGTATTGTCGTTGAATTTAGATGACGGATCGCCTAAGACTGACCTAACTGGAGTTATCTTTGGAGTTGTGGTCCTGTGTTTACTTGTTTTCTTCTTTGTTATTAAAAGGTATTTGGTCATTTTTTATTTAAATGCTTGAGACATATTAAAAATCCCTTGCACTAATCAATAAATATCATTTCTTTTGTATTCTTAAAAAAAAGCAGAAACTTTAGAGTTTAAACAGATGAAGGATATACTGATCATGTCGTTCCTCATCAAATTATTACTTTTCTCAGTGGATCGAAAGACAGAGAAATAAGAAATTCTCATACAGCAGTTTGCAGAGCAAACTCGGACTTCCAGAGATTTATAGGCAGGACCAGGTCCTTACCTGATCCTTACAACATGTCAACAAATACAATTCTTACAACAAAGATACATACTAGATTTCCTTTAATGTTCTACCAAGCCTCTTTCTTAATTCACTTGTCACTGAAATATTATCAGTAAAGTGAAGAAGAAAATTCAGGAGTACTGTGCAACAATATATCAGAAAATTGGTGTACATCAGATGTGAATTCACTAGAATTCCTTTGAAATAATTTTTTTTTACTAAACCCAACGACATAAAAAATACGAATTTTTTAAACTCATGTACAACAATTCACAACGATGAATAAAGTACACGCATTTTGATATCATTGTCAGCTGTTTTTTTTCTCAATAAAAATGGAACTTGTAAATTTACTTACCTTGTCAGCGGTCATTTGCAAAAATATTTGGTTCTAAAATATTCTGCTTGTACACACAAGTGACATTTTTCATACCGATTGTTAGACTATTTTGCAAACCGAATGATTTTCTGTGATTCCCGACCCTGGCAAGGTGCACACAGATGATATGAACGGTTGGCAGAGAATGTTTACTCCTCCATGGAACCCGATCCCCTTCTGATGTTTAGAAGGTCCGTGGTTGCTCTGATCAAAATTTGTACTGTTTAAAGATTATATGAGCTTGAATACTGTTTGTTATCTCCATATATTTCTTGAAACATTTTTACAATCTATAGTTTGAATAAAATTCATCATTTTTATTCGTTTTTTACTATGAAGTTCAGATGAATGTTGACATAAATATTGTAGCAATAATGGTAATGATCCTTTTAATAATATTTGTCTTAGATCAGATAGTTCTGAAAATAGGAATTGTATCAAATATATTCATCCGGAAGCGATAGAAGAAAATGAAGAGCAAACTGAAGTTGTTCCTATGTCGCAAAACACATTTAATGACGGGGCAAACTCTATTGTTTTGGAAGAAATCACATATGTAAATGTCAGCGTAGAGAACCAGAGAGATGCCGAGTACTCAAACACCACAAGCCATAGGCTACTCGTGGACACCTTCATCGATAATCATCGTATCAGACGCGAAAACAACAAGTTTGAAGAAGACGAATTCGCGGTAAACTTCAGTCTTTTTAAGAAACTACATCAAACTTTCGAACATTTATGGGAAAATAGAGAGTGATACATGTAAATCTTAATTAACTACTTCTAACAAATGCAAAAAGTACATAGTGTAAGTTAAACCGAGTGTTTGTAATTTCTTTTTCATCACTTTATGAAACAATAAGTCTAGATAAATTAAGTTTGTGCATGTTTCAGAATTTACCGACTGGACTACTAGACCTGTGCACAGAAGCCTTGAAGACAGAGAACATTTGTAAAAATCGATACCGATATGTGTATCCTTGTAAGTATACGATTAAAATGACCTTTGACCTTATGTAAAATCATGCCACGAAAATGTCTTAATACTTTTACTGAATACAGAGTTTGGTGCCTTTCATACAATTCTACCATAAAAATAAATTACTAAGCATGTATAAGGTAAAGCAGAATTATCTCTATTTTTCGTCAATTCACACTCTATTCTTTACAAAAGATCATATGAAAAGATATATTTAACATTTTTTTTTCTTGAAAAAAAGAGGGATCATGTACACTGTTATTTCTCGGTCATTTCTTTTCCTCCAAAATAGAATTCCCTCCTAAGTTTTGAGTCTGTTTCCCACGTTCATTGGTCACGTTCTACAAATTTTATGAGGGCATAATCACTTCTGTTTTTTATATTTCTAATATCTCAATATAAAGGGTTTCGTAGCAAATATAATCAACAAATCGTTGTTTATCAGGAAGAAAATGAAACTTTCTTCGAATTCATTAATGCGGAAAAATACACTTATATTTGTGATATTAATTTTAATTTTAAATTTGATTTTAGATGACTTTTGTCGAGTTGTACTTAATACATGTGACACACCAGGAAGGAATGACTATATCAATGCCTGTTACATCGAGGTCTGGAAACATGTGCTTAGAAAATTTCAATTTTAGACTTTAAACCTGATTTTAATTTTTAACAGTTGAATATTTCCAGGATGTTGGTCGTCACTTTTTGTTTAGAATTACCAATACTTGCTACATTTGTCTTTGAAACACTTCAATCAATATTAAAACAAGGTAATTATCTTTATTATAGGACAGTCAAGGAAAACATTCCTACATTGCAGCGCAAGGTACAAAAAAATAATGCATCTAAAGATCGACTGGTTGTGTGTTGTTTTACGTCTACATCGAGAATTTTTCAAATATGGTTACGTGTTAAACGCTTCAAATTAAAGTCTAAGCAGTAAAATCTCTCAATCATGACAGCACCTGCTGTGACACGGAATCTCTGTTTTTAAGGTGTCCTCGAAAGACCCTCAACTTTCAGTATAAAAGTATTGCGTCGTTGACAAAGAAACTGCCGCTACTTATTCTTATCGACTCCGCTCAGTCGCAGCCGAGACTTCGACCTTTCGAGCATTTGTTCGATCGACTTTGTTTATTTACTCTCAGACCATACAATGGTGTATGAGGTACAAGAGCTTATTTACATATATACAAAATACAAAGTCAAGTAAGGAAGAGTAGTGTCAACTGAGAGGGATTGATTGATTAATTGTTTATTGTTTAACGTCCGTCTCGAGAATTTTTCACCCATATGCAGACGCCACCACTTGCCGGTGGAGAGCTGCAATTTATTTTCCTTTACTCGGCACTCAGGGCCACTGAGCAGTAAGGGATCTTTTTTTCCTACCAGCATCTACTGCGACAAGGTTTATATGATCTCATCCGGAGGATCAATCTTCACGTCCCACAGGTGTCAACTTAGAAAATATTACTGAAAGCAGCCCAATATCTTTTTAGCCATCAAAGACAGCTTTATCAATGAGTCAACATTTGTGATGGACATAATTTTCCCAAATTTATAAGTATTTACGTGAGACCAATACTTCATATAACTAAGTTTGAAGACTGAACCTTGACGGTTTGCATCTAATGAATTAAATTTCATTGCAAATAAAACAAGCAATCGGTGAAGGATAATTTTCAAATGAATAAACTGATGATTGAATATTAATTTGAGGGGAGAAATGGATTCTGTAAAAAGTATTATAAAATTGTAAATACAGAAAACAAAATAACTGGAATGAATGGAACAGAGATGAAAAAGTTAAAATAATTATTTAGCATGTAGAAAGCCCCTTCATATGCCAAATTCCATTAAGTGTAGATTAAGTGTCGTTCAAATCATGGCTGCGGGTCATAATAGATGGTCAAAGTTTAACAAAGAACCAAAATAATAAGAAAGTATCGATTTTATTTCATTTTTATACAAAAATAACTTAGGTGAGCATCACGGACCCTGGTTGGGCCTTTTGATTTGAACACCGTTTTTCTCATGATTCTTTAAATTCATTTTGTAGGGCCATTTACTTCATTAACTCTAATTGATTTCTGGAGAATGGTCTGGCAAGAAAATAGTTCTAGAATTGTGATGCTGACAAACTTAATGGAAGGAGACAAAGTGAGATAATTATTTTGAATCAAAAAGAGGAATTCTAGATCCTTTAAAAGTAATTCTACAACCAATTACTTGTATCAATTTTTTAAAACTTATTTTGAAGATGAAATGTCTGAAATATTGGCCTGAAGATGTGATTGAGCTTGGTAACATCAGAATTCGACTAGAATGCGAAGACAACAATGAAAATTATACAATAAGATATATGATTGTGGAACAGGTAGTAAACAAAAGCATGCAGACGGAAAATGAAGCTAAATGTTGCGTTTTATTTGACCTACAAATTAACAGCTGATGTATTCTGCCTGTTGTCTTTTTGCTACACAGTTTTTATTCTGAAATATATAGCTGATATATTTAATATAATTAATCATGAGTTCTTTTTTCACGCTTTCACAGGCGTAGAAGTGTTCTAATCACAGCATGATAATCTAATTGTAACGTTGCATGATCAAACATATAGTAGTGAACATTGAGAGCAGATAGAGTATTCCTTTTTTATAAAATTAGACAAAAATGCGAAGATACCGAACATATCTATCGACCTAGAAAAATTCTATGAACAATTCAATCTTTAAAAAGGGCATAACGCTTAAACTCGGGCAATTGCAAGAAGAACAAATGGAATATGAATTAAGTTTAGGAATGGTGTTCAAACTCAAAGTTCTATAAAAAAAAATACGAATTGTAGATAGAAAACATGGACTTCTCAAAACATCAAAGTGGGATCAGGTGCCAAGGAGTAAAAACATTCTTTGTCGAATGGTCACACATTTTCAGAGACATACACTTTATTTTATTATACGGAAATATTGTAATTAAATTATTTCAAAAATTGCAAAGGCAGGACTTATTGTTTCTGTAAAGAAGGATATTCTTGAGTTTTAATATTTTTTTTTTACATACGAGTATATATTTATCTTAAGAACAACGAGACAAGGAAGATATGCCAGTTTCACTTTACTGGTTGGCCTGATTGTGAAGTCCCATCAAATGTGGATGATCTTCTCTGTTTTCGAAACCTTGTGAAAAATGGCAGACCTGACTCTGATGGACCAATAATAGTTCACTGCAGGTAAAAAACACAACTTTAAGTTTCTTTGAGAAAAGAAAGAAAAACGCAAAAACGATAGATCACTAGCTGTACGATTTCCTAAATATTTCTTTCTCTTTCGACCTAAAATAATTGATTAAAGGAGATCGAAGTCTAATGGTAAAAAAATTAACTTTTCTAAAAGAAATTTTTCGAGATGAGTGATTTTTTCTTTCTAGTAAACAAAAGGATGATAAATATTAAAATAACCAATCTTGCAAGCTTTAAAAATTGCTAATAGGTATAAGCAAGGTCCTCATGAAATGCCAATAAAGGGAACCAGAAGCCTAGGAGGAGTAAGACTCCACTGATAAAATGGCAATGGCCTCTCTGTTGGCTTTGAACTTTCCAAAGTACGACACAACAATCATCTATCATATATTTCAGTTGCACAATAACGTCATTTGAATAAAAATTACGAAATGTAACATTACTTTTCGGGAAAAAATATAACATTCTATTTCATACCGGAATAAGATGGTAAATATAAACACAACATTATAGTGAAATATTCTTATGTGAAAAGAAGTAAACAAAGGGAAAAATTGTTATCCCGTTTTTGTGTAGTTCAGTTGTAAGGTGACCATTAAAGTATATATCTCAGTGAAAAGATATAGATTTTTTATTGCTCTGGATTATTTGTTGGAAGAAGGATCTACAATGGAAAGTGTGGATATCATCAACTGTGTCTCCAAACTCAGACAGCAAAGAGCACATTCCATACAAACCAAGGTAAGATTCACAGCTGATTCTGTAAGAGGGGTTCACAAAGGGGTGCAATTTTACCATTAATAACAAAGGGGAGTTTATCATCAACTGTGTCTCCAAACTATTCCATACAAACCAAGGTAAGATTCACAGCTGATTCTGTAAGAGGGGTTCACAAAGGGGTGCAATTTTACCATTAATAACAAAGGGGAGTATGTATATCATCAACTGTGTCTCCAAACTCAGACAGCAGAGAGCACATTCCGTACAAACCAAGGTAAGATTCACAGCCTATTCGTTGATCATCTTTTGTTTGCATTATTATTTTGGTGCAGAAAGGGTCAATTATAGAGACACATCAATTGTATATCCAAACTGATAAGACAACACTCACTGCAACAGGGGATATAGATTTAAACAGTCTCATTCAATGGATTCGTCTGCAGTGGATTTGAACCCAGGATTAGTTCCTTAATCCGCTACTCTGGAGCAGACGCTCTAAAATCTGCGTCAGGTGGGCAACCAAAAAAAAAGGAGTAGATATAATCGTTGTCTTTAAACTAAGATGTTTTATAAAAATTCAGACATAATTAATTCATAACTTATATTTGTATTTTATCTCATACGTGTTGGTGATACAGGCCGTTGGATAAACTTATGCTTTATCAACGGGTAGATGCTTTATCAATAAAATGAACCCTCGCTTCAAGATTTTATTTTATTGAAACTTTATAAAATTGTTGCCCTTATAAAATGAATGATAAAGTCTTTAAATGTCAAAGAAGTGTCTTATTTTATCAAGAACCCGTGTATTTATAAAAATTCAGACATAATTCATAACTTATATTTGTATTTTACTACGTATGCCTACCTAGTAATGTAGGTGTAACTTACCATGGATCAGCAAACAATGCAAAGTGGCCCCTAGCCTTGCCTAGCACGATTTGTACTGCCATCGTAAAAAGAGTTGATTTTCACGATCCCCATAGTCCTAATTTCAGTCAGAAGTTCGTTTGATGTAAAGCTCCAGCAATTTTCACATGATGTTTTCAAAGACACAGATAGCAAATATTCTAAATTTTGAACTCGATCTACTTTCTCTCGACGCATGTAAACATCAACGGTGCAACGTCATCAAGTTATACGTCATCAATTTGATTTTGGCAGTCATTCATGTAGTTTCGCAGGGGAAGTCACGCCCATATTGGCTTTATCCAACTCGTTGAAATGGTGTATATTCGTAAAATATATACACCATTTCAACTCGTTGGATAAAGCCAATATCAAATCACACAATATAGATATCCTCTATTTATCTTGCTAGTAAATATCATTTAATGCAATGAAGCGCATTAAAGTGGTAAAATTTTCTGTTTGAATGGAACATTTTGAGCTATCTTTAGAACGTTGTCATACAATGACATACCCATTTCTTTAGAAAAGAAAAATCGGTCAAATTATTCATTCGAATACCTGTAGAACAGGTATTACATATGATGGCCAATCAATTGGACGGTCTACAATTAACGAATACGCACATGTTTAACCGATACAAGTGTTATGGTAACTCCAAATTCATAATTATGTACAAATTCGTCGCAAAACGTGTTTTACAAAAGCGGGGACTCTCTAGCTCTCTCCTCTAACTTTTAAAATCTCCATTTCTGTGTACCATGTTGCTAGTCGCAAAGAGTGGGGTATTCAAAAGTATTACGACGAATAATTCTTTCTCGTTTCGAATTCTAAAGAAATGGGCGTGTCATTATGTAACAATGTTGACATTGACTAGAAACACCCAAAGTTTTTATTCAAACGAAAAATTTTACCACTTCAATGCGCTTCATTATATTATTTTCTTTACTTTTACATTACAGGAGCAGTACATTTTTCTGTATGATGCTCTTGCACAGGGATTGATCAATATAAGAAGAACGCCTTTATATCAGCTTGTTGATGAAATCTGAAGTCTGTCTCTTTTTATGCCCCCGTTAGCGAAGAATCGGGGTATAGAGTTTTTGCCCTGTCCGTCTGTCTGTTTGTCTGTATATCTGCAAAAAACTTAAACTTTTATCTTAACTTTTGACTAGGTGAAGCAGTGGCTTTCACATTTCAAAGGTGAATTCCTTGTTACAAGACCTTTCTTTGGGTACCACCAATTTTGACCTATTGACCTTGATTTTAGAGTTTGATACAGTTTTACGAAAAAAAATTACCAAACTTTAACCCTGGCAATAACTTTTGAACAACTGATACTTAGGCTTTCATGCTTCACATGTGTATTTATTGTGACAACCGTTCAATGGATATAAATATTTTTGAATTTTGACCTGAGAGTATGATCCACTTTGAAAAAAATGAACCTTCTTCATAACTTTTGAACAGTTGGTACTTGTACTTTCATATTTCACAAGTGTTTTGCTTGTGCAAGGACCTTTCTCTTGATACCAGCAATTTTGAACTTTGACCTTGACCTTAGAGTTTGTCTTGTATTTGAGAGACTCCAACCTTTGCCAGAAAGTGTCATACGGGGCATCATGTTTCAAAAACACATCTTTTTATTTATTCAAGACCTACATTCTATTCTTCTTTATTGATATTATCATTTTTCAATTTTTGCATTTTAGAACTTTCAGAAGAATTCATTGTCATATGCATTGTCTTGAACTGGCAATAAAATTGTAAAACATATGGTTGTATTTTTTTTTTCAACCTAATTCGCAAACCATGCTAAATGACCCTGCTATTATGCCGAAAGTAATGAGCCCTAAAAAATATAAACACTTCATTTTTTCCAAATGAAATCTGGGGAAAACGAATAATATACAAGCTGAAAAGTCCATTCAGTCAATGCAATTTGGAAGAAAAGCAAACACTCTAACACTCTAAAACATCAGAGGTGGGATCAGGGACCATGAAAAAAAAATCCTCCGTCGACCCGTTACTCCAGTCGTGTGCTCACTGTCAGGATCGGGAAAAGGGAAAATCTGTTGACAATTTAGTATGTATATAATAGCCTAACAAAGTCAGTCTGCAATCGACTTATTATGTTCCCCAAATGAAGTTGGGGAACATATTGTTTTTACTCTGTTTCTTATTATGTCGCCCCAGACGTTTTCTTGGAGATAGCTGGGACAATCTTCCTGAAACTTTCCTCAAAGGACGATCACTGGTTGTTGTTGTGCCATGTGGTCATTCAGTTTCAAAATGGCTACCGTTGCCATGGAAACCTGCAAAAAGCGACGAATTTTGTCCGCGAGTATTCTCTCTGGTCCCTTGAACATTCGTCATGAAACTTTTTTTATTTTAGTGATTAGTAATTATAGTTGTGCGATTCGCATTTAAAATTTTCAAACAATCAATTATTACCATGGAAACCAGGGGAAAGTTAAAATTCTTTAATTTCAATTTTCTCAATAACTACTCAAGCAAACGTTTTGAAACTTTCAATTTTAATTTCTTGCAATGTGTCAAAGTGATTTCTATTTTTAAAATAATTGTAATGAGTCGCTCACAGTTGCCATGGAAACGAAACAGAAAAAAGGTTAAGATGTACACGTGTTCTCCAAGGTCTACGTCACAATTCTTCGTATCCAATAAAAGTTCTTTTCATAAGGATTATATATTTGGAATAGGAAAGCCCTAGCCCTTATCGTTCAAACGTTATGGCTAAGGTTCTATGTTCAAGACGAACCCCCCCCCCCCCCGTAGGAAGCGCACAGCCAGGTAGAATACACAGATATAACATACACAACTTACAAGTAACGTTTTAAAAGTTTCATTCATAAAATTCAGTTCCCTTGATGTGATTTGATATTTTGCCAACATTCAATCTTCTTCTGTCTTGTCTCTAGATTTTATAATTATTTTATTTTATCTATGAAAAAAAAACGATTGTCAGCTGCATTATTAGCATTTCGCGTTTTCTTGTATATCCATTACTTGTATATTAATAATTTCATTAGATAATGCATGTATAAATTAGAAAATTGGTACGTCATTTACATAGTTTTTATTCATTCATAAATCCTTGGATCCGCTCCTGCAGGTGCGCGAAGCCTTCATCACCACTGTAAACAAAACATTCATCTCGCCGAAAATGTTCATGATTCCGCTAAACTGAGAAAGTTTACACATGCTTTATCATCTCATAACAAACATCAGCCCTGTGCAATGCAGTCATGCTCGAATTGAAGCGGAAAATTCAGGAATTATTTTGCGTCAGCCATGTTTTGACTGAACCCTACCCGGCATTTTGTAATTAAGGTCTTCCGTTTCGAACGGAAAGGACTGATACGACTCGATGGTTGTCCAAGCTTAGCTAATGGGTATTGTTTTAGTGATGATAAAAATGAAAGTCTTGTCCAGTACGGGGCGACATATGCTATTGCTTGCAATAGCAGACTTTCTAGTTATTATTATTAAGGTCTTCCGTCTTCAGCGGAAGACCTTCTTTTTATTCTTAGGTTTCTTTTTCACTTTTATTATTCTTTTTTTTCTTACCGATTTTGTGCACGCGATTTCTCAAAAACGGCTCGATGGAATTCCATGAAACTTTCAGGACTTATGTTACATAACTTCAACCTTATGCATTTTTTTCCGATTTGATGACGTCACTTCCGGTTTGGAGATATTGTCGATTTTATGATTTTTGAAGGGTCAGGTTGTCTCCAGATTTTCTCAATAATGGCTAAAGATAGAAACATGAAACTTTCAGGTATGAGAGACCAAAGTCTGTAGATATGTATAACGTATTTCATTTTTATCAGAAGTGCCGCACGTCGGCGTTCGCTATGGCCCGAAAATAGACTTATCACGAATTTCAAAATTTTTAACACTTTTTCGAAGCTATCTTTTTACCTAGAAATATTTTGTTAAGGTAGGATTCTTCTCATATTTCTAATATTTAAAAATTAATGAAATTTTCACAAAATGAAGATGACAATACCAGTAAGTGATAGTATCAGTGAAATAAAATTTGACCGTTTTATATTAGAGGCAAGGTCAGGTCAAGGTCATTATCTTTTTCCTTGACATTAAGAATAAAAAATAACTGTTGCCAATCATGTGATACCTACTTTTATTTGAAAAGTTTAATAATTGTTCTTTTTGCATAAAAACATATTACTTTTTTTTTTTTGTCATTCATATTTTTTATTTCTGTCATTAAATGCATCATACAAGCATTACAAAGTTACAATATAGTGGAAAAAGGCAAATATTTATACATAATAGACATAAAGTGCTTCAATTGAACAATTTTTTAAAAAAGTACAATAATATTTATTACTTTTCTGTATCTTATCTTCACTGACTGAGAAATGTTTTCAAAAATTCCCAACTTTGCTTGATCATGTCTGCTTTTTTATAAGAAAGAGAATAGGAGGAAAAAAGCTCTATAGTTTTATAATATTTAAGTACTTCCAAAAAAGCAAGAAAAGAGGGCGTTATATTTTTCCATTTACAATGCATTATATATTGCTTTGCAATTTGTAATATTATTGACAATAATATGTTTTATGCATACATATGTAATTTACCATTTTCTGTGGTTAGAATGTAGTGATTTTAGTATATTTCATGTATATATCAGGTTTCAGAGCTAGGACGTTATGTAATGCATAGTCTCAGGTTTTGGGGCTTTGCGTTGATTAGTTGTGAGCTAACGTCGGATATACCACGTGATTGTTATCGCTGGTGGATGCTGCAAGTGTTTGTACACACCATTTTTTGTAGAAAAACATAACGATTTCGGATTATTCATCTTGATCAATGCTTAATAATCAGTGGATTAGTAGTACATACGACTTTATGCACAGTATGTAAGTGATGATATTTCGGATTCGCTTTGTGACTGTTTTTCGACTCCATCGGAGCCTGGGTACATGCGGGGTGTTTCAAAATGGCGGACATGACGAGGATTGTGCCAATCGGCCATTCGTACATTAGAAGGATGGACAAGTATATGAAAGACAAGATGTGAAAAAAAAAATCTTTGTTTTGACCTAAATTATAAATAGATTCTCACTGTTGATCCGTGGCCAAGGTGGGTTAAACGTTGAGGGTTTGGCGAAATCGTGAACACTATGTACTTTCTCCACAGCCCCTGACATTAGCCTTTTTCAAATCGGAGGTAACGAACTTTCCTTCGACCCCCCACGAAGATTGTAAGGTATATTTCTTTTACTTCCTGATTCATGGTACGAGTGTGAAACATGTAATTTTATGCAACTTCTCCGACGGGACCCTCACAACTTACCACCGGGATGCAACAATGTTGTTATTGAGATTAATCAGCTTAGAAACTCTGTGTCTGAATCCTTACCATACACTGTGTGTGTCATTTTGGAAACACCGGGGTTTTGGGACTAACCTACAGTACCTGAGGGAGTTCACCTACGTACAAAATCATGCATGCAGTACCAATCCAGTACCTATGGTCAATGGTCAATCAAAGATGCTGTGGTCAACACTTGCAGGAGGCTAAGGCCAGTATAAATTAATTTGAAGTTTGATATAATGACATACATGATATATGAGCATAAATCTTGGAAATGAATAGATGCATATGTATAGGACAAGAGTCAAATATCTAGTAAGATATTTAGAAAGATGTCTATTCGAAACACTCAAGTATTATTATATCTTTCCTTAAGATATATATAACTTCATGAAAACCTGCAGAACATAATGTCAAAATTTTCCATGCTAATGTCTCAAAGTTATTGTTCGCAGGGTAAACTTACAGTATACATATGTCAAAATTTTCCATGTTAATTGCTGTATTATTATACTATTAAAGTTATTGGTTCGCAATGTGAACTAGCAGTATACATGATGTCAAAGTTTTCCATGTTGCTGCATCAAAGTTATTGGTTTGCAATGTGAACTAGCAGTATACATGATGTCAAAGTTTTCCATGTTACTGTCTCAAAGTTATTGGTTCGCAATGTGAACTAGCAGCATACATGACGTCAAAGTTTTCCATGTTGCTGTATCAAAGTTTTTAGTTCGCTATGTGAACTAGCAGTATACATGATGTCAAAGTTTTCCATGTTACTGTCTCAAAGTTATTGGTTTGCAGTGTGAACTAGCAGTATACATGATGTCAAAGTTTTCCATGTTACTGTTTCAAAGTTATTGGTTCACAATGTAATCTAGCAGCATACATGATGTCAAAGTTTTCCATGTTGCTGTATCAAAGTTTTTAGTTCGCTATGTGAACTAGCAGTATACATGATGTCAAAGTTTTCCATTTTACTGTCTCAAAGTTATTGGTTCACAATGTGAACTAGCAGTATACATGATGTCAAAGTTTTCCAGGTTGCTGTATCAAAGTTGGTTCTCAGTGAGTACTGGGTAAGTCATGTGGCTGTCTCAAGGTATAACTAAACTGTTATCTATTCAATACAAGATCAAAAGCAAGGCATGTTTTTTTTTCTTTTATAAAGACTTGATTTATCAGTAAAATATAACAGTTATGAAGCCACTGTTGTTGAAATCTTCATCATTTTATTATCAAAGTACATGCAATTATGAAAGGTCATTACCTAAAATGTTGGTGATACCTTTCATCATAACAGCAGAAAATTCATGAAGTAGTTCGCTTAAAATATATAGTCATAAATTATATTCTAGATAGAATTCTTTCAGCTTCAATCCTGCCGAAGAGACGCCCAGCCACAGACGAAACCTGGAGAAGAGGAAAGAGTCTAAAAAATCAGAGTGAAGTGTCAAAACTGGTGGAGCATCCATCCGTGCAGATTGATAATGAAAACAAGCAGACAAAATTCTAAAGTAACAAGGTAGTCGCGGAACCCTCTTAAGATGCTACAAGCAACATATCAGAAATACTCAATCAGTTATTAAGTTCAGGCGAGCCAGCAACCCCCAAAACAGCATATTGACATTGATGGGATTCCGCTCGGTGCAACAGTAGCACAACGCATTAAACAAAAAATCTGGGAAAATCAGTATTTAGATTTGCGTGTGCTGCTGCAGCAGCGAGAGGATCCAGTATTTTGGGGGGTCTTTGACTTCCAACACCAGTCAACCCAAATAAATTAAGTGAATTTCTAGTTCATTATGATAGATCTCTTTCAACTTAATTAGTGCAGAGTTTTAAATAGGATTTTCGCCTGGGTTGTGTTTGCAGACCCCATCATATCCAATATGTTGAGTAATCATAAATCAGCAAGGGAGAACCAAAATATTATCAATGATCACATAGAAACAGGTCTGAAAAAGGGAATTGATGGACCATTACCTGCACCCCCATTAGATCACTTTGTTGTATCACCCCTACTGCGGCTTTAAACTTAGTGTCAAAAGGTAATTCAAATAATTTTGGAATAATTCATGACCTCTTTTTTCTAAAAGACCAGTCTGTGAATGCCAACATCTGCTGTACACTGTGATTGGATTGTTAATGTTGGAAGTTTGGTTAAAAAATTTAGTCAATATATTTTAAGAGCAAAGTCTGACATCAAAGAAGCCTATAGAATAGTTCCAATTCACCCTCTAGATCACCATCTATTAGGTTTTCATTGGGAAAATTCATTTTTAATATTATGATATATGGTAACCAATGTGAGCAAGTAGCAGTTGTCAAACTTTGAAACATTAAGTTATGCACTACAGTGGACAATGGAAATAATTTTAAAGCAGCAGGGGTCTCTCATATCGTCGACGATTTTTTTGTGGGCCCACCAAATTCATCAAAGTGTAGGTATGTTCTAGCCAGTATTTTATTCTCATGTAGGCAAATTTAAAAGTGCAAAAAGGTCTCATTGAAAGAATTACAGTCAGCACATAAGTCTTCTTTACTTCGCATGTGGGGTAGCTAGTAGTACCTGGTAGAGCCTTTTTAAGGCGTTTAATCATTCTCACTTGTTGTTTCGATGATTTTAAATGATATGCTAAGATAGAGGGGAAGCGAGAGCTGACTTAGCTACCTGGTCATATTTCCTGGTCATATACCATAAATCATTTTCATGGAAAATCTGTCTTCCTGAATAAAGAATTGATGTCCTCAGAATATCTAAATTTGCAAACTGATGCCGCAGGGTCACACAGTTTTGCTGTAGTTTTGGGTTCAAAATGGTTTGCGGATAGATGGCCTGATGCCCTTATACAATGTCAAAAATGCATCAAAGAACTTTTTCCAATTGCTATTACATTTACAATTATGTGGGCACAAGCTTCAAAACAAAAAAAAACAAAAAAAACAAAAAAAACAAAACAAAAAAAAAAAAGAAGACTTTTCTTATTTGACAATAAGGCAGTAGTAGAAGGCATAAATAAACAGTCATCTGGTGAACATAACCTCATGAAATTATTATGTCGGCTTGTACTAATGGCAATACAGTGCAATAATCACTTAAGAGCTAACCATGCTTCAATAAAATCTAATGTACTCGCTGACAGACTCGGAACATTATTCACCAAGCACATTGGCATCACAAGTTTCGGCCATCTAATTTTTCCAAAAATTCTGAATTTGCAATACCCATCTAAGAATTTTTCTTTTTTTTTGGTTCAGAAATTGTTAAAAAGGGTGTCAAAAATCATGCCAAAGAACAGCCTCAAGACTCCAAATAACAAGGGAAATTCGGAGGGAAATTCCTACAAAAGTTATAGAAGCTATATGTCTTACAAGGTCTACTTGGAATAACCGAATTCTTTTAAGAGCATTAGATTGGGAGAATTATTTGTCAGGACACTGCAATCTATGAATCAAGTGTTTTTAAGGTCAAACATACATTTTGAAACTGGGAAAGGAAAATTGAAAATTGTAAGTTTAATTTTATGTCACACACAAAAACTAGCAATCTGGTCAGTCAGTTACCATCTACCTAGAGGCCCAGTCTGAAAAAGATCTCTGTCCTGTGTTTCCCCTTTTTGAGTATATGTGCCAATTTAAACATTCAAAGGGGACCCCTTTTTCAATTAATTGATGGCACTCCAGTTTCACAGTCATTGGTTTCAAAACATTTAGGTCCAAGTATTACATTCATGGGTTTGAATAAAAAATTTACAAAGGTTATGCTTTTTGTATTGGGGCAGCTACTCATGCAGCTAGGTTGGGTTCTTCGAAAAATGCAATTCAACGTATGGGTAGATGGAAATCTGATGCAGTCAAGAGATATATAAGTACAGGATCCTTTACTCTTTCTCTCCAGTAGTTTGTTTTTTTTGTGTTTTTTCTCCTCAATTCATTGAATTGATAAGGTATAGTCTACTACCCTCTCCTAATGATAACAGTACAGCACAAAACATCTGCTTATAAAGGTCATCCTGCAATCAATTTTGTATTGGTCAAATTAATCTTGTCATCTTCATGTAGGCTGTCCCTTAATTAACTATAAATGGGTCAGATTATGCCTGTCAGGTTCATGTAGGTATACCCGTTGTCCTAAGATAAGCTGTAAATGGGTCAGATTATGTTGGTTGGTTCATGTAGGTTGTCCCCAGTTAAGCTTTCAATGGGTCAGATTATGTTGGTTGTGGTCTTGTAGGTTTCCACAGATAAGCTGTAAATGGGTCAGATTATGTCTGACATGTTCATGTAGGTTGCCCCCAGATAAGCTGTAAATGGGTCAGATTATGTCTGACATGTTCGTGTAGGTTGTCCCTAGCTAAGCTGTAAATGGGTCAGATTATGTCTGATATGTTCATGTAAGTTGTCCCTAGATAAGCTGTAAATGGGTCAGATTATGTCTGACATGTTCATGAAGGTTGTCCTTAGGTCAGATTAAGATGGTTCAGATGAGGTCTGTCATCCCCTTCCCCCTACAATTTATTACCATAGAGTTACCTTCAGTCATCTGCAATGGATGATTAGAGAGTAAATAACAAATTGGAGCATGAAATAAAGGACTCAGCATTTGTAATGTTTACTGCAAATCATTTGTATAGACTAATTTACTGTTTGCAATGTAATTAATTAATTGTAATTAACCATTGCCGATATGTTGTTTTATTACATCAATACAGTAGAGACTCGCTATTACGGTGACGGTTTTATACGATAGAACGCTTATTACGTTGTAAATTCAAAGCACAAATCCAAAAAAAATGTACAAATATTTTAAACTTTTGTACTAGAAATATTGTTTATCATGATTTATATAAATGCAATTAAAATGTGGTAAGTTACAGGGGTTTACTGGCCATCATTTATTATTCAGAGCGAGAATCTTTTCTTAAACATATATATTAAGATTATTATGGTTTTTCTCCTATGTTGTCCATGTACGTGGGTTGTTTCCCTTGGGTGGCGGAAAATCCAATGTAGTTGGATTTTTGGTGGCCTATTGTTTGTTGCCACCTTATTTTTCAGCTTAAATGTTTGATATATTTGTGTTTTTTGAGTATTGTCATGATGTTATTTTAAAGTTTTGGGAGATCCATAACAAGGTGTAGATACAAATTGTAGAAAGTCATAGGATCTCCCAAATTTCATGTGTTTCATTTGTGTCATTAATAAATGACATATTTACAACAATACTCATTCTTGGTTTTCATTCAATCTGAAAAATAACAGAGCTGCGGGAAACTTGGTTTTAAATTTGCACCATTATCATATGGAAGGCATAATGTAATATTATTGACAATAATATGTTTTATGCATACATATGTAATTTACCATTTTCTGTGGTTAGAATGTAGTGATTTTAGTATATTTCATGTATATATCAGGTTTCAGAGCTAGGACGTTATGTAATGCATAGTCTCAGGTTTTGGGGCTTTGCGTTGATTAGTTGTGAGCTAACGTCGGATATACCACGTGATTGTTATCGCTGGTGGATGCTGCAAGTGTTTGTACACACCATTTTTTGTAGAAAAACATACCCTCCACCTCCCCGTACAACCGTCCCTAAGGTTAAACTTTACTTTGGGATGTATTTTGATAATTTCTTTTGTTTGGTGGCCTATTGTTTGTTGCCACCTTATTTTTCAGCTTAAATGTTTGATATATTTGTGTTTTTTGAGTATTGTCATGATGTTATTTTAAAGTTTTGGGAGATCCATAACAAGGTGTAGATACAAATTGTAGAAAGTCATAGGATCTCCCAAATTTCATGTGTTTCATTTGTGTCATTAATAAATGACATATTTACAACAATACTCATTCTTGGTTTTCATTCAATCTGAAAAATAACAGAGCTGCGGGAAACTTGGTTTTAAATTTGCACCATTATCATATGGAAGGCATAAAGAATGATTATGTTCAACGATCTGAAAGCAGTTTTACTACAACTATTATATCCAAATATTATTTCTTCAGGTGTAAATTCAATTATTAAACCACACGTGTTACGAAGTTTATCTCTTAAATTAGACCATAAAGTAATTGAAAAAGGACACAAACATATTAGATGGATAAGTGTTTCTTTAGTATCATGACAAAAGGAACAAAGTTCTGTTTCAGCTAATTTACATTTCATAAGTTTGCTATTTGTAAAAAATATCTGATGTAAAAGCTTAAACTGAAAGCATCGAAGTTTAGTGTCCTCTGTTATTAAATAGGGTAAAGAGAATGAATTTTTCCATTTATTTTCAGGAATATGTATTGAAAGTTTTTCCTCCCATTTTCTTAAAGCCATTGAAGGGGACTCTGCTATCTTTTCAACAAAAAAATGATAAAAGTATTTTGTGACTTTAACGTTTCTTTGAAGTTTTAAAATATTTTCACTTTTAATTTCATTCAGCTTTTGATGATTTCTAATTATTTGCTTCCAATGTTTAGGGATTGCTGATAGTAATCCGGTATATTCCACGAAATTTGTATTTAACATGTATTTATTATTAAATTGGTTAAAATTCATGAAATCGCCATTTTCCGTAATTAAATCATTGATGAAAAATATGCCATTGGTAATCCATTTTCGCGTAAACACATTTTTTTTTCCGACTTTGATATCATTATTTAGCCATAGTGGTTGACTAAGAATTTCGCAAGGGGCTGTGGTAGAGTTTTGACTAGCCTTTCCCCAAGATATTAATACACTTTTCCAGAATGGATTAAATTTACTTGTAATGGTTTCTAAACCTTTATTTCTAAAATACCACATTTTGTCGTTTCCGAATTTTTGTGTCGTGTCTGAGAGCAAGAGTTTCCAAGGCGAATGAATATTAGGGTCAAGTACTTTCTTGACCCATGATATTTTCAAGGCTTGGCAGAAAGATGCTAGATGAGGAACCTTAAGCCCTCCGTTTTCTGTTGAATTATATAGAACGTTGCGCTTGATCTTGTCTGGTTTGCCTTCCCAGATAAATTCAAAAAACATATTTTGAAGTTTCTTTAAAAAATCTGAAGGTGGGTCTGGAAGAACAGTAAAAAGTTGAACAAAAATTGGTAAAACCGGAGTTTTGAGCACAGTGACTTTTCCGATCAATGTGAGGTTTCTAAAAGACCAGTCATTGATAAGCTTTTTGGCAGCTTGTAACTTTTCCTCATAATTATCATAAGTGATATCCGGTTTGTTTAAGTCAAAAGTTATACCTAAGAGTTTAAATTTACCGTCATGGTTCCACATTATTTTTTCTTTTGTCTTAATCTCTTGACCACAGCCCCTTTTTGCACCAATCCATAAAGCTTGTGTTTTTTCGAAATTGGGTTTTAGCCCGGAGCAAGCAGCAAAGGAGTTTATGCATTTTAGTGCTAAGTTCAGGGATTTTTCATCATCTTAGAGCGCTAGAGAAGTATCGTCTGCATATTGGCTAACAAGGTATTCTGAATCTTTAATGTTTATTCCCTTAATGTCGGGATTATTACATATTACTTTATCGGGTCTATAACATGATATTACCTAATTTACATAAATAATTTAACTTAACTGGATATTGGCTAATCCGAATTTTGTCTGTTTTTCTTAATTTTTTAGGATATATCAGTTATTTTCATATGCTTCCTATATTCAACTTTTTCTTATTTTTACATATAATAAAGTAGTCTTATAAATGTACAAAATGATACAAAAACAAAAAGTTTTGATCGTTTATAAAGAGAGAAAAAATACTTTTTATGGATTTTTGGCTCAAATCTGCACTTTGATAGGAAGCGTTTAAAAGCTAATAAAGTTCTAGTTTGTTTGAAAAATCATATTTATTCGATATATTTTGAATGTTTAGTCCCTCATCATTAATCTAAGTTACATTTGAAAATTTCTCCAAGACTTCGATTGTGTAAAAATTATAACTAAATTCATTGTTCTATCATAATTTTGAGAGGCAGAAAAGAAGATATTTTCATACGCCGCCACTCCGCCAAAAATATAGTCCCTGCTAGTTTTCAAACGCAATTTACCATTTCTAGTTAAAGTTGTACAATTGTGATGAGGAAAGAAAAATAGGGTCTTTTACATTCCTTACACCTCAATATATAAGACATATAAGCAAATATACTTTGAATGTTTCATCCAGTCAGAAACCAGAGAAGAATCCTACCTTAAGACATATAGAACAAAAGAAGTGTAGAATTCCTAGGTCTTTCAAATGATATCTCGAAAAAGGGGCTGGCCTCTAAAATTAGGGGCCTAGAGGGGCCGAAACTTTTTTCTTTATATCTCAAAATCTATATAGAATTTGTAATACGTCAAAGAAGCAAAGTTGTTCAAAAGGTCAAGCTAAATCTATTGGCGTCAATATTTCAGGTGACGTCACTTCCGGCCAAACCGGAAGTAGTCGGAAAATGCGTATTTTTGCCGTTCTTGACAAGTTTTTGGGTAACAAATATCTCTGGTAGCATAAAAATTAATTTTCCGTCCGTCGTCGTCACTTTCGGTCAAACCGGAAGTAGCAAAAAATGGCTTAGTTTTGCGCATTAATTAACATAGCTTTAGAGGATTCAAGCTATTTTTGGGCGTTATTTCGCATTTTTGTTAAAAATAAAATCTTCTTCCGGTCAAACAGGATGGAAAACCTACTCGTTGCTTTGCAACGAGCTTTGCTCTAGTTCTTCATCTTCTTCTTCCTGGGTACTTTTTTCTCCGGGAGTGATCTTGTAAACTACACATCCGACTTAGGTAAAACCTTTTTAGGGTCAGTAGGCATGTTATGTAGATTTGCGGAACGAAGGTCATTTTGCGCGCACGTGCTTGCAAGAGCATGCACGTGAACACGTGAAATGACCGATTTGATTGATATGGGCGTAACTTTTTACATTTTGATGAAATGCTTTGAAACTCATAATATAAGGATATATTAGTAGCATAGACAATACGACATGGTCAAAATAGCAAGATCTCACGCGCATGCACGTGCGCTTCGCTCTGATTGGCTGAAACTTAAGTCTCAATATCTTTCTTGTTTTTTGACAAAATCCTTTGAAATTTTGCACGTAGCCATGCATTAGGATATCATACAACTTGATATAAAGCAATTATCATGAAAACACGTGCATGCACCTGCGCTGCAATCTAATTGGCTTAAACTTTAAATAGCTATAACTCCCTTGGTGTTCAACCAAACAGGTAGGGATTTGGAACATAGATAAATATAATGGACTTCTATAAGAAGGTATGGTACCTATGCATATGCATACACGTGCGTGTACGTGCGCTGCAATCTGATTGGCTTAAACTTTTAAAAGCTATAACTCCCTTGGTTTTCAACCAAACAGGGTGGAATTTAGAACATAGATAGATGTAATGGACTTCTACAAGAAGGTATGGTCACCATGCTCATGTATGCACATGTGTGCACGTGAAATGAGTAAAATCAAAAATACACTTGATTGAGCGTATTTTTTTTAATAATTTTGGATTCAATACTTTGATATTAATATATTGAAATATATAGATTGTGTAGACAAGATGATATGGTCATTATGCACATGCATTCACATGTGTACGCGTGAAATGCTAAAATTTGAATGAACTTGGTACACTTCTGGGTAGACGTTGTTAAAGTCTCAAATGCATAGAGTTTGTCTTATTTAATGAAGCTTACAAGGAATATGGCACCAAATGGGAGTTGGGGAGCGTTTGGGGAACATCTGTAACGGTCCCCGTTACAATTAGCACTAGTTAAAGATTGTATTTGCTGTCGATTATAGAATTTGCGAAATTATAACTGTAATCGAGACTGTTGATATCCTTGATTCATCAACATGCTAACCATTAAAATGACATCTACATGCTTATCTATATACTTATACCATGTTTACAATTTTATATTTTTGTTAATTTTTTTTATATCGATCATTGTTAGTTATCTTAGTTTTTTTTTTTTTATAAACATAAAGAGTAAAAGATGAAGGTAACGAGCAGCCATCGATCATCGATCAGAGAAAAATCTATAAACAATACAGATATATACTAGTATGTTAAGAGTACTTGGAACAAGGTCCCCATGAAATTTCAGAGATTGGAAGAGGTGCCTACGAGTAGTAGGCATCCCCTGCTGACCGGTCACACCCGCAGCAATATACAGGTAGGTTATTACGCTTCGTGTTTAATGATTTTTTTTATTGTTAACACATTCCCTCAAAATTCCCTGAAATAATTTAGACAGTACAAATATTTACATTGAACGAGAAGTAAGCTAAGTTCCCATTATACTTGAAGCACCTGAAGATAATTTATAGAGTATGTCAGTCTGTTTACTGAGAATACATGGTATAAATGAACATTCCTTATAAAGCATTTTTTTTGTCTTTTGGATTAATTATCATGTATTATCCCTTTTTAGATACACATTCAATGCACAAAATTTTAACAATTTTTCAACACATTGGTTTGTATGTTTGTAATTTTGATTTGTAGTTTTTTTTTACCGACCATTGTTTGTTATCGTCAGTTTTACATTTACACGTTGCTGTGATTTCCCTAAGAAACAGGAAATATATTAATATTGTTTTGAAATCAACCATCGTGCAAGGAAACGGATAGGAGGAATTTATATTGCATAAAATAAACCAGGCACAACCTAGTACGTCATCACTTTAATTTATTAAATTTATTTAATTAGAACATTATTAGTTAGAGTTTTTCCCATGAGAGTTTATGAATATTTACAATAAGATGTATATCTAAGTGAAAGTACTGAAGGATTCCTTATATAAGAACGAGAATAAGAATAAACATTTTCAAAGTTCGATATAAATTTGATTTTTATATAGTATTTTCAATATTAACATCTTATTGTTGAAGTAATCCAATTTAAAGCATAATGATTAAATATTTGATACCTTTTTGCTTAAGAATATATACATTATGTCAACTGTCTTAATTGATGACAAGATTCATAACCACAGCATTTCCTTCAAAACCAATCATTAAAATGACTTAATTTATTTTTTATAACAAATCAAAAATATTGGTTGTATAATGTGACGTGAAAGAATTTAGAGAGACATATGCAAGCAAAATATTTTCACTAAGAAACTAAGCTAGTAGGAAAAGTAAAAAAAAGGGGGTAAATCTGGGCATTATGTATTCTCGGTAAGTTTGTATCTTCTCATTTCAATAACATCATTGGCACGATAAAGAACCATCACGGCTCAAAGGTCTTGAATGCGAAGTGTATAAACAAAATCTGAAACTCCTCATTGGCAAACGATGACGTCTCTTTAGGTGTGATAAAATCCAGAATAGGGTGTCAAACGAGGTACAATCAACAACTGAATCAATACTTTTACTGGAAACAACCAAATTAACTTATCTAATGATGTTACAGAAATGCCCAGGATCCTACAGTACTAATGGGAGAGGCTAGAGATTTAGTAGTGCACCAAGGACGAAGGAAACATGCCATAAGAGTTTGTTGAGAGGCCGATCAAAGGTTTTTCCATTTTGATTCCTAAATAATAATTAAAATCGATATTAAACATTGCAACAACAATTGCAATTTTCAACCATCATTGGTTTTACTGTCCCTAAGAAGGAATTGATAGACTTTTCTTCGAATTAATATTCATTTATCTTTTTAAGGATCAGCTAATTTTGTAACTTAGATATGAACTGACTCGATTTGAAATGTCTATGTCTGTAAATTTTGTTTTCACGAGCAGGATTGTATGTGCATATATTTTTTAAAGCCCTTTAGTGCAAAGCAATATTTGTTACAGGAAATGTAAATAATACGGAAACGAAATGCCATGTTTTTCTTGCTGCAGAAATGGAGATGAATGTTTTTCTTTACATTTTTATAACACATCACGTTTATGGTGAGTTAATATAACTGTTGAGTTTTTATAATTATTCAAATATAAATGACTATGCTGCAAAGGTTGATTATATTTGAATTTTTTACTCTTGAACAGGAGATGTACTAACGTCCTTCTTTTCTAGTCTCTTATTTGTGCAATTGAAAATTAGTATATATACATGTACATGTAATATTTCGTAGAATGAGACAACTGAAAAATGTTTACATACCTTGCAGTGAATTTGTACTCGAATGTGCATTTTGCCTTTCAAAAAATATACAAGAATAGTTCAATTGTAAACCAAAAATGTTAGTCCTTGTGAATATTACTATGTTATTTCTTAACTGGAATTTAATATGGACAGCTTAGTTTATTGTTTATCAAAAAAAAAAAAATAATAATAATAAAGTTAAATTGCAATGTAAATAATTTACAATATTTAAGATATACCAAAATATGCAAACAGGTATACATTTGATGTTGATTGGGAATCAAAATATTGCTTTCTTTAGTTGAAATCATGGGAATAATCTTGCAACTGTTGCAGAAAAGAAATACATGCATGTAACACACATTATATTCATATTTTTTCTTGCAATATCCGCAATTTTATTTATCAAACTAACAACAAAGCTTTATTTTTTAAATTTTTATATATAAATATTGCTAAAAATGTAGGAATAAGTACTTTTAATATTGTTCTATTTATATATGGCATTGTATGTTCCGATGTTTGAATAGTTACTGCACAAAAAAATTATACTCCGGGGCAATGAAGAATTGGTGAACGGTAGTAGTTTAATGGAATAAAAGAGATATATATGCATAAGATTTTAGTTTTGCAATGAGTTAGTAATTAACATTGCAGGGAAGGCTTTAAATGCAACACAGAGTAGCGTATGGTTAATGAGGGAACCCGGGGATGCCATAGATGGAAATACAAAGACGTATTCCCTCACAAAAAACCAAACAAAACAGTTCTGGAGGGTTAGATTAGATAAAGTGTACAATATTTCTCAAGTGTTCGTCCGCATCAGAGGAGGTTAGTACTAGTACACTGAAAATGTTCTGGAAATTGAATTTTGGATTATTGAGGCATATTACATGAATAAGCTTTATTATTTTCAGCCAACACAAAGAAAATGTTCCATTTATACATCAGCAACGACACGGGCACTTCCAATGAAACGCTTTGTAATGAATTTAGTTTCAACAATACCATAATCAACGAAGAATACATCAGAAATCGAGGAAAACTTCAAGGAAACACTTTAACCTTACAAAGGGATGGAGAGATCAGACTTTTTGAGTTTAGACCCTTAGGTAATCTATTGTCAAAAAATTACCTGCAACAGTCCAATATGATATTTAGTTTTGTTAAACATCAGATTTAAAATCTCACTTGACTATAACTTTTACAAAATACTCTTAAGCTTTTTCTTGGTAATTTTCTGTTCTTTTTTTTTTTTTTTTTTTTGTTACTTTTAAATCTCTAGCACATTTTGATCTGCTGATAGCCAGAATTCATACAAATGCAAATTAGTTGAAGAAGTGAATAAGTTAGAAGACCCCAAATGCTTTCTTGTTTCATTATCAAGATAATCTTTTATTGTATAGGCAGATAAATAATGTCAAATAAAAAAACCCACAATGCTCATGAGAACATTTCAATAAAAACTTAGTATTCAAAGAAGTTCAAATATCGTTTTGGCTATTGTGATATACAAATCAATATCATTTCGGAAGGAAAACAGCATGCTCTTGACTCTCTAAATCGTGAATACACATCAAAGCAAAAAAGTTCAACTCTTGTACAAGTATAAATATTTCATGTTCGACGTTTTCAAAATAGGCAGTTATATACTAGCTATGACTAGCCTCTCTTTAGCATAATATGATATTTCATTTATTACAGTAATAAACACTTGGAGTGTACTTGACGTCATATCAGGCAAAATTGTAGACTGTATTCAAAACGCCTCGTTAGACGTAGTTAGCACCACGCCAAACTACGATGTAAAAAAGCAGTGTCCTGTTTGTGAATCACAGATTTTCCCAAAATTGTGCAATGAAATGAAAGGTAAAATGTTTTTCTTTAAGGATATAAGGGATATTATTTGCTTTCAACTACTATGTGCTTCCTCAATTCAGTGCTTTTTTCTGGTTTTATAGAAACGAGACAGAAGATTCAATCAAATATTTCATTGAGTACATCAAGAAAAATTAAAAATGCATATCATGGTATGATATATATCAACCTGAATTTTAACTATTTTTTAAAAAAATTAAATTAAATTGGATGTTGGATAGTATTTCAAAATTGATACTGTATTACATTTATATAATTTAGATGCCAGCTGTGACGAAAAATATTCGACTTCTAAATGTGGAAATTGTGTTGACACATGTACTACATGCCATGAAGAACTGAACTGCACATACTGTAATTCAACCATGCTTGAAAAGATATGCGAGAAAAGATGCCAATCTCTATGTTCAAATAGTAGGTGACTTAGCATGTGTTAACAATTACATAAGGATAAAATATAAAGGTAAGCATTCTTGGGCATCAACAGTTTCAAACAATTTCTTTTATCTTTTTAGACGAAATTTGGATCACCATCCTGATTGTGTGTGGAAGTTCGTTTGGATGTATTTTAATATTGGGTTTTGCTTTATTCCTCAAGTTAAAGTTAAAATTCAAGAAACAGAATGAAAAAAGCTATGACGTCATCGTTCTCGAGGAAATCCATCACAGTGTTCCAGATCTTCTGAACTTTGAGTTAGAGGAAGAGGAAGTAGAATACTGCAATATGACGTCATACCGCGTGCCCATAGATACCTTTATACAGGACGTAGCACGGAAGAAAACTTACAACACATTCATAGAAGAATTTCAGGTACACCACAGTGTCAGACTGTTTTTGATACTAGTAGTTAGTTTTATTATTTAAAGTTGTTTAAACATGTTTTGGCAAATAGAAGTATCTGTTATCAGAGATTCAAGAATATGGGATGTATACGTGTCTAATTGCATATGAATCGCTCTTTATTTTTAGTCGCTACCAAATGGATTGACAGATGCTTACACAGAGGCTTTGAAATGGACAAATATGTCTAAAAATAGATATAGAAAAGTTTATCCCTGTAAGTTTCTTGTAGTGTATGTGCACACTTTGAGATATTTGTAAACACGAAAAAGCACATGCTTGAAATATAGACAGTTCTATATCTACGGGAATTCTTTTGTGATCAAAAATTATTTGAAATATGCATTTGATGGAGATGGTTTTCAATATCTGTTCTCATAAAATAATTATCATGAATCCTTTATAATCTTCAGTACAAGTGTAATAGATTACGGAAAACTCACCTAGAAGGATTTATGTTTACTTTCTATTTTGTAGATGACTACTCGAGAGTAATTCTGGACCCGACTGAAAGTTTTGTCAAAACAGATTATATAAATGCATCATACATCAATGTAAGTTTCCAATCACAGTATTATACACGGTTAAGTTTAAGATCTTAGTCTGCGTATTAATAATTATTTATTTTATAATTGTAGGGATACGACAGGGAGAACGCCTACATTGCTGCACAAGGTAATCTTCAGTTTCAATTCAAAAGCGGTATTCAAATCAAACTTCCGACGCAGGTGTTTGTAGACGGGACCCCTTCACTCTGTATTTCAAGAATAAGATGTTTTATACAAGTGACTCTTTGCTATTATAATTGATACCATTTTCTCTTTAATATCAATAAGTTTGTTTTGATTTTAAAAAGGGGTTGACTTTATTGTAATTTGTGTCAATTCTAATATTTTGTATACACCATAGATACATGTTTTCATTTTTTGAAAAAGTCAAAGAATCCTTGCGTTAAAAACGCCTTGTGAAGAAGAGGTGTACTCAAGTACCTCTAACCTTACATGTATATAAAAGAACGTTTTTTTACCAATTATTTTAATTTTTTATTTAGTTTTTGTCTGTCACTTACTGTATGGTATTTTTGGATATATATTTTTCGTAATCCATTTTTCACCTTTTGTACAAAAATATTTAGTGATTAGGGTCAAATTGCGTCATACAAACCCCTTTTTACATTTTGTAAAATACAGTTCCTTTTCTATATTGTTTATTGTACAGATCCTACGTGAATTTTTATAAAGTTCTTTTGCTAGCACTTTGTGTTAGAATTGCAAATGACTTTTAATTTCACATTTAATGTTACTCGGGACTTTTTATATATTTATGTCAAGTCTTTGCTTTGAGTTTTCGTGAGAAAGGGTCTTTTATTATAAATGTAATGTCATCCAGCTCCTTTTCATTACATTTTTTCCTATTATGCAGTTCTCTTTTTTTCTCTTTACCGTAAAAGTCTTTCTTTTATCGATACGGATCACTTTTATACGCTGTGTTACCGGTATGTGTTTTGTTATTTTTTTATTATTTTTTTTTTTAAAACGTTCTTTTTCACCATATGTATTTTTAGGTCCGTTTTCTTCTGATACACTGAAGGACTTTTGGGTGATGATCTGGCAGAATAACTGTACAAGAGTGGTGATGCTGACCAATATATACGAGGGTGAAAAGGTTTGAGAAACTCGTCATTTTATCTGTCAATTTATAAGACAGAATTTCGTTAAAATCCAGTAGGATTGGTTTTGAAAGATTTTGAATGAAACATGATTTAATGAATATTCATTTGATGTGGATAAAAAATGTACAAAGAAATGTGAATAAGTCAAAAATGTAAATAATATAAGCTGATACACATTTTGAGTATTTAATGGCTTTTCACAAATTAAGAAAATGAGAAACGTTTTGTACAAATTGTGTAAATAAAATGGAAATCTTCTAAATCATCTACTTTTTAAAAGGAAAAAAATCATCAAATTAGAAGACATGCTCACTTTATACAACCCCTCAGGTGGTAAAATAAAATCAAATTATCAAAGAAAACTGTTTTTTAAATGGAAGTTTCACATGGAAACTTTCACATCTTCTAGCTAATTCTCAGCAAAATTACATTGTCAAAAACAACCTGAATCAAAGGATGCCGGAGTTCCTCATAGAAGTAGAAAACACTTGTTGTGGCCTTCTACTCAACATTTTGATATTTTGATATATTTACATAATTTGTTAATCAACAACAAAACAGGGGGGGGGGTAATTTAAATTTGTATGTCAAATCTCTGTGTCGTATACTGACTGCCTTGTATCATATCAGTTGAAATATATTTGATTTCTACTAAATACTAGATAGGTCGTTGTATTGTTGCATCTTCGTTACATTTGGCTGTGTATTCTTTTTAGCGCTTTTGGCGGAAAGCAATATCCGCAAATTCAAGTACAACGCTGAATGTCTCGCATATACGTGTATATCCACGCTAACCTGTTCAAAATCCAATTTCCGCCAAATATTGTACGCGCTAAATATAATACATTTATAGGAAATTGTTCATGGTGGACAGATGGATGTTTACTCCTCCTAGGCCTCTTATCCTACCTGTGGGTTTTCTAAGAGTCCGTATACTGATTGGTATTGTTTGTACACTGTATATCTTTTTGTGATAAATCGCTGTTCCTTATCTTCATTTCCAATCAAACAATCAGATGTTTTATTTACAGATATCCTGTCTGAGATATTGGCCACACACTGAGGACTACATTGGACCGTTTCACATCAAAGTAGAAAGACAGGACAGTTACAGGGACTATACAATAAGACAGCTTGTTGTTACCAAGGTCAGCATTCACAGTAATTTTGATGCAAATTACCCCCCCCCCCTTTGGATGATTCTCTGCCAAGTTGTCAAATGTGTTATTTTGATGCTGATTTTAAATAATCAGCAAATTCATCTGATTTCAGACGCTAAGAATTGTGTTTTTTTTTTTTGGGCAGATACATGTAATAAATTTATGATACACACAGTTTCTAATTAATAATTTCAAAAACTCATTATTTGAATTGTAAATCATGAATAAAAACTTATGTAGATTGAAATTGCTATTGACAACAAGAACATACATATATTACGTGATAAAAAGAGACCAATTATTTTAATCAGGAAACTGAACATCAAGAGAGACCGATGCGCATCAGTCACTTTCACTTTACCGCATGGCACGAAACAAGAGTACCAGAGTGTGAGGACTCTATCCTGTGTTTTAGAAACCTTGTTAAATGTGGACTTTCGTCATCAGACGGACCTATACTTGTCCACTGCAGGTAAACTTAAAAGCTTCGTTTTTTCAGGTATAAAATTATTATATAGCAATGTATGTTATCAGTCCTCTTTTCTGACATAAATGGAAATAACGAATTGTAGTTTTGACCTTGAATACTATACGTTATCTCCATATATTTCATTCGAGCTCAAAGTCCATTGAACAAAAAGATTAGGAGCAGATCAAACATGATATCTTAAACATTAGAGGCCGGATCAGGTGTCGTGGAGGAGTAAATATCCCTCTGCAGTAGTAAAAAACAATAAAGTTTTATGATAAATGTGAAATCCAACTTTCATGTGTTCTTTGTTCGATGCTATGACACTTTCAGCAAATACATTCTATTATTAAGTCAAATACTGACTTGACTGACGTATTTTATAATAACTGTCAGGTCATTATCAGTATACTGAGTTGTCCACGGTTGGTTCCTATTTTATCATGACAAGGAGCACACGGCGGGTGCGACCAGTCAACAGGGGATGCTATTTTTACAATGGCACATAACGCAACCTAGGTCTTTGATGTTTAAGAGATCTGAATTTGTTCTGCTCCTCTATTTAATGTTGTATTCTAAGGAGCTTGAATACTTGTCGATCCGTCAATATACAATTCCCATCTAAGGTAGAGATGAACCATTCTTACCCACATAAAATAATAATTTCCTTAAATTCTTTTAACAGTGCAGGTATAGGACGCACTGGGACCTTCATAGCTCTGGATTATCTCCTGGAGGAGAGTTTGGATAGAAAAGATCTTGATGTCATTAACTGCGTGTCTGCACTTCGTCAACAAAGAGGATTTGCAGTTCAGACTTGTGTAAGTAATTGTTTTGCTCTAATGTTATGACACAATGAATATGTCTTTTGTTACTTTTTATTACGTACTTATGAAATTTTCCTTGTATTATTGAAATGACTTTTGAGTTTGAATACTATTTGTTATCTCAATGTATTTCATAGTTCAGTGGATTCAATGTTATCACATTTAATGTTTTATTGCAGGAGGAATATATTTTCCTTCACGAAGCACTTGTGAAATATTTCTTGAAACATCGTCTGATGACCGCCGCTCACCATCTTCCGTTGCAGAGTGTATCATTAATTTAGTAGAATTTACAAGAGCATTAAAAATTCTACTGGCATATTTATTTACTCAAAACAAGAATATTGTTTTCGGTTTAAACTAAACATTAAGATATATCAATGACGGTAAATCGATGGGAAACATGATTTCAATAATTAATTTCTTTTACTTATATCGTACGATCCGATATGCAAGAACACATTCAGATAAGTTTATAAACGTGAAAGGCTATTGAAGGTAAAGTTGATAATGCAAAGATATCAGCGATCTCGTAAACCCCAACATTTCAACAATCTCGTTAACACAAACATACAATCTTGTTTTTCCCCAACTTTTTAAAAATTTATTGATTGAATATATTTGTTTGCAAAAACAATTTATATTGTTAGGGTGAATGTTGATAGACTGTCATCATACAGATCACTAGATTAATATTTACATAAAAGAACATATGGAGTTTTTTCCCGTTCACCCTATCATTTGACACATGGATGGAGCAACTGGTCAACATTTGGTTCTTACTCTTCCATTACTTCTTCTAATCTAAGCTCTGTTAGTGTCAGTGCGTACTTTAGTTTATGTTTTTTTATTGTTTGAACATATTTTGTCTTCACAATTATATTATTGATATAAGCAGTGACTGGCACCTTTTCACAGTCTGTCCATGAGAATCAGTAATGCTGCTTCCATTTTTAAAAAACTAAAATGAATGCAAGAGTTCTTGAGTTGAGAGAAAACATCAATATTTTATTTTGTATGCATAATTCCTCATTTTTCTTTATAGAAAGATATGACAAGGATCGGTTTGTCTTAGTTTTTGATATATTATGCACTGTTTTTAAGGATTGATCAAAAAGGACTTTTGTATAGTTCTATTTATTCCGTATTCTGAATAAATGTTGTTTTAATCAATGCAAGACTTTTTGTTTAAATTTGGTTATTATATCTATTTTGAATATTAAAATTTGTGGGAAAACACTATACCTTACTTTTAATGCAAAATGTTAAAACATCAGATTTTTGACAACCCATGAATTGTGATTTCTTATGTAAGGTCAAATGCAGTTTTATCTTTTTGTACGCATGTTACTTATTTCTTGTAGAATTATAAAAAAAGCTTATGCATATTAATATGCATCCCTCAGTTTGTAGTTAGTAAAGAAATGATTCCGCCCTTTGGTGTATCATTTTGATTGCTCAAAAGTGTCGATGAAACTTTTAAAATGAAAACTTACAGTAGTATTCATATGTTTTAATTGGAAGGTCATCTTTCTTTCTGGGACCTGTCTGTCTCATATGCCACCTGTAAACTTTTAAAAACTTTACTTTTTCACTACCGCAGTGCTTATTTAAACAAAATGACCATAAGGCAGCTTTCGATTAAGGAAATTTAATTTTGTTTCGAGGAAAATCCATATTAGCCTTTAAAGTCACATACTAAAGGGATGCTTACTCCTATATGGTACCTACGTGTGTCATGGAAATAAATTTCTAACACAAAAATATGTTTAAATTTTCCAACAAAGATTATATTATAACAGCGGTGTGTGAAAAATATAATTTTTGAAAAATTATTTAGGTTCAAATATCTTGGATCTCACATCTGATGTCTCAGAGGTCCATGTTTGTTTTGCTCCCTATAAGTATAACTATTTGTATAATGGACTACTAAAATTAGCTTACATTTGTAATGTCCATGTTTCATTCAAAAAGATGTGAAAGCATAATGGGATGCACCTACCGGGACAACCATGTCAGAAAATGCTAGAAGAAATGCATTCTTTAGTTTTTTGTGAATTGAACTTTGAAAAAAAAATCCCTGACGCTAGTTTATTGAGTGGTGTGACCATGTTTCCTTCTTATCTTGAATGGAATGAAATCACTAATGTCAAAGTTGTATATGAAAGAATTGATTAATACTTTTAGCATAATAAGCTCGGTTTAACTTGCAACCTCATTTTAATGGAATACTTCAAAAATAGTAAATGAAACTCAAAATGGTATGAAGTTTTTTTTTTTAAATGTTAATATATCAGATTACTGACTAAATTGAAATGCTTAATGTTCATTCATAGAAACGTACAACTTAATTGTAACTGAACTATGTACTTCCTTTATAGTCCATGTTCCAATTTTAATTAATATTATAAAAGGCTTCAACCCGTGTAGATACATTTTGATCAAATATATGACTATAATCAGAGTTCGAGTATTCTGTTTCAGCAACAATCTTTACAAATTTTTAAAACCAGATATTTTGGGACAATTTTCAAAAAACGATTTGTATCAATGACAGTTGCAATCTAAAAGCAGAATTAAAAACTTTAAATAATTGGTACTTTTTAAAAATCATTTTGCGATTCCTTTTACAACGGTTGAATTAAAGTACACTTAGTTTGCCTGCATCGAAAGATCCAGTAAATTTTCTGAAAAATGAGTGACTAGTGTCAACCTGTCGCCTTTTAAGTTTTTCACATTTTTAATCTTTTCTCACACAAAAATTGGACCAATTTTGACCAAACTTGTCACAAAACCTTTTTATGTGAATGATATATGTTTAAACATGAGAACACAGATGGCATCCTTAAAATTTTTTTCGAGAAAAACTAGTCAAAAATCTCATGAAGTACCACTGATCCAGGAAGACGATTCATGTGTTAAACCTCCACCTCAAGTAGAGCTGGCTGAAGTTAATTGAATCCATGTTCTACCAACAGCATTTATGGTCAATCAAAGTTTGATCGAATGAATGAAAAAAATATTGAGATAACAGACATTATTCAAGATCAAAGTCCAGCCCCGTTGGGATCCGGGTTAGAATAGGTCCTCAGTACCCCCTTGCTTGTCGTAAAAGGCGACTAAATGGGTAGGTCCTTCGGATGAGACCGTATAAACCGTGTCACAGCAGATGTGGCATGATAGAGATCCCTCCCTGCTCCCTTTAACAGTATACAATCAATCAATCAAGATCAAAGTCCACAAAAACAATACATAATATAGGCAGAGAAAATGCAGACATCTGAAACATCAGAGATGGGATAAGGTGCCATGGAGGAGTGAGCATCCCCTGCTGACCGGTCACACCCGCCACGTGCTCCTTGTCATGATCGGGAAATAACGGAAAAATCCGTCGTCAAGCCAATGTAAAAATAATGGATTAAAAATAAGTATGAAAAAACCTCAGTCAGCATTTGACTCAATGATAAATTATATTTGCTGACAAGGTCATTGTATAGACCATAGAATTTACGAAATGATGACTTTAAACGAGACTGCTGTTATTCTTGTTTTATCAATCAATAATTTACCTCGTTTTAGAAAATATTTATACGTAGAGCATGCTCCTGTTTATCGAATCAATTGCAACTAAGTTATATAAACTCTCTATGCAGGAGATGAAGGTATATTGCTGGATAAGTAAGGGAAGTTGTAGATTGATAAGTCATTTCGGTTATCATAGAGTTTGGTTGATAGATTACCATTCACGTCTTTTTCAAGTTAAATATCCAAATATGAAAAGATGTGTCAGACTCTGTGGAATCTTTTATTTCAAGCTCAGTGGAATATATCGTATCGACACAAGAATGGAAGTTACCGTTTTTAATTGACAATACGTCGTCGATATATCTTAATGTGGAGTTGAAAGACCACAAAAAGCGTTTTCTTATTTTCATGTATAAATTTTGGTCAAATTCTGCTTAAAGATAGGTCTGCTTATAACGGGATGTAATTGGTACCCATGGGAATTCCAATTTATTGTTGGAAGGACTGATCTCCAAAAACAACGTAGATATTGTCAATCAGAAACTCAAGCATGTTTTTCACGTCAACTTCAGAGTACTTATGTGTAAAATCAAATACTTTTACAAATGACCAATGACAAGGTAAGTAAATTTAGGAGTTCCATTTTTATTAAAAACGCAACTGTCAATGATATAAAAAAAAAGCATGGAGTTTAATTTAATTTAAAACAAAGTCAAGTTTACAAAGAGTGGTCGATCTCAGAAAGAAATAGAAACAATACAAACGTATGAAAAAGGCATGGAAACGAACGTCCAAAAATTCTAGATATAAGAACTTGTTGATCGGTCTACCATATTTATCAATCAGATACAGACAGACAGTACAGTCCATAGTCGAATTCAGTATATGACCAAAGGTATAACAATTGCATTTAAACATACCAGCCAAAATACCGCTGTATTGTAAAAAATGATATATCTTAACAAGGTCATTATAATGACCATAGAATGAAACAAATTAGTGACGTTGAAATTCTTTTTAACATATACTCGTACTCTGCTAGTAGCCTGTTCATTAAAAATTTGATCGCTTTTTGAGTATGATCTTGAGTATGGAATCAGGAAAATGATAACACCAGGTGACCGTAGCAATTTGCTTCATAAATAAGAAAATGTTGACGATAAAAAATCTTAAGTAATTTCGTTTATCATACACTCTAATTAGTTGTTACTTGACCCTTAACACCTATGGTCAGTATAAATCCGAATATGAAACATAATTTGCTGACCCTTTGGCGTCTTTAATGCGTATTCACTAAATTTGATATATTGATGAAACACATGAAATAATGAATGAAAGGAAATATTGGTAATTGATAAAACCAAAGTTTTTCGATAAATCGTCTGAAGTGTGCCCTTTACAAAAGTCAATATTTTTGAGTACTAGTATCTGTTGATTAAGAACACGAGAGCCATGGTTTCTCTTAAGTGATATGGTTTATGTTTAAAATTACACTGTATATCCATAGGATATAATTTTTATACAAGATGTTTATCACAGAATTTTAACAAAATATCTATCTGGATCACCTATGATCCTTTATCCAATTTTTTCTTAGTTTGGTTGCAGTAAAAAACAAGCTAATTCAGAGAATTCGTGTCCCCCGCTTAGGGAAAAAGTCGGCTCCCCCTGACTGAATTTGTAGAATTATTAAATGTATACATGTATACTGAAGGAAATAAAATACATGTATGTCAATATGCATATAAAGATTTGATTGCTTATTCTTTATTATGTGTATAGAAGATTTTTTTATATGAAATATTTATCACACTGTAATGATGATTTTATAACCTCATAAATTTTTCATTTCACATGCTGAATACTATCATTTAGTAAAAAAAAAAGTATTTAAAAAAAAAAAAAAAAGAAGGGTTCGACCGGGATTCGATCCCGGGACCTCTCACATTTGAAGCAAGAGACATAACCACTAGACCACGGAGTCTCTTTACTCGAAGTGAAGTATATGCAGAACTGAAGTCACATACATGTATATATTCATGTTTTCATGTTCGGTATTCTCAAAATTTTACACAATCCATGGTGTTTGATTTATTTAGCCTTTATTAAACAGTTATAATAGATGTAATAAGAACATAAAGTCCGCCGAGAACCTGTTTTATACGCAATACATGTAACTCTCCTCATGCCCCTGCGCTAAAAATAGCGACATGTAATACTATAAATACTAATAAAACAAACGGGGCGGGGCACTTTGAGAGGGGCGAGAGAAATTTCCTAGGGAGTTTTGGTATAAAATTACATTGCATAAGCTCAAAAGCTTCTTGAAATATCGCCCGGAAATGATAGTGTTACACACAGACAGAATGTATAAATTTACGACCTTGAACTTTGACCTTTTGACCTCAAAATCAATAGGGGTCTTCTTTAGGCCACAGGGAGTTGTTATGTAAAATTTCATTGCGATAGCTCAAATGATTCTAGAGATATCGTGTGGAAACGAAAGTGTTTTAACAGACAGAATTTGCTTATTTATGACCTTGACCTTTGACCTTTTGACCTCAAAATCAATAGGGGTCTTCTTTAGTCCATAGGGAGTTGCTATGCTAAATTTCATTGCAAAAGCTCAAAGGGTTCTCGAGATATCGTGTGGAAACGAAAGCGTTACAGACAGACAGAAAGACGGACGGACGGACGGACAGATATATTGCGGACAGACGGACGGACGACGGAAATGTACGGACGGACAAACCCAAATTAATATCCCCCACTTTTCAAGCGGGGGACAAAAAGTGTAAGAGAGTCAAATGAGTCTCCTAAAATGATGCAGGTGAAGGTAAAGGTGAATATTCTAGAAATAAAAGTTGATGGAGAACAAAAATTAAAATTGATGAATATATTTTTAAACCGGATACTCGAATCTTTTGTATAATTAACAATATCATGTTTTCAGAGGAGAGGAATTTAGGGGGCGTTAAGTATGGATATGTTTTAACTACAAGGATGGAAAGTAATTCTTTTATGGATATAAGGTTCGTGGTCAAAAATCACGTTTAAATAAGATTTTCTTTAAAATAAGAAAGGAGTGAAAACTGTATATTTTTGGGAATTTTGAATGTAATTTCAATTTTGACTTCTAGTAGGAAAGACCCTTAATGCAGACGGGATAAGGGAAACACGTGAAAATTGTTAACCATGTAGAAATAAGGCACTTTGAAAAAAAGTAGGAAGAGCATATTCATGTGTCTCTAACTTCAACGATTATATGAGCTTTTAGGGACCTAAGGTGCCTTTCATTGTTTTTTTAAAGTGCAGATTACCATTTATGTCATACCGTTTATCAAACATCCATCGATCATACATCGATCATAACTATTACATCCGGTGATGGGAAAACCCAAATAAAACGGGAAACTGGTTCTCGACAGGAAACTAAAAGTTCATTCATAAATCGTGTGAAAATATTATCAAAATGGTTACTTAAGTATAAAAAGAATGATTTCATTTAAAGGAAAATTAAGTCTCTTATTATTTTTTCTTTCCTTAAATGGTAAGTAGAAACCTCACAAAAACTAGACTTTCGTAAACTGTAATGATATTATGGAGAGCGGATGAGTAATATAAATACATGTGATGATTTCTATTCAGTGAGTTCTAATCAGTTGGATAAACGATATCAAATTCATTGAATCATTGTGGACGTCACACAAATTTTGTAAATTCTGATATTCGTTCATTTTAATGATTGTATCAATAAATTTTCGTCAATGGCTTTTATTGTGTGTTTTTTTTTTCAATAGATTGTGTATGCTTTCTGTTTGACGATTTTATTATTATTAATTTTTTTTTTGCAGTTAGTTTGTCTTTCGATTGTAGAATTGATAACTTTTAATAATATTACAGGTGTGTTGTGCATGAAAAATGTAAAAAATGTAACAATGCTATCAGATGAAACTGATGCATCGAAAGCAATTGATGGAGATGATTATACGTTTGCTCAAAGTAAAAATAAGGGACCAAATGTATCTTTGAGTATATTATTGGATCATATGATGACACTTACGTGTTTTACCATGACAGTGAGGGGAGGTATGAAATGTTTTGCGTATCATACTTATTGTATATGCTTTTTCTTTTGTGTCCCTACTTGATTTATGATTATTTTATTTTTTTTTACTTTCAATCTTAATGTATTATTTGTGCTTCAAATAACAAAGTAAAACATTTGTTCATTGATAGGTGATTATGACGTCTATATCAGCCAAAATGAGAGCATGGTCGGAGGCTTGTGTAGAAGTTTTTCCATAGAAAATATACTGCAAGCCCACAGTATTCTGTTTTGCTGTTATGGAAAAATGGATGGAAAGAAAATAACAATTATGAAAATGGATAGGGAGATACTGAGGTTGTTTGAGTTTGACATGAGTGGTAAAGTATAAATATACTATTTAAATTTTCTAAACATTTACATCTGTAATGAGCAAAAAATGAAATATGTAGAAATAACGAACAGTATTCGAGCTCAAAGTCCATTAAACATTACACAACAGGAGTAGAGCAAACATGGACCTCCGAAACATCAGAGGTGGGATCGGGTGCTAAGAAGGAGTGAGAATCCCCTACTGACCGGTCACACCCGACACGTGCTCCTTGTCATGATTTAGGAATAACGAGAAACCGTGAACAATTTAGTAAATAATGGCCTAACAATCGGCAAAAAAAGTCAGTCAACATTTGACAAAATGAAAAAAGTATTTGCTGACAAGGTCATTGTATCGACCATACAACTAACGAAATGATGACTTTAAACGAGCCTGCTGATATTATTTCTTTATCAACTTGTTTGTCAATATCTTACCTCGCTTTAGAAATTGTTCGTACGTAGGACATGCTCTTTCGTATCAAATCAAGTGAGGGATAGTAACTCTGTATGTAGGACTCAAAGTATCAAAACTGAATCATTTGTATTATTATACATTCACGAGAAAAGTTTTATATGGCTTCCAATTTCACCATGTATTCCTTTTTGTAAAATTACACTCAAATCTTCACATATAGTTTCTTTATCAAGTGAAATGTAAAAACATTTTGTTTTAAATGCTAGATTGGGCACAATTTCAACAAAATTTGCTCAACTGTAGTGAATGTAATGAACATTGTGGTGTGTGCCGACAAGAAGGTAAAAAGTGCGTAGCTTGTTTAAATTACGTTCGATGTCCAGAATATTGCAAAGCTGAAGAATGCAAAGGGGATGGAACTTGTTCAAAGTGTCAACCTGGGTACTATGGTACTCAATGTAATCCATGTAAGGAGGGTAGATATGGTGAAAACTGTGAGCAAAAATGTGAGTACGGTTGTCAATACAGTTGTGATAATATCGATGGAGTTTGTAAAAAATGTGAAAGAGGTTACTTCAGTCCTCCTAAATGTGATAAATTATGTGATGCAACAATAACAGATTGCAAGTCTTGTAAAAATGTGTCATTTTGTGAAAATTGTCAGACAGGCCGTTATGGTGCAGATTGCAGTAAAAAATGTCCATATCACTGTGATTTCTGTATCAATTCAACATTTTGTACTCATTGTAAAGCTGGTTATTTTGGTGACCTGTGTGATTCTAAATGCCCGGAGAATTGTCTGTTTTGTTCAAATGAATCTTACTGTGACGTCTGTCAGATGGACTGGCACGGACCGCTCTGTCGGTGTAGTGTTCACTGTGAAGGACAATGCTCTGACCAGGGCCACTGTTCTGGGAATTGTTCTGAGGGATGGTTCGGCTCTAGCTGCCATCAGAAATGTTCTTCCCATTGCAAACGATGTGAGGAGTCGCCATACAACTGTACAGAATGTTATCATGGATACCCTCCCCTTTGCTCGAGTAAGCATGCGCGTATCTTTTGAAATTCGATTAGTATATTCTTTTCCATTAAATAAACTTTACATTCTTATATAACCTTCTTAATAGCTTTTATCAAAGTCTCCATTTTAAAAACCCTTTTAGATATGAATAGTGTTGATGTTAATATACTTCATTTTAAGGCGAGAAGTTGTATATTTCTGAGGAAACAATGACCATGATGATGGCAGGAGGGGGGATAATCCTTGTACTGGTGCTCATAACCATCTGTATCATCATCATAATCAGAAAACTGTGTCAATCTTCCAATCAAGGAGACACATATGGTTTCATTGAGACTCAAGATATAGAATTGGAACCGATGTCACAGACCAATCCTTACGCCGACCTGGAATCAGCCCAGTACATAAACGACTCCAACAGAATGACAGTGGATGAATTCATACTAAATGTACACCATAAGAAACTTAATCATGCATTTCGAAGAGAATTCAAGGTACTTTTAAGCACATTTTCAATCCTCATTGCATTTTAGGTTGAAAGTTTGATAAAGAAATTATAACGTTGATAGAAATTTATAGATCTAGACAAGATCGGATAAGCCTCTTTTTCGGGCCCAGAATTTCGGTGTCTCGTAGAATGATACAGTATCTTCTCATCGGTAATATATAGTCCTAGGTACTGAATATCAGTTGTATGATTCACAGAGATCACGAGAAGGTCTCAAAGTATTTTCTCTTTTTTCAAATGTTCATAAGCACAAGCTTCCATTTTTACCAATTCTACATTTTTCATGCATTTGCATTAGATAAATGTTTTATATGAACTTCTAATATAGGTAATCTTTTGCTTTGTGTTTCCAAAGGGAAACAATCATTTAAAGTACGTTTTTATGTGTCCTTTTGAACATTATTCACCCATAAATTAATAAGGTAATTTGAATAAGAAATAAACGCCGTTTAAAGTTTTTTTTTTTCAAAATAATATTAATTATTTCTTTATTTCAGAAAATACCATACCGAATGAACGAGTCATATTATGCAGCTATTGATCCAAAGAATAAATCTAGAAATAGATACAAAAAAGTATATCCATGTAAGTAGATGTTTAAAATGATGTTTTCTTGCATTTATCTATATATTTTGGAAGTGTTTTCTTTCTACTTTTTTTCCTTTTTTTTTTTTTTTTTTTTGTAAAATATCATAAATTTCACAAATGAGTACATTTCTGACAGGAAAATTTCGAGAATATGAATTTGAACTGAGCACGTACAATACTTTTTTATGTATAGAACTGAATACTTATAATGTTTCCTCCTACATGTTAAATTGACATTTTGTAAAAGCCACAGGAAATAACAGAATCAGAAATGTATAATTAATTTCTTTCCCATAATTAATTAAATACTTTTAAAATCTATCTAATTTATGTTCCCATTTTATCTCTAAAACCTGAGATTTGTATCAGTGATAGAGATCAATGATTCGAGAAGTAACCCAACATGTATTCTATTCTGACTGTTTTGTAGATGATTCCAGTCGTGTGGTCCTTGATACTTCCGATTTTCCAGGAAGTTCTGATTATATCAATGCCTGTTTTGTACATGTACGTTCAAGCTTAAAGTTTTATCTAGAAACAGATTTGATTGTTGTACAAAAACTGAATCTGTGACAAATCTCTCCCATGTGATATGTTTACTGTCTGTTTTTACAGGGTTTTCACAAACAACGGGCATACATAGCTTCACAAGGTATCAAATACGAGGGTTGTCCCAAAAAGTCGTGGACAATGTTAATGACTTTTTTAACACGCAACCGATATTAACCAAATTTTGCATAGACAAAATACATTCAATGTTCTCTAAAACTGTGAATTCTTAAATATATATCTTTCATATTAATTATATTGGGACAATTTATATGAAGGCCGATATGGTCTGTCGGCGCACGACCAAAATTCGGAATAATTTGCGCATATAACTATTGCTTTTGCTTTTATTTCTTTGGTACTATGTAAAAGATTGAACTAAAATTTAAATCACTGAAACCAGAATCAAAATCTTAATAATATGTCAAAATTTCATAAAAATAGCGTTAGAAACAGATGATTAGTGACATGAATTTTAAAGTGTTATTCGAATTGAGATTAATGAAAATGACGTCGTCGAACGCAAACCCGGCGCACGTAAATGTAATAAATTGTTTTTGGAATGTTACAAATTGGTACAAAGCATCCTTGGGTGAAGGGAAATTTAAATTGTTAAAATGAAGGGACATATCCCCTCGCAAGGGGAGATAATCAAGAAAAGACAAAAATAGGGTTGGGTCATTAAAAAATCTTCTTCTCAAGAACCACTGGGCCAGTAAAGCTGAAACTTACGTGGAAGTATCCTGGGGTAGTGTAGATTTTAAATTGTTCAAATCATGACCTCCGGGGGAAGGGCGGGGCCACAATGGGGAATCAAAGTTTTCTATAGAAATATATAGGAAAAATCTTTGAAAATCTTCTTCTCAAGAACCACTGGGCCAGAAAAGCTGAAACTTATGTGGAAGCATCCTGGTATAATGTAGATTCTAAATTGTTCAAATAATGACCCCCGGGGGAAGGGCGGGGCCACAATGGGGAATCAAAGTTTTATATAGAAATATATAGGAAAAATCTTTGAAAATCTTCTTCTCAAGAACCACTGGGCCAGAAAAAGTGAAACTTATGTGGAAGCATTCTGGGGTAGTGTAGATTTTAAATTGTAGGAATCATGACCCCCGGGGGAAGGGCGGGGTCATTATAGGGAATCAAAGTTTTACATAGAAATATATAGGAAAAATCTTTGAAAATCTTCTTCTCAGGAACCAATGGGCCAAAAAAGCTGAAACTTATGTGGAAGCATCCTGATATAATGTAGATTCTAAATTGTTCAAATAATGACCCCCGGGGGAAGGGCGGGGCCACAATGGGGAATCAAAGTTTTATATAGAAATATATAGGAAAAATCTTTGAAAATCTTCTTCTCAAGAACCACTGGGCCAGAAAAAGTGAAGCTTATGTGGAAGCATTCTGGGGTAGTGTAAATTCTAAATTGTAGGAATCATGACCCCCGGGGGAAGGGCGGGGCCACAATAGGGAATCAAAGTTTTACATAGAAATATATAGGAAAAATCTTTGAAAATCTTCTTCTCGGGAACCATTGGGCCAAAAAAGCTGAAACATATGTGCCCATGGAAGGATCATGGGGTAGTGTAGATTTCAAAATGTCTAAATTATGATCAGTGGGGTAGGGTGGGTATGCATTATGTATAACAAGGGGGAAATCTGGTAAAGAACAGAATTGTCAAAGCTTCTCAGGTGAGCGATGTGGCCCATGGGCCTCTTGTTGTTAAACACAGACATTTGGGATCGTTCTGGAACGTCGTCAAACAAGGTGCATTCGCTGCTGCCTAGAATGTAAGATGATCTTTCAACTAATTTAATTTTGACCAAAGTTTGAAACTGCTTAAGAAAACGGACAGTAGTGAATTTACATAAGTCCCTTTGTCAAGAGTGTTTTTTCACTATCAAAAAAAATCATTCATTTGGATGTTAATAGCCTCATGTGACGCAGAAAAGGGGATCATGACGTTATGAGAGACGTAAATTACGCTGGCTTTCGTGCGCCGATATACACTTACATGGTTTCTTTATTTTTTCATAGTTTTCTTATTAAATATGATATCGCCATGAAACTTGAAATGCATGATCATAAAATGTTACTTTTTGCTATAAAAAGAAAAGAAATTTGATTTAGCAAAGAGAAAATAAACTATGTTCCCTGTCTACGACTTTTTGGGACAACCCTCGTATGTTAACTTAAACATAAAGAGTATATTAAAGTGTATAAAGAATGAAGTTTTTTCCCAATAACACCACTTTATTCCTCAATTCAAATTTAAAGAACATTTAATTTAAAAATGACAGAATGCAAGTTCCTTCAATATAAACAGACTAGCAATGAATTCGAGTTACCGTAAGCCAAATGTTAGTGAAGTTTTATGATAATATTACGGAAGCGTATTAGTGCCACGCAATATTTTTTTTTAAGTTGGTAATTCCAACTTTAATCTTGGCTTTTCCAACTTTGAAGTTGGAAATTCCACCTTTAATCTTGATAATTCCAACTTTAAAGTTGGTAATTCCAACTTTAATCTTGGGTTTTCCAACTTTAAAGTTGGTAATTCCAACTTTAATCTTGGCTTTTTCAACTTTAAAGTTGGTAATTCCAACTTAAAAGTTGGAAATTCGAACCTTAATCTTGGTAATTCCAACTTTAAAGTTGGTAATTCCAACTTTAAAGATAGAAATTCCAATTTTAATCTTGACTTTTCCAACTTTAAAGTTGGTAATTCCAAATTAATTCTTGGTAATTCCAACTTTAATCTTGGCTTTTCCAACTCTAAAGTTGTTAAAGTTGTTAATTCCAACTTTAATCTTGGCTTTCCCAACTTTAAAGTTGGTAATTCCAACTTAAAAGTTGGAAATTCCAATTTTAATCTTGGTAATTCCAACTTTAAAGTTGGTAATTTTAACTTTAAAGATGGAAATTCCAACTTTAATCTTGGCTTTTCCAACTTTAAATTTGGTAATTCCAACTTTAATCTTGGTTTTTCCAACTTTAAAGTTGGTAATTCCAACTTTAATCTTGGTAATTCCAACTTTATAGTTGGAAATTCCAACTTTAATCTTGGCTTTTCCAACTTTAATCTTTGCTTTTCTAACTTTTATCTTGGCTCTTCCAACTTTAAAGATGGAAATTTCAACTTTAATCTGGTCTTTTCCAACTTTAATTTGAGATCTCCCCTCCCCTGTTTTTGTTAGTTTTCCCTTTTATTTTAAACCAATACCAACTTTATTAAGGAAATGGAATAGACTGGTTATCAATAAATTTTTGCAACTTAGATGGGGGGGTGTTGCAGAAGAGAGGCTCTTTAAGAAGGGCGGACGGGCCCATAGGGAGTTATGGTAGAAAACTTGAATTATGCTTAATAAAGTTAATATATACAAGTACATTGAAATAAATTGGAGAGCAGTTTTATCTGACCTGCTCTGACCTTACATAAAACTTCCAACTTTTAATTAGAAATCCGTATATTTCTTTTTGTCCTCTAATATAATTACGAGTTCAGTGTCAAATTTTTATTAATCAAAAATAAATGTATGTAATGGCTACTGTAGGATCCTATTTTATGTTAATATCAGTTTCTTAAGTTATAATAAATAATAAAATGCTTTCTTTGGTTGATAGAACGGGAATTAATGTCGCAGAGACCGTATCAATTCTATGTATGGAACATAATATTTTCAGTTTGGGGCATAATCAACCAACTACCATATATGTCTGCAACTTACTGTATTATTGGTTGGGGGGGGGTCGGCACGCCCCCATGCACCCCCTCTGGCTCCTACGGCCATGCACAATAAAATTATTCCTTCTAAAATCATCATTTCATAATAAAATTGTATCTTTCCATTTAAATTACAAGTATAAAACGGTAACACGATTTAAGCTACAAAGTATCTAAGACAATATAATACATAAAGCCGAAAAAAGTTGGAAAAGCCACGATTAAATTTGCAATTACCAAGATTAAAGTTGGAATTTCCAAGATTAAAGTTGGAATTACCAAGATGAAAGTTGGAATTTCCAACTTTAAAGTTGGAATTACCAACTTTAGATCAGAAGAACTAACTTTAAAGTTGAAATTACCAAGATTAAAGTTGGAATTTCTAACGTTAAAGTAGGAATTACCAACTTTAAAGTTAGAAAAGCCAGGATAAAAGTTGGAAAAGCCTCGATTAAAGTTGGAATTACCAACTTTAAAGTTGGAAAAGCCAAGGTCAAAGTTGAATTACCAACATTAAAGTTGGAAAAGGCAAGATTAAAGTTGGAATTACCAACTTTAAAGTTGGAAAAGCCTAGGTTAAAGTTGGAATTACCAACTTTAAAGTTGGAAAAGCCAAGATTAAAGTTGGAATTACCAACTTTGAAGTTGGAAAAGCCAAAATTAAAGTTGGAATTACCAAGATTAAAGTATGAATTACCAACTTTAAAAAAATATTGCGTGACACTAATACGCTTCCGTATAATATGGATGATTGAATTAAATTTTCTTTGATAAAATATCGTACAGCAAAATTTCGCTTCTCGAAAAATTTGAATGCAACTAACAGGCAAACATGTGAATGGTTTTGTAAACAAATTACTATAAATAAAAGGATACTTATTTTGTGTCTAGGACTATGTCTCTGCAGTCAATAAAAAAAATAAAGTTGCGCATATAAACCAGTAGTTTATGGACTTTTGAGCGTGAATACTTTTCGAAATGCGCAACTGGATTATTAAAACTGGTACTATCTCCAGATTTTTGCTACAGAAAATAATTTACCCCTAGGTCCGTTTACTGAGGAGACTGTTTTAGATTTTTGGAGGATGGTATGGCAGATGAGAAGTGTGAAGATCGTCATGCTAACAAACCTAACAGAAGAAGGAAATGTAATAGAATTAAAATACTTAACATAAAATTAAATTTAAATCGATTTTCTAGGTTTTCTGATTGAATGCTTTTCAAGCTGTTATTATATTAATGTTGATATATTTGTGAATGATATGAGAATTGTAATCATATTAAATTTAGGTATGTATTTTATGAAGCGTTTTATTCTGGTTAATATTCACCAAAATTTAGAACATATGTATCAATCAATCATATCTTAGAAAATTCAGAAATGTGCAAAATCAAAAATTCCACTTATTTAAAAATTGAATTAAATCAACAATTAATACATTTACATATTCTCTACTCTTTTAACAATATGAATGGAAAATAGAAAAAATTATATGCAAGATTTTTTTTCAGATGAAATGTTTAAAATATTGGCCAAATACCGAGGCTTTAATAGGACCTTTCCTGATCAAAACTGAGAGACAAAACACCTGCAGGAGATATATAATAAGACATATCAAACTTAAACTGGTAACGTAGCAATCCATATTACAGATTTCATGTTTGAATACAGACGCGTATAGATATTTTAAACATTTCATTGATAAAAATCAGTCGTATTTTTAGCTTTAACAATTTATATCTGGGTACTTGAATTGAAAGGGTTTTAAGTATTAGCCATCTTCCTTTAAGGTCTATCAGCACTACATGGAGTTTCAATGTACATTTTTTACGAAATAAAGAAACATCTTTTTAAAACATTCCAGGGCATTGAAGAGAGAGTGGTAAAACAATATCAGTATACAGCGTGGTACACAATAAGGGTACCCACAAATGTCGACTCCCTCCTCATATTCAGAAATCTCGTCATGATCGATGTTTCTGATGATGACGGTCCTATCATCGTCCACTGCAGGTAAAGTGTCTTACAATGGACTTTTACTGATATATAATACAGATATATCTACCACATATCAGTTACCGTCACCATTTATCATACCCCTCTCATGCAGCAGTTTCACTGTGTTGATTATTTTTCTCCTATTGCACCATTCCTTCATCAGTGCGGGGGTGGGGCGCACGGGGACATTTATTGCCTTGGATTATCTCCTAGAAGAGGGAATAACAACTGGTTACCTAGATGTTGTTGGCTATATCCAGATATTGAGGCAGCAGCGGGCCTATGCTGTACAATCTACCGTAAGTCTCTCTCTCTCTCTCTCTCTCTCTCTCTCTCTCTCTCTCTCTCTCTCTCTCTCTCTCATATACATACATGTATTTATACTCATTTTGCCTGTGTGTAAATTACGAAAAAAAATTTATCTTTGATATAAAATGTCTTTAATTTCAATTTAAACAATTGAATTTATTTTCTTTTTAACATATAGGATGAGTACATTTTCCTACACGACGCCCTTGTGGAGGGATTTACAAGTGTGCACGAGAACAGGTCTATAGAAATTGCCGACGAACTGTGAAAATGTGTTTGCAAAACAGATGTTACATTTCATATGCAATGGAAAAATGAGTTATTTGTTTATTATTAAAATTTCAAACAAAGTTTATCATGATGTTTCATATTTGTTTAAAAAGTCTGCTACATAGGCAATTTTGCCAAATATGATCCACATATGCATTGCCTATCATGTGAGGATCATATGTAGATATATGGCAAAGTTGCCTGTGTATGACTCGGACAAAGGCTTTGAAATTCTTCCAATATATTCTAAGTCCTACATTTTTTTTTTGATTTCAATGATACAAAATACAATATAATTCATTACATTGGTTAACCATTAACGATTTTCCCCAATCTTATGTCGATTTGATATATCCCAGTGAGCTTGAGATAATTGATGAGTCTGACACATCTGTTTTATGCTTGGATATTTTACTTAGACGTTAATGTTAGTTTATCTTTAAAATCGTCAACTTTCCTTACTTATGCAGCAATATACCTTCATCACCTGCATAAGGAGTTTATATCTCTCAGTTGGTTCGATATGCAAGAGCATTTTCTACATGTGTACAATTTCTAAGACGAGGTAATTTACTGACAAACAAGTTAACGAAACAAGAATTTCAGCTGTCTCGTTAAAGCCATCAGTTCTATGGTCGATACAATGACCTTGTCAACAAATACAATTTATCATTGAGTCAGATGCTGACTGACATTTTTCATACTTATTGTCAGTCCATTATTTACACACTGAATTGACGACGGATTTTCTGTAATTTCCCGATAATGACGCAGACGGAGGGTATAATCGGTCGGCAGGGTATGAAATTATTTTTTTTAAATCTTGATAAAGAAAAGCGCTTGACCGCAAAAAAAGTCAATAAGCAATACAAAATTGTCAACAGAGCATATACACAGTCCCCCTGAAGATAAAAAAAAATGGGATCAGATGTTATATCAGGAGTAATCTTCTCCAGATGACTGGTTATCCCTCCTGAGCCCTATGTTTTGATCAAGTTGAGGGAACATTCCGCTGTCAAATTAAAGTTAAAAAACAAAGGACTAACAATTGGTATGAAACAAGTCAGACAAAATATGACTTATTTTCTAATAATATTTACTGATTAAGTCAGTAGAACTTCCATGGAATTTACAAAATGCTGACTTTAAATCTGGCTGCTACTGAAATCCCTGTAAAATTAGCTTATTTTTGAAAAATCTGCTTAGGTTGAAAAATTTATTGTTCTTCTAACATGCTCTTCAGTTTGAAATAAGTAAACACAAATATAAGCGTTTGATATTGGGATATTATTTACTGCATAAATAGAGAAGGTTGACGATGGAAAAGTCGAAGTCGTCTCGTTTATTATAGTATTGAGTTGTTATTTGGCCTTTGGCGTTCATTGGCTGTAAAACATCCAAATATGAAAGATGTGGCAGAGTCTATATGGTGTCTTAATTTCAAGTTCACTGGTTTTATCGAGTCAACATTTAAATGAAAATATTGTTAATGAATAAAATGTCATCGATATAACTGAAAGTCAAATTGAAGGCTACAGCAAGTGTTTTCATTTTCTCGTGTAGAAGTTTTTTTTTTTATTAAAGATTAATCAAAGCTCAAAATATACGACTGCTTTCAACAAAAATTTTGTAGTAAGAACTCTTTTTCCTCTCTAAATTGGTTTTCAGGGAAAAAAATAATTTTGAAAACTATAGTTGAACATGTTTACGCAAACCAATCATATTAAACACTACCAATTTACCCCAGGGTGAAAAAGGAATACTAAAAAACCAAATTCCATAAATACAGAAAACCATTTGTTTTATTGTGTTTCTGGGTATAATTTTGAAACCAGCTTGGTTTTTATTCTTGAAAATAATCGTTTTGTCCCCGGCTGTTTCGCACTCAGAACAAGAATGCTATTTTCAAAATTATATTGCATGTCTCTGATACGCCATCCATTTTTTTTTTAAATTTTTTAGGATGATTTTCTCCTGATACTATCCATTAACCCTATATAAGCATTTAAAGTAAATATATGATATTCTAATATAGACTTCTTTGTAAGTGGTAATTCCTATGGGAATTTGCGAACCACAATATGAAAGCGAGGGTACGGGGAGTGGGGGCTAAAGATAAAATTGGTCCATTTCAGTTAACTATTTATATGTCCACATCAGATGTGTAACAGAGGTAACATGATATCTTTATGATTTCTTTATGATGTAAAATGTGCTTTAGTTTTGTTCTTGTCTCTGATCGTTGTCTACCTGATCCCACCTCTGATGTTTCGGAGGTCCGTGATTGCTCTGCTCCAATTGCATTACCTAAAAGACTTTTTAGCTTGAATACTGTTTGTTATATATATATATATATATATATACATTTCATATATATTCGACTATTAAGTCTACTACATAGTGCACTACTTTGTAATTTTACATATTGAAGTATTCGTACTCACAAATACTTTATCTAGCGCCAGAATCAATGTATGACTTCCGCATTGATGGATTGTATCATTAAAAGGAAACAATAACAACGATGTGTAATGGCTACGCATTTTGAACGTTGATACAAAGAAAAAGATTATAATGGCAACGAGTATTTCCACTGATTCTCTCGAAAGCACAACGGTATCACTGTGTGGAGGTAAGAAGACTTTATGTACCTTGTCTGTTACTTTTTTATGTAAAGATATAGTCATATGCGTCGGGAAAAGGGAGTAAGGGGGTATGGCTTGGCAAAGATAAATGTAAGGAAAGCATAAAAAATTAGAGCTTTGCCCCCTCCCCAAGCATTTTTAATGAGAAATTACTTTAGTACCCCTGAACGATTTTGTGTGAAGAGAATTGGAAACATTGGACATATCATCAGGAGATGTAGACCATATATGACATACATGTATCTAATTATATAAATATATCTTAGTGAACAGTTACATGCATTAAAAGCTACACAATGAGGCAATCTAATTTGCTTACAATGAGGTAAAACTTTGACCAAGTGTATGAAGAAAATAATGGCAAACAACCTATTACAAAAACGACTTTTTATTAAACATTTTCATCTCATTCCTCACTTTTCTTTTTTCTATTGATTTCCTAGGCAAATTATCTGCATTTATAATCTTCATTATTTTTTGGGATAGGCACTTAATGAAAGAATATAGATAAAAAAGCTAAAAGCTGTACTACAGAGAAGTCTCTATGTAAAAAATCGACAGTCATAAACCTATTCAGAGGTCATAAAAGAGATTGAAAGACATGAAGTTACTTTATGATGGAAAGTAAGATCAAAGGAGTCTAGGGTTGTAAATGTTTTCTTATAACATGTCATTGTATTTAATTCAGTAACTGAGCCACCTTCTGAAGATGAGACTACGCTGGTAGTGTTCTTGATCATATCCTCTATTCTAGTTCTTATTTCTGGGGCTCTGCTACTTCACAAGTAAGTACATTGAATACAGTCTCAAATGAGAATCAAATCTAGCATTCAGAAAAGCGCAAATCAGATCTTCACTGTTGAAAATATATTTACAGTATTGGCAAAGTGTCAAAAATTTAATAACATCTCAACTGTAATCTTATCAATTCTTATAAATGGAACTGATATACTTCAGTTTAATTTGAAATTGAAACAACAAAATTGTATCTTATCTTTTCTAATTTCTTATTATTTAAATAGTGCATTGGTAAGAATATTTTCATATTACTTTGACTTTGAATATGATTGTCAAAATGCTTCTTATCATAAGACAACACTTTTCACTTTGCATACAGATTATGGAGTCTAAGAGTGTTAAGGAAAGGCGAGGTAGAAATGGTTGTAACCTACGCTTCTGCAGAGGATGGCTCCATCATCGATCTTCTCCCGGAAAACCTTAGGAATGGAAACGTTATCTATGAAGAAGAAATCGGCGATAATGACGTAGAAGAAGAGGAGAATATAACAGTAGAGTATTCGAACCTCCAATCATTGAGGATTTCTGTGGAGGAATTCATACGGGGCTTTCCAGAAAAGAAATCAGACCATTCCTTGGAAAAGGAGTTTAAAGTAAACGAAAACATAATATTTAAAACAGTGAAAGATTATTTTGAAATATTTTGGCATATGAATACAAAACTTGTTTAAATTGAATTATCTCTTGTTTTCAAATGGACTGCGTTGATAGGATTTGCCTGACGGTTTATTGGAACCCTACTCAGAGGCTCTGAAACTTGTCAACAGAAAGAAAAATAGATATAAAACCATCTACCCTTGTAAGCATTACTTGTAACTTTAGAAATAAGAGATGGAACTCTATTATCAAAGACAAAGCTTGCCTACTAGGGTACAATATCAAATTCAACTTAAGAAGAAAACTGACATATATTTCAAGTTTTTATAATGGTTTATTGGCGGTAATGGCCACGGCTGCACTCATAATTATTGCAAGTACAAAACAGACACAGTTCCAAGGTGAACCCTGGGAACAGATGAACACCCAGATATTAAATTAATGATCATGTTCTTTAATGCTTTTGAATAAATTTAATTGAAAAGTCTAGGTGAGCACTACTGGTAAGCTGAATATTCGCTCACTCTAGAGATCAGCAGCCGCGACGGAGGGGTTGGCTCTCATGGTAGGGTTTTACCTGAAAAATACACAAAAACGAAACAGCAAAAGACACTTGGAAAATAAATAAATACAGCCTATAGTTCAAGTACTCTGAAAATTTTTTTTTTATAATTTTAACCTAACACACCATTTTTATGGGAGGGTTGGGTGGGTGAACTTCCACGTGCTGAATGCTAAAAGATAAGCAGGGAGACTGCAGGGTGGGCGTGACGTCACATTTCACGCTTATCCCTGCTGCAGAGCTACAGGTGGATAAAAACCCGAAAAACCCCAAGAGTGACATAAACGCTATTTAGCTTTGATAAACCGATTTAACTTAAATGAGTTAAATCCTATTAAATTTTGATTACAAAAATTTTGCAATGAATAACAAATGTTATTTTCTATATTTGTTGCAGACGATCATAGCAGAGTGGTACTGGACAGAACGGACGACCCAGAG